TTATAATAATTAATTATAATTTCGCTAAAATAATACAGAATTCTAATTTAGGGATTACGTAAATATAGACAATAAATTTATACTTATAAATATCTATCCTAAAATAAATAATCTCCTTAATTTCCGCCCCTTCTATTTTTATTAAAGTTTTTCGTACTTATTTTTTAAATATAGGTATAACGGGAATTTTTAGCTTTTTAATAATACTTTTACTAATTATAGTATAATATTAATAACCTTCATCGACGAAAGTATAGAAACAATCTTTATTATTAATAATAATAAATATTTTAATAATATTTATCTCTACAAATCCTAAGAAACTTTTAACTCCCGATTCTTTATTTAATATTTTAAAATATTCTTTTATTCAACTTTATAAAGGAATCACTTTTTATCCAATTTTTTAAAAAAAGAATATTTATTATTATCTTCTAATACAAGTTCTATTTTAAATTTAGTTTAAATAAATTTAATATTAATAGAGGGACATTATACTAATTAATATATATAATTACTGACTATATATCCGTTAACTCTATAATAGAAATAAAGATTTAAAATACGGCACTTATTTTATTCGTCCTAGGAAACCTATTTAATACACTTAACGTCCTTATTATTAGAATTACCCTTTATCTTAATATAATCTATCGTAATATTATTATCTATATCCTTAAAATATTTAAAAATAGGGGTAAGGTCGCGCTAAAAAAGGGAGCTCTAATAACAATTATTATATCCTTTATTATTACCTCCGATATTACGGAAAGCTTTATTAACTTTAAATTTTTATATAATATCTTTTAACTATTCGAAATAAAGGTTGTAGGTTTCGAATATACAAATTAAAATTAATTAATTATAAAGAGCATTAAATATAGAAGTTTTTAACTAAATTAATTTAAAATTATCTTCCTAAATAAAACTTCTAATTTTCGTAAAATTCTCTTCGAACGTAAAGAACCAATCCAATAGGAATTAATTCTCTCTTTATCGTATAATATATAAACGGGTTAAGGCTAATCTTTTTTCATTTTTATTACTAAAAATTAATTCGAAATAATTAAAGAAATCCTCGGGTTTATAAGCACCGCTAATACCGCTACAGCGCTAAAAAGCTTCTACCTTAACTATTTTATCAACCGGGAGGACGTTTAATAATATTAATTAGCCCAATTTATTACTAATAATAATTCCTACCGACTTCTCTTCTTCGTATATGAAGTGTAATCGGATAATATAGAAATTAAATATAGTGGAGGTTCAGTCCTATTTTAATTAGCGGATATTTTTATATTTAGAATTATAATAAGGAACGTCTTTTTATATAATACCGATTATAATATTCGGGGTAATAGTAATTATTATAATAATTATATTAATATTAAAGGAATTTTATTAATTTTAAATAATAAATTATATATTAAACGTTATTCTTACTACTTAGGCGAATATATCGTTAGTAAATAATACCCTAACAAAGTCTTCTTTCTCTTATACGAAGTATACAATTTCTTTCTTCGTAACTTCTTTTTATTTTATAATTATAACGGCTATAGCGGCGGAAAATTCTACGGGAATTCTAACTACGGCTATTTAAGTAAGTAGGCCCTATTACTACTATTATAGCGGCTACTCATCCTATTCTATTAGGTTTATTAAAATAGAACCTAATATAATAGGGATAGTACGGTTAATATAGGTATTAATCGTATAGTTTAATTAAGGTTCTATAAAGAAGGAAAGTTCTATTTAAGAGGCGGCTCCACCGGAAATGCGAGGTTTTAATAGGGGCTATACAGACACAGCCACGGCGCTTTATGACAGCTCTAGTCAATAACCAGAGCGCCATAGCCTAGGCCTTAGCCCCATAACACCCCTCGTTATTAAATACTAATTAAAAAATCAATATTAAATTCTTTTTATAAGTAAGAAGGATTCTCTATATTAAAGGGAGATAACAGCGGTTAGTTTTATACGTTGCGTCGAAAGCAAAGGTATAAGGGTTGCGTTACTATATTTTACATTAAGAATCTAATAATTAAAAAGTACTCGATAATATAGTATTTTACTCATTATTTTAATCGATATAGCGATAAATAATAACTTCCTCGTATTTAATCCTTTTAATAAACGACTATATATCCTTATACCTATTACGGTCGACTTTCGTACCTGGAACCGTATATTATCGATATCTTTAAAAGTTAAAAGAGATTTAAGGTAATAGGATTTAATTATAGAGTAAATAAATTATATTATTAATTCTCTAGCTTTAACCAAGCCCGTTATATATTAACGTACTTTGTTATTTAAATTTAAAACTTTTTTCCTATAAAATTAAATAATTTTCAAAATATCGTAATAGGGGGTAACTTTCATAAGAAGTATTAAAAACCTTAATAGATTAATGAAGACTATTCGTCGTCTTTACTTTTTTCGCAATATAAAAAGGACAACCTAGCGTGAATTTTCTAAATATAAACTATTTTTACTATAGGGGTTGGGTTTAGCATATAGGAAATACGTAGTATAGTCGCATCGATAAATATAATAATAGGTCTAATCGTATTAAAGGTAATTCGGATTTTTAGTAAAGTATTTATAATTATACTAAATCATAATATTAAAACGATACTAACGATATATTGCTACGAAATTTCGTCGAACCTTATTGAGTGTTTATTATAAAGGCGAGGATAAGAAGGGATTACTAATAAGGATAGCCTATTTTTCGTGGGTAAAGGAAGCGGACGAAGCGAAAGTTATATTTATATTAATAAACGAAGAGCGACGGTAGCGGTAATCGGTAGAGGGTATTTATAACTAACTATTAATACTTATTAACTATAATATAATTAATTAGCGTACGTTAATATTATAGGGCTAGAGCCTAGGGGTTAAGCTTGGCTAATACTAAGCTGTAGCCTACCTTATTGATAGGGATGCGAGCCTTTTGGTTGGCCAGACCCGTATAACTGCCTGGCTCGTGCGCTCTAAGCGACTTGTATAAAACCTTCTTTTGACTATACCCTTCTAATATAGTCTTCCTTTTCTTCTTTATTAAATATAGTATTTCAACTATACGACTATACGCTATACTTTATTCGTTCAAACCCGTTATATTATATTTGATCCTCTTTTTAAACCTTCGTTATAGTTATCATTCTCTCGTAGGTACGCCCAAAGAGTCTCCTACCGTCGCTCTCGTTCCTCAACGACAACCTCTTGCCGCTACTCTTATCCCTTAGCGATAGTACCCCTTCCTCTACATTTCTCGTATCGCCTCCCTTTCGCCGGTACGCTAGAAGAGTCTCTACCACTCTCACAATCCCTAGCAACACTCTTCTCGCTCGATCTACCCCATTCGTCTACGATCTACCCTAATCTCAGCCGCTACTACCTGGACTCCCGTCCCTCTCAATAACGGCACCAATTCTCCCCAAAATTTCGAACGTTCAAGCCTCTACGTAGATAGACTCGCCTTTTGCAATATAGGCTCATCGCCTACCTTTCGCCTACTATTTTTAATAGTAATACTTTCCTTAGCCTTTGCCTCCGCTAAGTATGCCCAGCAAAAAATACCAACGATCCCTCGATATTAGCGTCGCTAGAGAAACGTTAAATTTTACTTAAATAAGGAGATAGGGGAGGAAAGAGAGGATATAATAGTAGAGGCTCTAGTCTAAGGAGCGATATTAATTATATAAGATAAAGTTAGTCTATTTCGACCCGGTGGAGGCTTAGACGGTTACGACGATAATAGTTAAGAGGAGGAGCTCTTAAACTAAATAGTGCCCTATTAAAAGTAGCCCTAATAATATTGGGGGTAAAAGAATACTACATATCTAAAAGGAGGGACCTTTGCGGCTTATTAAGTATACTATCTACTAGTTAAATAGGTAGTAAGACTACCGTATAGTACTCTTCGCTGCTTAATTATATTATTAATAATGTTTGTTGCAAAACGCAATCATAGGAGGGTAGTAGACGTTATATTTCGTAAACATAAAGATTTTATTGAGGTCGTTTCTTGGCGAGGGAATTATACGGAGATATAGTTACAGTAGTAATAATAGTTACTACCGGCAGGAGAAGTAGAGCGATACGAAGCACTAGGTAATCACCTTAATACTAACTACTCGCGTATAGATTTACCTAGCAGAAGAGAGCCCTAGATAGGCAAGGTATAAATATATTCCCTAATTTAGTCTTGGCTCCCGTGTACTAGGAAGCAATTCTATAAGGGTGGGTGTCTAGTAGGGTACCGCCGACTCGGGTAGTAAGTAGGTGGTCGTACAGCATTTGTTTGGAAGTTTAGTGTAGATACTTTTTTTGGTGTTGTTAACTTCTTCCCCGTTTAAATAGGCATTTGGTTGGGAGCGGTTGTTAATAGATTTCGTTACCTTTATATAATTAGTTGCGTTTAATACTTTGTGCGGTGGACCGCCCTTTTTAGGGGGGAGCAGGGATACCCCTTTTCTTAAGGAGTAAGAGGGTAATGTCATAAGGCTAGAGCCCAGGGGTTAAGCTTGGCTAATGGCAAGCCGTAGCCTACCTTATCAATAGGGATGCGAGCCTTTTGGTTGGCCAGACCCGCATGACTGCCTGGCCCGTACGCTCCAAGCGACCTGTACAAAACCTTCTTTTAACTGCACCCTTCTAGTGCAGTCTTCCTTTTCCTCTTTGTCAAATATAGCATTTCAACCATACGACTGTACGCTGTGCTTTACTCGTTCAGACCCGTCACAGTTAATTAGCCGTAGAGAGTTAGCGCGATTTATTAGTAGGGTCGTATTGTAGAGTAGTATTAATATAACGTGTAAAATCTTTCGAAATTACTAAGTTTAAAAAGGGATGGGTGCAAGTGCAAGACTGGCTAGAAATTTTATAGAAATATAATACAATATTTCGTACATTGAAATAAGGTATTTTCACGGCTAAAAGTGGACTTTTGAATATCGGGTATTATTGATTATTATAGGGTGCTAGGGACCCTAACCTTGGGGGACTATAGGTACGTGGAGGAAAACTATAGGTGTGGGTAGGTTTTCTCTTGAAGAAAATTTTGTCGAAAGTGAAGTGAGATCGGTCAGTGTAGGTCTCAGCAACTCTTTTGCACCCAAAATCGCAGTATGGCAAGCCAGAGACCTAGGGGCCTCCCCGCCACTCCACGTACCCAATACCAGCAGTATCCTCTTACCAGTGATGTTCAAGATAAATACTAGACTGTGTGAGGGGAGCTCGGATGACTGAAAGGCGTGAGAAGTCCATGAATGGGCCCAAGGATTGTCGTCAGGAAAAACGTCGACGTTTGAGGCTACGGGGGCCGTCACATTTATATCGGCGACGAACCGAAATGGTTGTCTTGACAGGGCAGGATACACTGTCTCCAGACTGAATTCTGAATCCTCGTGCCTGGGCCACGGTGGCTGTTTCCGGAAGCTCAATTCCAAAGTTCGGCTGTTGAAGAACTGATCAGACAATGACATTGATGGTAGTGCCAGGGTGTTATAATTAGCACCGAGGTAGTATTTTCCCTGTTTTATTGACAAATAATCACGATAATATGTCGAGATTCTGCCTGCAGGCGCCGTTGATAGAGGTACACAAAGAGTGTTCGCAAGGCTTCTATCACGGTAGGATTGAGAACGATAAATGCTCAACAGGGAAAGCATTGGAAGAGCCAAGATATTGTCATGGGCGTCAGTGCACGGAAGAAAGAGATATTGGAGACAATAACGTGTGTCAAATCCAAAGAGGCCATCCAACATCAGACCCCGCTGGCTGATGCCAAAGTCGAGTGACAGGCCTTGGCTGTCTCTTTTAAGACCTCCGGCAAACCGAAAATCCGCAGGAGATGTGGCCAATAGCGAACGAGATCTGATTTTTCATGCTTGCTCACGTAGGCGTCGACGGTACATTTGAGGATCATGCGCAGTTTCCATGAGCCATATCCATATATGTGTCATGGTCGGGAGGTATGCCATAACCCCAGGCGAGAATGGTAGCATCATCAGATGTTTTCATGATCTCCTGTTGCAGTCGCATGAAAGCCTTGTTACCCTCTCCGTAAAGCATAGGCATATTGATATCGAACAGCCCGAGCAGGCAGTACGCCTCGTCCTCGACTCTGGTAGTTTGTCTGTTCGCGGCCCAAGACATCCTTGCAGCCACAGTGGTTTGCTGAAGCTTGTCTTCGATGCTTTTCCTGGGTTTTGGTATCCGCATGAGGGAGCCGTTTCTGTCCTGGTATACATCACATTCGCCGTACTCTGGGCCAGCTAGGCAATCGACCGGAATTGTGGTTGCTTTCGAAATACTCTCTGCCCAACCACTGCGCGAGCCTAATAGCTCCCAGGAGGCATCGTAGAAATACAGAAAGTCAGGGGCCAACAACTCCTGCAAGGTCCAGCCTCTTGTGAACCAGCGCGAACAGGTGATATCGAAACTTGATGGGTCAATGGATCCACTGGGCCTCTGGATGTCGGAGAGGAAAGCATAGCAGATGGCTGACTTCCGATACCACGCGAACATGGAATTGATGGCCTCCTGCAACTCGGCACTGCTGGATTTGTCGATACAGCAGGTATCGATCCAAATGAATTCGAACTCGTCCTCCTGTGCCTTGCGGCACGCGTGCTTGACCTTTGCCAGGCTGAAGTAGGCGGCTCGTCGGCCTTTATGTAGGTAAGGGCATCGGGATGCTGAATGTCGTGGAAGCTGACCTCTTTTCCTTCCCATGTGTGCGACAAGATGGCATATTTTGGGAACTCTTCGCCCACAAACTCGACGAGTTCAAACGTGTCGGTCTTGAGTAGGCGCATCTTTGGACTGTCTCAGGCTCTCAGGGTAGCAGCGATTCAAGACATCGAACTTCCAATAGCTGCTTGAAGGGGGCTCTGTTGGTGGAAAGGTGGCGATTTCTGTTTGAAAGAAATTCAAGCAGAGGAACTCTCCAGGAGTTGAAAAAAGCGCGTCCTGAGACTATGGGAAAACCAGTGTGATGAATTCGATGATCGAGCTGAGTGTCTGGTTGAAGGAAGATGATGACGTGCCAAATTCCCCTTCAAATACACCCCAGCAAAGAACTTGGGTGGGTAACGGCTTCCCAACTGTCATAGTTCCCAAGCTTTCGTGATGTTCTGACCATGTTTGAGGAAGGAAAGTGCGGGGTTAAAGGTAAAAGGAGGCTGAGCAGTTGCTGCCGGGTAGTTGCTGCCGGGTAGTTGCTGCCTCGCGACTTTGGCCATTGCTACCCAACCCGCCAGCTTAACCAAATGCAGGTGTCCGTCGATGTCAACCAACTAAGGAGAACCAACAGAGAGAACCAGTCCCCAGCTTTGAACAAAAAGATTGGTACTATAATGATATCAAAGTCGCATTAATTGTGAAGTAGGAAGGGTCATTGAAAGATACTTATCTCTTTGACACGCACCCAAACCTGGAAGTCTTAAAACGAAGTCCGATGATAACAAACCTGCACGCACGTGAAGGACATAAGGTAAAATCTTGGATAGATACTATCACATACGACCATACCCACTGGAAAACTCGGGATCCCGTCCGCTCTCCCATAGATAAGCCAGTGAGGGCCAGACTAGTAGTTGGGTCGGTGACGACCAGCGAATCCCTGGTGTTGTATGTTTTTTTTTCTTCCCGTCTCTTTCCCACTTGCATCATCAGTCCCCATCAAAAACCGCCAGGTAATCTCCTTTTTCCCCCTGTCATTATCTTCTTTCAAGCGAGTTTTCCTTCGTTTGGTAAATTCTCCGATATTCATCCAGCTCGACATCTGTGCCGGCGGAGCTATACAGTCAACAACAGCGTTCCTTCCGATAGCAGTATCAAGGGGCCAGCAGCAAAGTGCAGCTGATCCAGAGCTGACCACATATGGCTCATGTCGACACTCGCACCGCGGGACAAGATGAGAGACTATGACTGGTCTACCCATGGATGGACACTGCAAAAAAAGGTCCTGTCCCGGCGCGTCCTCACCGTCACCGACAAGCAATTGCTATGGAGATGTCGACAGTGCAAAAAGTGGGAGGAGATTGACACAAAGACTGCCCATAGTGACTTGAACTCCTGCTTTCCAGTCCAGCGACTCGATTGAGCCGATTCCCCTGGCTTGCCCTATCTCCTCCCCTGTTCATGGTACATACCCGACTGCTTTATCTGGGAGTATGGATAGAGAGCATGAACAAGCGCCGCAATGGATACTTGGATGCAGCCCCTGGTGGTATGTAATGAACACCAGTTCTGGACTTTCTGCTTTTTTCACCAAAACGTTTTGTTGAATAGCTTCCCTTGGTATGCTGACTCCTGGAAGCCCTGCTTGGGCGTCGTTGCCGACAGCAGCCACAACGATGAAGAGGGCATATTGATAGATCTCAGCCATCAGCTGGAGCTGGGCGGCTTTGTCATTTTCGTCGTCCTGGATGATGCAGAAAGCGTCCACCCAGAGGTAATGAATACCCATGTCAGAGGTCAATTTGATCGCATCTAACACTGTCTGCGGTCCAACCACTCGTAAGGAATCAACTAACTGTAGTTGAGTGAGAGTGTCATGCCTCAAGGTAGTTTTGTGCCCGTTGCCCCATACATAGCTGAGAGCTACATATTGGATATCCCCAAGACGGTGATTCGTGAACTCAACAACTGCTCTGGTGCTCGTATCGATGAGGCGAAAGGTAGAAGCTGTTCTGTTCTGGCTCCTATACAGAGGGCAAGTATCCTTGTGGTCCGCCAAACAAGTATGTAGCTAGCGCCGCGGCAGGTCAGGATCAATGATGGCCGGCCTCTCGCGCCCACTAAAGAGGCTACGTGGTCTGTTGATGTTGGTGTCGCTGAAATTTTCATCCTCTGCCGGATCCAGAGTCTGAAAGCAGTCGAATAACGTGAGACTCGGCTGCCGCGTAAGACTGCGTTTGTTCTCGTACGGTTGCCGTATAAAGGGGTCTATACGACCGTTTTTTTACGAAAACCGTACAAAAGTGGTATCGTTTGGCCGGTTGCCGTGAGAAAATGTAATTTACGACCCCCTTATATCAGCCTCGCATAGCCTTGCCCGGGTTAGGGTTATATATAGCTAAAAAATTGTATATTTTTTGGTATGATCATACAAACCGATAAAATGTATATACGTTCAAAAATATAATTTATACCGTATATTTACCTCTTATACTCTATAATACTCTATAAATTCTAAGGAACTCTAGTATATTCAGTTAGTATTCGAGCCTTGTAACCCCTTATAAGAATTTCCTCCTTATTATATTTAATTTATCGTCCTTCTTTACCCGATTATTTCCTTCAATTTTAATATTACGAAAATGGATTATAATAATTTATTCGTTCTTATTAAAAACCGTTTTGAATCGTTTTGTAAAATTACTTTAGAAATATTTTTATAATTAATAATGCCTTTATTAATTTAGTACTATTCGTACTTAATAATAAAATCGATAACGATATAGAAAATAATACCCTAATAGCGATAGTCGGAATAGTTGTATCTATTATTTATTAGTATAATTTTATCACTTATATTCTTAATAGTATATAGCGGTTTAATATAGAATATACCGAATTATATAGGCGAATTTAGAAGGCTTTAAATTGGTTACTATTGAGAATATCCTAATTTTATTTTAGAATAAATCGGTTTCTATTCTAGGAGTTCTATAAGCGTTTTATTCGCAAGGGTAATTTGAAAGATAGTCAATAGATCCTTATTATAATGAAATTATTAATAGCGCTCGAAATCTTTAATTAAGGGGAGGTTATAGAAGCGGTTATTTAGAATTATTATTATAGTAAAGAGATTATTTACCGGTTAGTTCCTTTTAATATTACATAATTGATTATTAATTAATTTAATTTATTATATAGAATTTTTTACGAAGTTATTTATGCCTTAAAGTGGTTAGTATTCGTAAATGTGGTACCTCCTCCTTATAAAACCTAAAATAAGGTCCGGATATCTTTTAAATATTTCCTATACTTTAAATATTCTCTTAGTATATTTAACGGAAAGTATTTCCCTACGAAAGTAGAAAAGAGTAAATAAACAGCTTATATTTACTATAAGAAATTTATCTCCTAAAATATACTTAGTATGGTCAATATTGCGGGCCGGTTTATATATATCTATACTAATTAAGAAGGTTCGGCGAATAACGGTCGAATCTTTTATAGTATTATAGCGGATAATTTTTTAATATTAGAAGGGTAGTATTATATCGGCGATTTGGGCTTTATTTATATAAAGAGGGTTTTAATATTATATTATAGTATTCAATATTATTTATACGATATCAATATACGTTATAAAGAGGAATTCTTTAACCGGTTATATAGCAAGCTTCGTATAATTATTAAAATTGCTTAGGGTATATTAATTTAAAAATAAGCGATTTATTAGACAGCGCTTAAGTATCTAATTCGGATTTATATTTATATTATTATTTATATTATTATTTTATATAATTTCCTATTATAATATAGTAATATTAATATAGAGCTCGAATTTTAGGTTGGGCTATTAATTAATTAGGAAGCGAATTAGTAACGTATATTCAATCCTAAATTTTTTTGCAATAATAAGATTATTATTAGAAGAGCTAACCGATTATAATAATTAAAGGATAATATAGTAAATTAAATATAAGTAGACTAAAATATATAATATAACTTTTAATTTTCAAATAATATTAAAGTAATATTCCTAATTAACCGGATTTTGAATAGCGAAGGTACTAATTGTAATAATAATAAAATTATCAGTTATTAGGGGAGCGTATAAAATAATATTGTTAAATATTAATTACTAAATTAATACGCCGGGTAGGTAAAAAGGGAAAAGAGAGTACGAATTATTTGATAGCGATATTCGGCTTAGTAATTTACTTAATTCGAAGTTAGAATTACAATATAGGGTTTTAATTGTATAAGGACAAATTTTAATTATGAATCGATAATACTAAATTAACGACGTCATAATGATTAAAATTATTATAATTACTCTTCCTTAAGGTAAGTGCACATAGTATAATAATTAAGTATAATAAATTATTATAGGGTAAGAGGGTATTATTAGGGGTAGGGTAAAAAATATATTATTGTACGAAGGAGAGAAAGGGAAGTATATGTAGAGGATTAGCTATATATGCGGGAGCCTAGTAGGCTAGTCCGTGCGCGCGCACGTGAGGCTACACGTAACTGAGACATATGACTAGTATATGAGTATATAGCTCTAGGCTATGGCACTAGCTCTGGCATGGCACATGTGCAGTTAGTGTAGTGCAACTACATCATAGGCTAGCCCTGTGATAAATGTACTGAAATCTCTGTTAAATTCTGTGCAGGAGCCTGAATGGCAGGCAGCCGATCTGGGCCTAAAGGCAGTCACTGGTGCGTTCCACGTCAAGGATATCCTTCCGAAAAAAAATAAAAAACCAGGAGTGCAGCAGGCGGAGACTGGTTAGATCTCACTGTTTCAGCTTCAAGCTCTCGTAGTGTTGTGTTGTTACGGGCGCATTTCGGTATCTCAATCGCAGGTCTATCCACCGGGTTGCAATAGATGCTCAACGAGAAATCTGGGTCACCGTCGAAGAACTCACGATGGGCTGTATAGAGTCCCGAAGTTCTGACCAAGCTTGAGATAGCTTGACACAAGGGACAACTGGCTGCGGAGCTGTCGATGCGACTTTGTTTTCCGAACCTTTGATCTCGCCCAAGACCCGGCCTCGAATACTGAATCACGCCTTCGTAAGAATCATAGGAAAACGAAGACTCCGCCAGGAGATCTTTCCCGTGGGTCAATGCCTGTAAGCCTTGGAGGGTCAGGAGGCGCATTGGCTCGAAGTCGCTGGCTGCGCAGTATTCGCAGAGCTCGCCCGTCTCCGGGGTCATCATCGAACCTTCGACACCGTACAGCGGGAGTACAACTCTGGGGCTTTCGCTTGTTAGCCCGGCTTTTTGGCGGTGTATCGTCTGTGTTGTCCATCCAGGATGAAACTGGACAGACCCATCTCCAGATCGAGTCCGAATAACCGGGAACAGAACATCATGCCATCGTGCCGTCGATGATGTCCAAGTGGAAGTCAGGCGCGAGGTCTTATGCGACATTGATACTCCCGTTGTTGTCTCTCATCCACTCGTTTTAGAAAACTCAGAACTTCCATGCCGTCCAACCCGATTCGATGAAACCTTTGCCGCGCAACACGTCGTACAAACCCAAACTGCCGGATGTCGCTTCTTTCTTCATGATGCTCATCCTCGGTTGTTTAAAAAGAGGACCCCTTGCAGCCCTGGAAGCGTTGGAACGCTAGGGCTTGGGGGGGGCTTGCAGCGCGCAGCTTTTAGCGCAAATCATGCTGCCAAGGCCTCCCACTGTACAATTACGTGCATCCTATCCACTTCAGTCGATTTCCATCACTGTTATTGGTCAATCGTGTGAACTCCTTCCCACCGAGGGAAATGGAAAGACTCCCCCATAAAAACACCCCGCCATGATCCGATGCTAAAACACGCAACCCCGCCATATATCTCGATCTTCAGGTGTCCATCATCAATTCACAAGCACATGCCATTCTTTATGCCATTGAGTTGCGGTTTTGGGGTGCCTGGATGAAGTGCCGTAACGCCACCCTCCGCGCGCCGTCCGTCTGACTCGGCCGAATTACAACACTGAACAGCGAGAGAAGGACACAAGAAACAGGACAAAGAAACATCATGGCATCCATCCCACTCCATCAGTTTCCCCGTTCTTTCACAAGGAAGGACAAGGCACATGAATAAGTCCCCGGACCCGTGTTATAGATTTGGTATGGATTATATGGACCCTCCCATTGTCATATGCTCCAGTCTTACATCCCACATCATCATGTAGAGTAGGTATCCATCCCCCGCCTTGAGTTGGCACATCTTCCCCCAAAGCCGAGAGAGGCCGTGGGAAAGCTTTTTGAGATGTTGGATGGTACTCGAGTCGCGTGCATGCATGGTTGAGTTGGGTTTGGAGAATCAAGAAATTCCCATAAGACGCGGCGTTCCCCGGTCACCTGGTATCATTTCTTGTTGTTTCTTTTCCTTCTTCTTCTTTCCTACCATCCATCTTCAACATCACCACCACCCTCACCACCACTCAACTTCCTCAACAACCGAGGTGCCACCACCACCACAACATCTGTCCAAAGCGGAGGGCATACAGCAACACCGTCCAATTATTATTATTATTTTCTAAGAATCCGGTGTATACTTACTACCTCTAAATAACGGCACAATGGCACCCATCAAGCCCCACTGGGTCCAGCCCTCCCACCCGGACCGTCTTCACCTCATCGTCAACGAGGCCGAGTTCACGTCCAAGAGCATCTCCAAGATTGCTCTGCCTCCCTTTGCGCTGTTCGCCAAGCTCGAGTACCCCCCATGCACGCCGGCCGAGAAGCCGTCGTATGCTACCGTCCAGTGTGGCCGTGACAAGCACCTGGATTTGAACAGCGACTTGCTGTATATCAACCACTCTTGCGAGCCGTCTCTTGTATGTTTTGTCCACCGGGATAGTCATCCGCTGTAGCAAGGTACCTAGCACCTTAATAGGCAACTGACTGAAAAATAGATCTTCGACACGGGTAACATGAACGTCATCGCCGGCCCGAAAGGGATTCAGATTGGCGAGGAATTGACCGTAAGCTATCCATCCACCTCTGTCACTGTCCATCACTCCTCAACAACACAATCCAATCCAGCCCCATTTCGGCACAAGCTAATATAGATATGCTCTCTCTCTGCAAAACAGTTCTTCTACCCCTCAACTGAATACACCATGGCCCAACCCTTCACCTGCCTCTGCTCCAAACCCACCTGCCGCGGCCGCATCTCCGGCGCCCGCGACATGACCGACGCCCAGCTTTCGGGAATCTGGCTAAACGGTCACATCCGCGAGCTGCTCGAAGAACAGCGCGGTGGTCCCAACTACGACAACAGCCTCTCCTCCTCCTCCTCTTCCTCCTCCACCACCAACACCAACACCAACACCACCACTGTCTCCCCCACCAACGCCGCCTTTACGACCGCCTCATCCGTTAACGGCGATTCAGCTGCCTACACCACTTCCGAACAACAGAAGAATGTCAAGACTGAAGGAGGTGAATTGGATCAGATTGCTCAAAGCCTGCGAGATGCGTTGACGCATGCGGAGAAGGTGGTGGAAGCCGCGAGGAACGCGCTGGTGAGCTATGTTGGTGCTGTCAATGCCAATGGCGCGAAGAAGGAGGGGGTTCCCGAGGGCGCGCAGAGAAGGGGGCCGACGAGTAGGGAGCTTAGTGGAGAGATGGGGGGTGATACGGAGGTTGTTGTTTAGGGGTGTGTAGATGTTTGCCTTTTTGGGTGAATTGACACTGGATACCTTATGAAGGGGAAGGGGGAGGGGTTGGGTAAGGTATCTGGTGGAAAGGCAATGCGGTCTATACATGCCACATTTTTGGTGGAGGAGGGTTGCTGTCTCTTTTTTCTTGGACATGGGGGGAGCTTCCAAAAGAGAGATGAGAAGCCTGAGGAATCTGCCGTCCTGTCGTTACCGTTCGTTTGAATTTATAAAACTTTTGAAAATCATTTTTTGGTTCCAATTGACTGTTAGTGCGAATTGTACATAGAGAGAAAGTGGACATTATGTGAAAAAAAGGGGTGAGAGGATATCATAAATATAAAAATACATGTTGTACAAACAATGCTTGCCATAGGGCAGCCTCAATATGGTTTGAGAGCGGGGGACCACTTCGCCGTAAGAAGGTCGCTCATTATCATCCTCATCATCATGATTCATCCCAAAACACAGCAACCCCGGAGCTTTTCCATCACCCTACGCCATACTCCCCATCACTCGCTACCATCATCACCTCACCTCACCACCAGCTCCCTCACCCTGCCTTCCCGTAAAAGCCGGACAAGTTCCCCCCTCCCCTTCCCTCGCCCCCTTCATCCCGCCCAACAACCAATCCGTCAACCCAACCACCGTAGCACCCACCCCCTTCTCAACCTCCCCATCCTGCTGCGCATGCTCAATCGTATGGCTCAATATCCTCCCCTCCTCATCAAACTCAAAGATAAACAGCCCCGTAAACTCCGACTTCTTATTATCCCTCCCCGCCGAAGGCTCCGCATCGCCTACCGGCGCTTTATACTCCGTCGTTCCCTTTTCCGTCTCCCTAACCCCCTTCGCGTCACCTCCTTCGCTGCCATTGATGAAACTCAACCCCCAATTTTTGCTCTTGCCGATGGTCCGCCAGCGCACAATCAACTGCTCGCCAAAAGCGCCAATGCGCCGGTTCTGCGACGGGGGACTATAGATGGGGCGGTCGACCATGCGTTCGGACAGGATCTCGAGGCGGACGTTGCCGATTATCGGGAGACGGTTCCAGGCTAGCGGGGCGGTCCATAGGGCGGCGATGTAGGCGACGCGGCCGGTGACGGTTGGGAGGTAAGGGTGCGTGGAGGGGAAGAGGTGTAGGGAGATTTGGGGGGAAAGGATGGAGGTGGGGAGGGGGGATTGGAGGATGGTGGGGAGATGGGCTTGGAGGATTCGGAGGGCTGTTGAGGGAAAGGATGGTGTTAGTTTGTTGAAGATCGAGGGATAAAGGGGGTAGAGGGGGGAAAGGGGGTAGAGGGGGGAGGGGGGGTCGCACTTTTGCCTAGCTTGACTTTGCGCTCGTCTGGGGGCTTGTTCAGCCCGCCGGGACCATCTGGAGGTCGGATCTCATCGTTGCTGGATTCTGTTTTCGCGGGGATCTGGACGTTGTTGGGGTTGAACCAGGTTTCGGGAAGGTTGCGCGGTTTCGTTTCCGGGAGGGTGGATGTTGAGCGCTTGTTGGTGGTGGTGTTTGCGACGGATGCGGGTGACGATGATGCGCTGGCGGCTTTTGTTGGTGATTTAGTCGTTGACTGTGTTGAAGTCGGTTGTCGTTGCGCCGGCGAGTTTGTTGGTGGCCGGTTGGAGAGGAAGTAGGATCGACATTGTGATGGTTGTTGTTTGCCCACCACACCACCGGCTATTCGTATCCTCGTGGGCGCCGACATGGTGGTGTTAACACTTAGTCGTCGGGTACCTGGGCCGACGGTAGGAGTGGACTCGCCACGTGGGCTGTCGGAAAACGCCGCGCCGAGATGGACAGTGTAGTGTATAGGGCTGGAATGCAAGATAAGGCCGGGTTGCACGCGCAGCGCTTTGTAGGTCGGAATTGTAAAGTGTGAAAAAGCCGAGTGGTTGTGAGTCTGATGAAGGGTGCCGCACAGGGTGGAATGATGTCAGTGACGGATTGGCTCGGAAGTGGTGTAGATAAAGCTGATAAGAGGGCCGGGCGTGTTATCGGTAATCGGTTGGATCGGCTTGTTCACGGACAGATACCGGAATGTGGATAGCGACGGTTTGTGGGGTTGGATCTTGCTCCTCTTCTTCAACCCACCAGGTTCGTATTCCAGACCACCATGGTCGATTTGATGGAATATCTTAGTTTCAGAAGCTCGGGAGACTATTAAGGACAACATAGTTACATATAGTAAAACCACCCAAGGATTGCTGTGAGATACATAGCGACTTTTAGGTCCCATTTGGCACACCTGTTTCACATGAGCCTTATCTTATCGGCATAAAGTGGAAGGGTGCTGGACGAAAGCGAAAGCTAGAAGCTTCCTAGAATCAAGAGTTCGCTGGGCCGACCATGCAAAGAACCATTCCATGACTATCGGCCGTGGCTTTTCCTTCGTTCGGGCCTTCGTATGGCGCACTCCTTTTAATATACCGACCCAACATCGATCTTGTTGCACGTGAATCAAGGTTGCTCCGAGATCCAAAAGGGAATCATTCATTCATTCAATGGAAGCCCATGTGGACACCGCTCAGGTGGCCCAGCCCCCAAGTCCACGTTAACAAAGCCATGGGAACAATAAAAAGAGTCCTTGACTTTCGAGGCAGAGCAGAGCAAAAAATAGTAGACGTACTTTGTTATCTCTTGGACGGACAATAACCTGCAATCTTCAACCGCATTTCATCATCATTGTTTATTTTTCCGATTTGTTTGGCTGTGAAATGCACATCATCGGGAACCAACAATTGTTAGTGCAAGACTTCGACTGAAGTGTGAAAGTGTCAGGAGGCGGCAGCGTCACGTGCGTCGTCACCGCCTGAGTCCCCTGTTTTGGATGGTGTCCCGCCTCTTGGCCAGTCGCCAATCACCAGGACCGGGACCCTCTGACGCCTTGACGCAGCTGAGCGGCCTGGTCACTGGTGAGCCAGCCTGCCCTCCACTGAGTGTGTGGGGGCTGCCACTGCCACTCAGGGCGCTCTCCCATTCCGCCCGGCATCAACTGCCCGGCCCTCTGTCGCTCTGCGTGCTGTTGCTGCCTTTCCACCTATCCTCCACATCATCAATCAACCAACAGACCACCCACCCCCCAAGACACGACCAACGACCTACAACTAATCTCATTAAAGCCATCCATCTTTCGCTCCACCACCGTTCTACGATACCCGCCTTAATTCTTCGCTTTCCAACAACCCAACACCACCACATCGCATATCGCGTCCCTCGTTGCCCATCATGAACCCTGAGTAGTAAGTTTATCAGGTCTCCTCCTGTCGCTCTCTGTCCTATCTGCCTTTCCTATATCTCCCTATGCTACTGCCGCGCGGCCGCCCTACACTCATCGCCGCCGCTCGTATCATGTTGTTTCCATGATTGCTAACACGTTTGACATTCAGGCTGCCCACCGCTTCCCCTCATCGCCCGGCGTCGTTCCCTTCCCTTCGCGCCTCGACCCATCACCGCCACCACCCTTTCAACGAACCCTGCTGACGATGCAATCAGATACGACTACCTCTTCAAGCTCCTCCTCATCGGTGACTCCGGTGTCGGAAAGTCTTGCTTGCTCCTTCGTTTCGCCGACGACACCTACACCGAGTCCTATATCTCCACCATCGGTGTCGACTTCGTACGTCCCATATCCCGTCTGCGCGACACATCCGTTCGACCCCCTTCAACATGCTGACCGTTTGGCTAGAAAATCCGCACTATCGAGCTCGATGGCAAGACCGTGAAGCTTCAGATCGTAAGCAACCCCCCGACATCCCTTGACACCTGGGGAATTCCGAGTCGCTGACCAAGTCGTCCAATCTAGTGGGATACCGCCGGCCAAGAACGTTTCCGTACCATCACCTCTTCCTACTACCGTGGCGCCCACGGTATCTGCGTTGTCTACGATGTCACGGATATGGACTCCTTCAACAACGTGAAGCAATGGCTTCAGGAGATTGACCGTTACGCCACCGAGGGTGTCAACAAGCTCCTCGTCGGCAACAAGAGCGATATGACCGACAAGAAGGTCGTCGAGTACACAGTCGCCAAGGTACGCAGCCATCCCTAACCCTAAGAAACGCGTTTTAAGCCACGTACTTACACATCAACCAACAGGAATTCGCCGACAGCCTGGGCATTCCCTTCCTCGAGACCTCCGCCAAGAACGCCAGCAACGTCGAGCAAGCTTTCCTTACCATGGCCCGCCAGATCAAGGAGCGCATGGGCAGCTCCATCGCCACCAACAACACGAAAGCCAGCGTCAACGTCTCCCCCGGCCACGGCGTCTCCAACAACTCTTCCGGCGGCTGCTGCTAAAGCGTCTATGCCCCACGGCATTGGTTGCGCTCTCGGCGTTACGGTTCTGCATCGGACGGTTTTTGACGACATGATGGTGCGGTTGGATGTTACGGCGTGTACATTGGGTTGAGCTGTAATGCAAATACTGCTCTAATGGGATCTCAGTTGGGAATTATTTCGGCTCTGCTTCTGTGGTTTTGCGAGGGACCTAGGGGGAGACTTGAGGCTGCTTTAACATGTTGCCTTGGGAATTCATCACGGCTCCGCGGACCCTTTTGCGCTTGCCGGGACAGGATAGGGTGGGGCCTAAGAGGATGGCGATCAAACGCACCGCAAAAAGGAGCCTAATAGCTGGCTCATCATCGGTGCACGTCACGATTCCTGGCAACGGGCAAAGGGGGGAAAGAGTGTGGGCTGGCTGGGACTCGGGATGGGGCGGTGGGCTTGTTTAGAGAGCTTCCACGAACCCTTACGTTTGGGGGGTTGTGTGTTGCGTGTGTGTATTTTCGATCTTGGGCATAACTGAGGACGCGGCACGGGTTTTTAACACATTGTTACTTTTGGTCTTTTTAAGGAGCTACTGTTTTGCTATTTCTTGTGTTTTTGAGGCAAACCCGCTTATTTTTCCTTGTCACAGCTCTCTCTCAAAGGAAATGTTCTGGAGAGACGACCAGCAGCACATTTACACCAGGAAGAACCACACGTACGCGCACACCCATGCACAAACACACGCTCACCAGCCTACAAGCCATGATCCAGACATAGACGCCCTCGATAGTCACTCGGGCTTGATGATTTGTTTCTCAAGGCAACGGATTGGTAATTCTAGATTTCGATAGTCTAATTGGATCTTTTAAACATATTATCGATATCATGCCGCCTGATCCAACGGCCGTGATCAAAACAGACTGCTGTGGATAACCCACTCTCCAGGGTCTAAACAGTAATATACCTACTGATGAGAACTCCAGTCGTCGGCAAATGCCCCTTGTATAAAAGGAAAGTATGGCCAGCCGTATCAGGGTCGAGGTTTTGTGTTCAAGCATCAATCGAGCATCAACGGCTTGAAAAGACACTCGGTCATTAAGCTTCACAACCATACCGTAGACAAGATCGACTTGTCATCTTTGTCAAGCTCCTCTCCGTGGTGAATGTGTGCCATAGGTACCGTACATCCTCTCCTAGTACCCAATGGTCGGTCCCCTCTTCGCATATGTGCGTTGCCAACAGTAGGTAGGTAGAGAGCGAGAGATTAAATTGGCCCCCCAAAACAACATGAAGCTATAGTAGACAAAGCCGAAACCATTCTACGCATATTATGCCATCCGCCCGAGCCGGAGGTCTAGGTTCTAGAATAGTTGTGTCTATACCTAGGTAGGTAGGTATTTTTCGTGGAATGGAAGGATAATAGACCGGCGTAGAGCGGAGAGGGCGGAACAGAGCCAGTCACTGCTTTTTTGGTTTACTTGCAAAAGGAGAAGGGACTTAGCAGGTGACTTGTTTTCCAAAGCACGTACACAGTAATAGTTTCCATATGTGCATAGTCCAAAAAAAAAAAAAAAAAAAAAAAAGGGAAAAAACTAAATATATTCCATTCATCTGATCAATACCTAGGTAGCTGTGAACATTTTGTTGATGTTCATTCGAGGTTTCATCAGCACGCATAGTAGGTAGGTAGGTAGGTAACTCAAACTAGTTGGTACCTACCTCTAGGTCTCTACGTAGGAAACAAAGTCCGTTTCGTTTCGTTTCGTAGGAATCAAATACTCTTTCAAGAATGCCTTACCTTACCTTACCTTACCTTACCCTGCGTGCGGATGGATGGATGGATGGATGGAAAATCGAAGCTCTCAGCTGTCGTTCCAACCAATCTTCGTTTTTTGTCCGTCGTTTTCCAATTCCATTCCATTCCATTCCATTCACTTTTTCACGGTGGCAGGCCAAATGCCAAATGGGTCCGCGGCAAAAGGTAGGTAGGTAGGTAGGTACGTAGGTAAGTGAGTGTTTCTTGTCGGCTTGAGCACAACGGAATGTGTGAAACTAACTGAACTGAAAGGACATGCACATGGTACTGGACTGGACTGGGATGATAAGTGAGGCCGACGTCCCGACGAGGGTGTGTGTGTGTGTGTGGAGGGGGAGAGGGAGAGGGAGAGGGAGAGGGACGGGGGAAACCAATGGTGCAAGTAGTGAGTAAGAAAGAGGGTTAGCATGTTGTTTTGTAGGTAAGTAGGCTGTGGTTATTTACCTAGTGTACTAGGTGATTGCGGGTACAGTGAGTTGAGTTGAGTGAGTGGGCTTGTTGCGTTTTATTTTTACATGCCTTCTTTAACTGGAGTGATCACCGAATCTTGGGTTGGGGGAGTGATGGTGATGATGAAACTTGGGAGAAAGAGGGAAAGAAACTAAGGAACTCGATTGGGGAGACAGGAGTATTACACTAGAGAGCTTGAGTGCTCGGCTGGGATCTGTGTGCGGTTATATATACAGTAAGTAAGTAATGGAAGGGGTACGGGTGACTTGAGAGAGTCTGCCTGTGCTAGACTAGGTAGATGTTTCCAATCCTCTGTTTTTTTTCTTTTTTTTTTCCTTCTTTTTGCATCTTTCCTTCTTTCCCTCCATTCTCACCCTCTAGGTGGCCTACTATTGGATTACCGCATTCAACCAGGTACTTTAGGTGTGTGTACCTACATAGCAACGTCCGCAAGAGCGTTCCCCAACGCTCTTCCAGGGCTGCAACGACAAGGGGTTCTCTCACAAATCACAATCAACCGAGGATAAGGATCATGAAGGAAGAAGCGACATCCGGCAGTTTGGGTTTGTACAACGTGTCGCACGGCAGAGATCTTATCGCACGTTACCAATTAGAGTTGATTGGACAACAATTTCTGGGACAGAAGGTTTCCAGAAAGAGTGAGGAGATGACAGACGACAAGGACGGGCGTCGAGGGACGTCCATTGTTCCAAAGTCAACAACATCCGACCATTTCGGCACAGGGGCATCTGGCCGGTGGCTCTTCAAGGCTTCTTCAAGATGGGCCGCCTCAGTTACCCGTTGGTGTGAGGAGGACTCTTGTCTGTTACACCAAACTCTACTCCTCCTCACACCAACAGGTTTCCCTTTTCAATCTTGCATTTCGTCCATCCTATGACGGACACCAGATGCCTCACTTGCTCTCTCGTTCTCACCATCAATCAGGAACTCATGCTGCACGGGTAGGATAGATTGTTTGTTGATGCGTGGACGGCTCGGCTGGGGAGGGCCCATCTTGATATTTACACTAATGGCACCACCCTACAACATCACATTTAGCATATGTTGTCCATGCAGGCATCATCCAGACCCAAAACGCATAACACCGATTCATCACCGCCCCTCCTTTTTTTTCCGTTCTCGAACCAGCAACTGCAAGCATCAACCGGCACGTGCATGTACTTGATGCACTCCTCCTCGTCGTGCACCCATTCGCACCCATCCTCGACGTACAGGCCCCAGCTCATCCAGTACCAATTCCTTGTATCTTCCTGCGGCTTGGGCGTCTCGCTGGTGGGCACCGTTTGGATGCGAAGCTGCACCGTGAGCGGGCCCTTGAGCACCTTGCCGTAGAGCGGGCTCCCGGGCCCGCAGAACCGGCCCATCTGCTCGATGGCGTCTGCGCGGCCAAACGTGTTTTGATTGGCACCAGAGTCCACACACCACACTGAGTTATCATCGGGGTAGCCCTGGTGGTGGCCGGGCTCCGCATAGCTGGCCACCTCGTTGCGGTCGAACTTGGCATTATCTCGAAGGAAGCTGTCATAACCCAGGTGTAGCTTACCCCAGCCAGCGGCCCTGAGCTCGGCGGCAAAGTCGGTCATGTTGACCGCCTGGAGGACATTGGCGTCGGCGGGCATGTTTGTGGGAGCTCGGCGTGGTTCGCCGGCGTCGAACTTGACAGGTTTGCAATCGTTGGCTTGGGCAACGATTGGGAAGAGAGCCACCAGCGACGCCAGGAGGACGGTCGCGAGGGTGATCAAGGTCCTGCACGACATCATTGTATCGTAGTGATACGGTCGTGGGTGGTGCTGGGATGGTGTTCTGCGTTTCGAAAGGTTAGATTTGGAGGCACACTGCAAGATGGGAAATGGTATCATCAAACCTTTGGTGGATATATGTCGGGAACCCGGTGATCCGTAATTTAAGGAAAGGAGCGAATACGCCGATTGATGAAGCGTTGGAGAAAAAAAAACAACAAGTAAGCAGTGAGAGGATCCATATTAAAAATAGATGTTCAATGTAAATGCTTGATACAGCTGGCTGGATGAAAAGAAGATAACAGGCTGGCTGGATGGTGAAGAAGAAGAAGAGATTTGTATCAAGGCGAAATGGGGCAGACCCGACGTTATATAGGCACCACTCCAAGAGAACAGGTTCCAGGCGGGATGCACTTTCCTTATGTACCTAACAGTAGAGGTAAGTAAAGACACCACTGCACTTGGAAGGTCCGGGGGAGAAGACCAGCTTTCTGAACACGAATTCATGTGACAGGTGCTAACCAGCACGACACACAGCACTGTCTGCAAGCTGCTCCGGAACTCCGTAGCAGCCGCATACATAAACACCGACGCCCGTGGCCTTCCTAACCAGGGCAGAATATGCGGACAGCGTGTGAAGTGGCAAGGATAGCACAATCTTGTTCAGTTCGATTGTCATGAGCTGAATCCCGTCTCCCTACCTATTCTGACTCTTCACCATCACCATCACCAACGCCATCCTCCGCCTCCTTCCCATCAACTGGCGCTCCCTCTCCGCCCTCGGCCTGCACAGCCTTTCTCCTCTTCTTCTTGTTCTTCTTCTTTTTCCTGTTCTCGTTTTCCTTCTTTTTCTTTGCCTGCTGTTGAGATTGCCCAGCAGCTGTGCTAGGTTCGCTTTCTGACTTGGGCGTATCTTCTGTTTGCGGAGTCGTGGCTGTCGTCAGACTTGGTTCCTGCTCTGCGCTTGCTGCGCTTGCGTCTGGTTTATGCTGGTCATTTCCTGTTGCTTTGTCCGTAGCAGCAGCAACAGCAGCAGCAGGATTTTTCTCGTCCTTATCCTGGACCTGTCCGTCATTCACCACCTTGATATCGCCCGCAACTGCCTTGCTCTCCCCCACCACTGCCTTGCTCTCTCCAAGCATCGACCCAGGCAGAGGTACAGCTCCCCTCCCCTTCGCATCGCCCCCGGGCCTCCCCCTCCCCGCACCTCTGCCTTCCCGGCCCTTCCCCCCCTCCAAATCCGCTGCAGAAACAACACCCCTCTTCTTCCCCCTAACAGCCCCCGCCCTGCCCACCTCCTCCTCGCTCTCACTCTCCTCCATTTTCTTTCTTTTCATGCCCGCACCCTCCACCCCCTGCTGCTGCCCACTCCTTCCCTGTTGTCCAGGCTGCCACTTCAACCCCATCTTCCTCCTCAACTCCCTCTCCTCTTTACTCCCCATCCCTCCTTGGCCACCGTTGGTGCCGTTATCAGATTTAGACAGCGGCACCCAACCCAGTCCAGCATTGGGCGGTTGATTGAGTATCGACCTGATCTCCTCTTCGTGGTCTGGGATCCTTCTTTTCTCCTCCTCCTCTCCTTCCTCTTGTCCCTGCTTCTCCGTGGTGGGGTTCGTTGATCCAGATTTCTGTTGTTGTAAAAGGGTTGAAAATCCCCCGGACTTGGTGGTGGTGGCGGGCTTGCTACTGCTGCTCTCCGAAGTCGGGCGATGATGCTTGGAAAGAGAAGCCAACAACCCGCGGTGCTTGGACATGGAGAGGGAGACGGAATTGAGGACTTGGTTGAGGTCCGGGGCCACGGGGGGTTTGCCGTTGCCGTTGCCGTTGCCGTTGCCGTTGCCGTTGGGGCCGCTTGCGCCTCCGTTGTTGTTTGAGGGTTTGGACATCTTGGGTGAATGAAGCACAAGTGCGATGCTTGAGTTTTGGCTGAGTGCCTGGTGATGGCGGTTGGTGATGGGTAAGTAGTGAAGATTTGCAGCGCTTCCTTTGGTTAGGTGAGTATACAAATCGGTCTCCAATTTAATCTCGGGGGTGGTTGACGAGTTTGAATTGGTGACGGCGATGATTGACCACCACTGCGCTACGTCCCGGCGCGTGAGAATCCAGGTGAAAAAAAATGAAGGACGAAGCTGTTCGTGAAAGAAGGTCGTCGAACCGCAAGATTCCAGAAAGAACGTTGGGGAGTTGGAAAGTGCTTATCGGAAATTTCGCTGCCTTATCGAGGCGCATTGTTTGATTGGCTACCGGTAGAGGTATCTGGAGATCCACACGGAGCCCGGACCCGGACGGGAGCCGCACGGAACCCCGCTCAGACCGGGCCCGGACGACATCGGGGTTAGGACGAGCGGGAACGGCCAAACGGAGTAATCACCCCGGAGCCCGGAGGTTGAATGCTCTGTGCTTTGTCTTTTCTTCGTTGCGTCATCACCCTTTTTATAGTGCCGATATCGGTGCCATGTTCAAGATCCTGCAGATTGCTGCGCCGGGATGCACGCTGCAGGCACGCTGCGGGAGAAGCCGCTGTCGGTGATCTGTGGTGGAGTTTCGGTTCGGTCTTAAGGTGTCCTTTGCCAGTCCCGGATCCGGTTGATGGATGTGAAGGACAGGGCAGGCACACGCGTGATGGTTATTGTCTTGGAGTCTGCAGTGGCAGTGTCCTGTTTGGAGCGACACACAGCCAGATGTGTTGGGAAGCAGTGACTGGAATCTAGTTTACGTCCTTGGATAACCACTTGCGTCTTTCTGTAACACCCCCCTGGTTTGGTACTTTATTCTTGATTCGATTATTGTAGTACTACACTACTAGTCCATTACACCTGCTCATTGAAAGAGCCTGGTCAAGGTTGGTAGGGTGATCAAGCAGGTAGCTTCTACCTATCTCACTCTCACTGACTGCTCAATTTTTCGAGGAACACCACATCACGCCAAATCCCCGCCGTCAGCCGTACCGCCTCCATCCATTTCACCATGCTTCCCCTCCTTCGCCAGGAGCAATGCAAGGCGAACAACAAGAACATATAGAATATAGATGTTAAGGAAAAGTTTGAAGGAGACAGCCAAGAAATTCATAGCTATCACGCAAGTATTAGGTTAGTTTAGTAGTGTAAGTATCCAATTACTATCCAACGGCATCTCCTGGATCCACCGCAAGTGAAAGGTACCCGAAAATCTAGCAAAAGAAACATATGAAAGGAAAATGATAATGGTACGATCAGTTCGTATGTGTTTTTGAAAAGTGAGAACTACTTTAATTAATGATAAAAAGGAGGAGTATGATGGTGGTGATGGTGGTTTATAAGACGCTGTGTTCGACCTGCCCACGCTGTTATTTCGTTGAAATGTTTTATGCGTTTGGACAGCCCTCACATCAGTCGTTTTCGCTTGCGGTCTTCGTCGCCTCGGGGGTCTTCATCCTCGTCGTCTCTTTCTGCAGTATCGGTCGGGTTCAAGATATGGGCCATGCTTCCTCTCCTGGTGGGCGGCGCCGAGTGATCCCTCACTGAAAGATTCTTGTTTTCACGGCCAGCCGAGTTCCAGGACCAGTTTCCGAAAGTGTCCCCTCCACCGTTAGTAGAGAAGGTAGGAGGGGCTGGCGGCGACGCTGGCCTGGAACGAGGTTGCGAAGCAGACTGCAGAGAGTAGTGCGAAAACGAATCCCGAATGCGTTGGTCTTCGGACAACCCAGGACGATTTGGCGACGAAGGCCATTGCGAGGATGGCGGGCCAGAGAAGGTTGGAGGAGGGTTGGGGGGAGGAGGGTTAGCCTGCCAACCGTGAGCACGGATATCGGCCGTGGTATGTCTCCTCGCCAAGCCCGGGTGTAGCTCAACGTTCGACAGGGGATGAGGAGGCGGAGGTGGCGGGTGCGGGCGGAGGGAAGATGGAGATGTTCCTGCCGAGTTGCCGCTGGTGGAGCCATACGGCCTACGGCCCGGGGTACTTATCGACAGGTTCGAAGGGACGGCAGGGCGATAAGTGTTGTAACCCGATAGCCGAGGTGGTTGACCCGGAACCGTCAAGGTAGGGCCAGATCTCCGCGGGTCGTCCTGGGGCATTTGCCGCGGTGATACGGGGGCGTTCTCCACATTTGAGAAGTAGGGACGGGTACTAGCGAAGACGGACTCATGAGGCTCGTCTAACGAGCGAAACACCTCCATCTGGCGTTGAACCTGCCCTTGCAAAGCCGATACTGGAAAGCATATTAGTGATTCATTCACCCACAACCTGCCAAGTCAAGAACTTACCGTCATGGTGAATCGGGTTGTCAGGCGAAGGAGCGAGGGCCAGTACGGCCCGCGAAAGCTCATGGTTGAACTGAAGCAAGCGCGAGACCGTGTCCATGATGGCCTGATGCTTGATATGCATAAACTGGGCGTTCTCCTCGTGTCGCTGAAGTCGAGTGCTGAGATCGTAGAGAGTATGCTCGATACTGTTAAGCCTAGGGTCTCCTCCTCCTTGGACTTCCTGCATGGGAGGCATAGGCTCGGCCGGGGTGCCTGGTTGTGACGTCGGGGCCTTTGGGTTGTTGTTGTACTCTCTATGTACCAGAGAATGCCGAGAAGCTCGACGCTTGATCTCACGCAAGCTAACCAGGTCTCCGCGTTTGAAGCTGCCGTTGCCATGCTTGAACTCCCAAATGGTGGCGTCTGGAGCTCCGTGGTGGAAGACATCGCTCACTTTTCGAGCGGGTTAGTGACTGTTGGTAACCTGTTCTGAGAAAAATTCCTTACCTTTGTGAAATCCGTACATGTTGAGCTGGCGGACAAAGGATGAGATATTGGTATGTTTAAAGTATTGGCTGCTGGCTGTTAGCGACCTGGTCAGTTTTAATGATAGAAAGTAATCTCCCAACTTACGCCAAGACCTTGGAGAACTCTTGCGAAGGCTGCATAACGAAGCTCTCGGAGGTGGGCGACCATGATATCAGATGCTGTATCGATTTGTCCTCCAACATGTTGTATAGCTTGTGGATGAAGGCCGTTTGAACAATCTTGGGCTGGTGAACCGCGGGGGCAGCGGCAGCCGGTGCTGGCATAATGATGTTATCCGGGGACAACTGATCGTTCAGTTGCGGTCGGCCATTGGGGGCTGCCTGAGCGTTTACTAAATTGTCCTCAGCTGGGCTCTTGGGTGCCGGTAGGGAATCCGAACTGCTTGGGGCTGTCATGGTAGCATTATTGTTGTTGCTATTGCTGTTACTGTTGCTGCTGTTGTTGCTGTTGCTGGGGGTGATATCCATCGGGTCGCCCGGAGGAGCCGACATTTGGATGGTTGGTGTGATGATGGGTAGGTTTCTTCCACCCATTGGGTCTTCTGGCTTGTCGGCCAGGTGGTTTCTCGGTGCGCTTTCAGTTGCGGTAGCCATCTGCACTGTACATGGGCGGCGATTGTGTCAGCAAAGCGCAACGAAGCAATATGAGGATACCCGTTGGTGCCATCCGATCCAGCACTACTCCGGACCGGACCTCGGATGACAGATGGTAGGTGTGCTCCGTGCAGTGGAAGGGAAGCCGGCGATGGACCGGATGGCAGACCGGCCGATAGACGGCGGGCCTCGGACCACCTCACCCACATGGGATCCATTCCACCTCCATGGCGCATTGTTTTGTATGGGGATAAAACATGGAGGGGGGGGGGATATTAGCCTACCTCATCGCGTGGCGCAAACGAACCTTATGGTTTGTTGCGCGTCAATCCGGTCAAGGAACTCCCCCACCGTGTCGATGTGTAGGCTAGCTTCCTTGTGTATGCTTTGTTCGCGACGGCGACTCGGAAAAGGTTCGAGGCTTGTGTCTGTCTTTTGCTACTTCCTGTAGCTTGTGGCCAGGACCCGCTTGGATGTGATGAATGGTGACAGGTAGCCGGTACCCGAGCTGTCCCAGACAATGGGTTCGTTCTGTAGCCGGGGAGGCGGTCGATCGAGAGGCGTCGTCGGTGGCAGACAAGCAGGATGTATGTCTGTCTTGCTTGCGGTGGGAATGAGCAAGCAGCAGGGAGGAGACGAGATGGGCGGACGGAGACGGGGGGGACGGGAGATGGTCGGTCGGGTTAGAAACCGGGTGGAAGAAAGTGGACTTCTAGTCCTTGCTGGTCTGATGGTCGGCAGCACGGTCGGGGGCTAGTGAGTTGTCGGGAGATGGAGTGGAGCGAAAAGGCATTTGTTTTTTTTTCTCGAGCGCTCCTTCGCTGCCGGTCGGTGGCGCAACAAGGACGGAGAACGGAGACGACTCGGGGCTAAAGTAACCGGTGGTCGACCTCGAAACGGGGGGACAATTGTGTCGAATCTACGAATCGATGTCCAAGAAGTGGGCGGTCTAGTGGAGGACCACAGAGGACCATGGGAGGACCAAGCAGCTGCTGTGATTGATTGGTTCAGCGGCGGATGCTTGGTCAGTGGCCGATCCGGGGGAACATTTCCTAGGCCTGACCAAGACGGGACCTCTGGCAAGAAACCACAAAGTCGTAGGAACGTGTACAAGCAGATGTACCCCCCGTGGAGATTTGTTGACTTGGTCGACCAAGAGAGTCTTGACAACGATGACATTGACAACGCCAACGGACATGAACATGACGGGGAGAGGTTCGCATATAATCCAGGGGCTGTTCCTTGGATGCACTGGCCGCTGTCGCATGGAAAATCAAACAAGCATCCACCAGGCCTATCTGCGTCTGCTTACAGATGTCTGCGTATTCGGATTTGTCCCAAGAAACCCACATTCAGTATGCGCATGAGGATGTGCAGGAGAACCCAAGATGCCTTCCTCTTTGGACTGGAAATCGTCTTTTTTCTCAGAACCAGTCCTGTGTCCACGGGTCTTTCCCTCAGATGGACAGCACCTGTCGAATGACGGAAAGAATGAATGGCCGTGACATGAGGGGCATAGTTTGAAGGTGCTTCACTATCTCTTTAGCTCTCAACATGCATGGCATGCAGTTAGTGCAGTACCTCGCTTGAACCTTCCATAAGCACAGCACCCGGGAGTTTTGACTTGGCGTCTCCCCTGCAGCATCTCTAACCTCCTCCGCAATCGCATTGAACATGACCGCCTTCCATTCCAGGCTCGACCTTGTTTTCCAGACTTGGTCACGCCGCCGGCAAGCAAGCAGCTATCAAGCAGCTATCCTGCCCGCAGTCCATACATGCAGATTGGCAATACTCGTCAGGTACCCCCTCTGAGCCCCTGATTCCGAGGTGAAGGAAACAGGCAGGAGGGAGTCAGTCAGTCAGTCAGTCAGTCAGTCAGTCAGGAACCCGGAGCACGGCTCGAATGCACAGAGAAATGGAAATGAAAGAGGCGTTGAAACAGGGCCAATCGCAGCCCAAACCCATAAACGGGCGGAATTCCGTTCGCCTGGCCCATCAGAGAATCAGAGACAGAGCCGGAGACAAGAGAGAGAAACACCTGCGCTTTACAACATTAGACAGCCGACACAAGACCACACGGCCGAGGGGGAGATTGATAACTGAAGAATACAGTGGTAGCCAGATCAAACGGCCCAGATGAACATGTTGAGATCGGAGTTCAGAAAAGCCACCCAGCTGCCACGCAGTTGAGCCAGACAGTCATTAGTACATGGCACCAACTGCTGAGTGGCTCGCCACAATACCTGGTACCCTTCCTTCTCGAGGTAAGCCATCCCTTCCAGGGCCAAACGTTTCTTCTACACACGCGCAAAAAGGATCGAAAAAAGAAGCTCTAGAAAATCTGGAACTTCTCTTTGACCACGTTCCAGTAGTATTTGTTTTGTTCCTGGTCGGAAAAGGAATGGGAGGAAGAATGGAACCACGACTCTCAAAAAGAATGCTGATCCACGCAGGGCATCATTGAGTACCACCATAGCTTATACCGTACGACCGTAAACTCTCCATGAACCACTTTCCGTCCGGCTTTGGTACACGGCTTCCATAGGAGTTCCTGTTCCTGTCGTAACTCCAGCTGCGTTACTCGCATAGCGGCACGATGGAGGAGGGAACCCATTCAAACGGCGCTGCTTGCCCTCCCACGCTCCCTCCCTCTTCATGCACCTCATTTGGGTAGGGCAGCGGATCGGATAGGGACACCCTTGGCCAGTCTTGGCTCGTGGCAGCCATTTCCGATGCAGACCACCATGACGACCATGACCTTGAGTCCTTGACCTCCTCCATCTCGAAACATCCCGATACCCACCTGCACAAGTTGGCTGTCATCATTCGGACAGAGTTGCTGTTCTCTTTTTCACCGGGGAAAAACCGTCCGCATCTTATATGGCGCAGAGAAGCCAGTGCACGCCAAATCTCCCGTTGTTATGTGGCGGGTCTCAGAGCCCATAAAAGTTACACCAAGACGTCTTTCGGGCATCTCCTGACAGTTCAGTTCAGTTCAGCAGCGCCGTGGAGAATGGAGAGAAAGGTGAATGAATGACCTGAAAGATTCCATCTCCCACCTCCGCAAGGCTCTGAATAGGGGTGGTCGGAAATTTTTTTATTATTATTAGGAAAATGCAGATCGAGATAGGAAAACGGCATGTTGAACCGGTTTCCGCGGCTGCATGGAGTCGGAATCATGTTAATGGCCAACATTTGGGGTCCATTCATGGGCAAGCAAACTATGACTGACTCCCAGGTGGTGCATATCATCTCCAATTCTCCATGCGGTCTGGTCGTGAGGGTGTTACGCTTCGGAGCTTTTTCGTTGGCGAGAAACACAACAAGAGAGAAGAGAGAGAGAGTGGATGATGATGATGATGAATCCGTGGATGAGGCTTCAGTTCAGCTTCGACTGTGTACCAGAAATGGAAGAGGCCGATATTGGATTCCGATCTGTCCCCCCATGCTCCCATGCCGATCCCCCTCCCCGTTTTGGTCACTTGTTCTTCCCGTCTCCCGCAAAGGAAGGCACAAAGTGAAAGGCACGTCACGCATTGCACCAACAATTTAATACCACATTAACTAAGCGACCTGAAACTGCTGACTTTTCAGTTGCCCAAACTGTCCATCTTCAGCTTCCATTTCCCGTCTTCTCATCATCTCTTCATTCCATCTTCCGCTTGCAACCTTTCCACACCCTGAACCAGGGCACGTACTTCGTGCCATACAGCCATCATCGCCAAGCGGATGGAGATCCCGCTTCGGACGACGGGAGGGAGTTCCCCAGAGCTAGGTACCCTCCTCGACAGTACTAATCAGCCCTGCCAATCTCTGAAACCCAGTCCAAACCTGGATTGAATTAATACCAGGGGCCGCTATAAGTCGATCATTCAGGGTCATCATTTGCGGTCACTTGGGCCCTACTGTTTATACCCGGGCGATAGATAGTCCTGATGATCATCCTTGCGGAACCTCACTAAATCTCCGGGATTTCGTCCACGGAGTAAATGGAACTGCGTCGGATGTCAACAAATCACAGGGCAACTCTACCCGTCGGTTCCTTTTCATTCAGTTCCTCTCATTCAATATGTCAAGATGTGTCCATGTGCCTTGTTCAGATCCCCTTCATTTCCATTTCTGTCTTTCTGTTCTTGGCCCCCCATCCCATATGCATAGCTGCATGACTGCGGGCATCCACCGCATCTTCCATTCTCTCAGTACAATTACTAGGAGAATCGCTTCAAGAGGAAAGAACTACATACGTAGCACTTGGAAAGATCAAAGATCGACATTAAATACGTACATACATACACTACATGGACCATGGGCCCACGGCGGCGGCTCCTGGACATTCATTCATTGATGGACCGCCCCGTCCGGGTTCAGTATCCCGTCCGTCCCCGTCTCCGTCGCTTTCGTGATTGATGATGATCCACAAGGGCAAGGGCAAGATCTGGTGACCTGTTATGGTGACCTCGGGAACTGGGGACGGACCTGACGAATTTTGTACATACATACAAGAGCACTAGAGCAGGCAGGTGTCACGGCAGCTTCCGGGACACACACGCACACACACACACACACACACACACACACATATATATATGTACATATGTGCAGCAAGCAGCTAGGTTCGAGGTCTGCTGCTGCTGCCAGGTACCACACCCTACATACAGGTAAATGTAGATGCCGCGCGTGCACGTGGTGTTACATACGTGTACGTTAGTGTATGTATGTATGTATGTATGTATGTATGTATGTATGTATGTAGAGGCACAGGACAGACAGGGCCCTACATAGTAGGTTACTGAATGATTGACGACGGACGGGATGGGTGGGATATGCATTGGTCATGGTCATTCAGGGGTAGTTACCTCTAGGTAGGTTGTATGTAGATGATGGAAATGATGGACATGATGGACCTGTTTGGGACCGGGAAGAACTAAGGTAAGTGCCTGTGTAGGTGTAGGTTCTAGGGTCCGAATTTGTTGACGGACTAGACTAGGTCGGAAGAGATGATATGGATCTCCAGACATGTTCTCTTTTCTTGCGTACCTACCTACCTTACCTACCGCACGTAACGAAGGTGGTTGTTTATGCGTTTCGAGCGGGTGTCTGGGAGCAGCTAGATCTAGCTGCATATAATGTTGATCTCCTGGTGTGGTGTGTCTTAAAAGATGTTGTTAGTTAGTTATGTCTGACATGGAATCGTCCGGCTAAAAACAACCCCCAGGGTTGACAGTGTGGACTGAAAAGGGTGAGGCGGGTATTTACCTAGAGCGTCCATTGGTTATTTATTTCCTCGTTTTGACTTCAGCAATTCATCGGATGGCTCCTTGCCAGACGACAAGTTGTGGGCGTTGTATGTACTAACTTTATGTGTTCTCTGTATGTGTTCACATTGCTTTTTCTTTTCTTCGGGATTGACGAAACGAACGGGAAGAACTGGAGGGAAGTAGTGTACTGTAGCAGCCCCTCCAGTTCATCACTACCTACGCTGCTGGTTTGGTTGTTTTGTCACATCACACACACGAGGTGGATGTGATAGGTAGGCAGCGAGGCAGGTGACCCGACGTAAAGTCAGTAACATGATAGGCTCCAATGACATGAGAGAGCAAGAAGGAAGACACAGGATAGTGTATTCTCACCGTCTTCGTTATAACCTTAAAAGCAATTCCGGAAACCGAACCACAAAGCGGGATGGACTTTTCCAAACAAACACTACTCCCACCCCAGACATAATCTTTGGCACACATGGATACAAGCAAAGCCGTGGCTCGAACAGCAAAAAGCAAAATAGAAAAAAGCCTACCCATAACACCGACCTCTACTTCAAGACTCCCCCACCCCTAAGCACCTAAGCAAAAGGATCCTCCTCCTCCCCCTCACTCCCCTCCTCCCCGGCTACCCTCCTCTCCCCCATCTCTCTAATCTTCTCCCCCAATATCCTCCTCCCATACCTCTCAGCAACCTTACCGGCCGCCTCAATCATCCGTCCCGTTCTGTCTTTCATAAGCTGCACCACCTCCAGCGCCCTCATCCCCCTGTCCTCGCCCTCGCGGCACTCAATCGCCAGTAACTGCAGCAAGGTCTTGTCGATGTCGAGTTCCAACCGGGCGAGCGCCGCGCGCTGCGAGGCCGTGGAGCGGGAGCTTTCGAGCTGGTCCGAGAGCTGCGCGGCGCGCAGCGAGGAGAGGAGGAAGGACTGGGTGAGGGGGAGGGATTCTTTTGTTGTTAGGGGGTCGGCGTTGTTTTCGGAGTCGGAGTCGTCGGCTTCTGATGCGGTGGAATCGTTGTCCTCCTCCTCCTCTCCGTCAACGTCCATTAGATCGTCGCCGCTACGTTGCTTCTTCTTCGACTTCGACTTCGACTTCGACTTCTTGGGCTTCGCAGAGGTGAGGGGCACGGCAAAGTCGAATTCGGAAAGCAAGGGGCGAGGGAAGTAGGGGTATTGGTCGCCGCCTTTGAGGATGATGCAGTGAAATTTGTTGTCGGCGACGGCGATGGGGAAGTAGGATTCCTTTTTGCGGCCGGAGGCGAGGCGCGGGAGAAGACGGGTGTCGAGAAGGGGGACCCAGACGGCCCGGGAGGGACGGCGCCAGTGAAGGAGGGTGAGGAGAGTGCCGGTTGAGTCGTAGATGCAGGGGTCCTGGACGGGATGTTAGTGGGTGGGTGAGTTATGAGGAGACGGGGAGGAAACAAGACGTACGCCATTGTCAGAAAAGAAGACGCTCTTCACTGTCGCGCCTTCAGGAAGGGCGACGGTGTCTTCGTTCTGACAAACTTCATCCCGCTTGATGTTCTCAATGGTATACAACAACCGCGACATACCATCCGCACCCACGGGCCCGTTGCCCATAGTCAGGACGTAGTCCCTCCAACTGGCGCATGTCACGATCGGCGTGCTCTTGGGCCTGTACACCCTCACGGGAATGCCGAAAAGGGTGTATATCCTCACATAGTTACCCGTTGTTGTGACGGTAATGTAGGAATCACTCAGCGACATGGCCAGCACCGCCTCGCCCTTGGGCAGCTGTATGCGCCATTCATTTCTCTGCGTCCAAGTCTCATGAGGACGGTAAAAGACCACAGCTGGCGAGCCGTCATCTTTTGGTGGGCACGAGAAAAGGCTTCCCTTGTCGTTCAAGCAGGCCTTATCGTAGAGGAAAGTATCGGTAAAGTGGAAGTCCCTGTGGAACTCGTGGTCGTAGAACTCGACGGTTACGGTGTTATGGGAGTCTTGGTCGACGGTCCAGACGAAGCCGATCAGGTTCAAGCACAGATATTTCCGGTTGCCGCGCCACGGGGTTGATCCAGGTTGGAAGGAGGGGTGGTGTTGTGGTTGGACAAAGTTGCCTCGCTTTGTTGGGTGGCTCTCGTAGATAGCATCGTCTTCGGCTGGGCGTTTGCGGCCCGCGTTGAGGGTGTATCCTGCGCCGTCATCGTCCACCACGAAGTCGTCGTCGTCGCCGTAGTTTTCGTCGAGGAGGTCATCGAGGTCGGCGTCTACGGAGTCTCTGCGTGGGCGAGCGTCGGGCTTGGGGCCGCTAACTTCTAGGCGGCGGGTGTTGTTGGACAGTTCGGTGAGAGGGTCGTGGATGAAGGGGGCGGGCTGTTTCGGTAGCCTGAGAAGAGAGGCGAACTGCTCTGGGACGAAGTCGGGGCTGATATAAAGCTCTCCATCGGAGGTTGTGAATGAGGCAAGGTTCTTGGTAGGATGCCAGCAGATATCCGTGACATTGGGATATTCGTATCTCGCAATGACACTCTGGTCCTTGGTTGACCAAATCAGGAGCTTCTTGTCTTTGCCAGCCGAGGCGAGAAGGGCACCGTTGGGCGACCAAGAAAGGGCTGTGATATCTCCATCATGACCGTTCTTGAATACCCGCTGCTTCTCCCAGTCGTTCTTGGAAATAACCTGGATGTCTCGTGTAGGAGTTGGTACGGCAAAGGCGCGGCCATCGGGGTGCCAGACTGCCCTTGACAAGGCTTCAGACTCAGTCTCTAGCCTACCAATGACACCATCCACCTTGCGAATAAGCTCGGGGTGTTCGGCCGTCAGAGAGTAGATGTATATGACGCCGTCGGTACATGATAGCGCGAGCAGGCTTCCCTTGGGATCGAAGGTCAAGTGTTTCGTCGGCTTTCCGTGTTCTTTGAGGGTACGTAGTTGGGTGTTGTCGTGGACCCCGACCAGCCTAACTGTCAGCTCGTCGCTGGCAACAGCGCACCATTGATGGTCTGGGGATATCGCGACATCGCGGACTGGGAGAGAGGTTCGCAGAAGGAAACGGTCGAAGGCATTGGTGTCGAGGGAGTACAGACTGACGGTACCGTCTTCGGAGCCGGCCACAAAGTAGTTGTTGCTGGTGGCAAGGGCAAGGTTCTGTTCCTGGCAGTCGTCGATATTCGTGGGTTCGCCTTCGTAGCCCGTCTTGTAGAGTCTGGTGGTGTTGTTGGACCCGACCGTCACCAGTCTGGTGCCATCGGGGGTGTAGGCGCAGTATGTCGCTCCCGGTGGATGGGCGGGTCGTGACCGTGGTCGAGATGCGATTAGGGTGGTCATGTTTGGATCTGGCGAGTCTGTTTACTTTGCAACCATTCAAGTTCCCTTTAGGCGCAAAGAAGGAAGAGGGAAGAGGAAGTGAATGGTAAAGTCGTATACAGCGTGTAAGTTACGAAATCGAAAGACGCGTCGAGCGCGTTTTCCATTTACGGCACGCGTTATCGAGTTATCAATGCCCCACCATGTCATGCCCAGCGAGCGGGGCCCACTCATTGGGCGCTGAGCTTCCCCGCCAAATGCTGACAGGGGCAGCTCCTCCCGCTGCTGTAGGGGCAACTGTTAAGGATCTCTCTTCTGCTACGCGTGTTTCTTAACAGCTCCTAAACACTTCTCTGTAAACTTGGTCCCCTTTTTGTCTGCCTGTTGACCTTCGAATCATCTGGAACTTAATCCACTCTCGTCATCAGGCGGTCACTTACAAATCAGAGGACATATTTCTTTGTGAGAAAGAGGTATAGAAGCCTTTTTCTTGAGATCTCTTACCAGATTCTGCACAGAAGGACCCATTATCAAACAGCCTCACAGTCATCCATCAAGATGCAGTCCTCAGACCCTCGTCACTTCTTCGAGACCGAGTAAGTAAACAGGCCTTCCCCTGAGATGAACAAAGATCTAACATGTTGCAGTGCGGAGATCGCAAAGAGGGAGAGGAGAGAAGCCAAGACCAGTAACACCTATGGCAATCTCATCAAGCTCAAGTCCAAGATCCTCGGGGCCGTTGTTGACTCCCGTGCTCCCTCTTCGGCCATTTTCGTAGCCGAGTCCGCGGGATCAGTCCGAAGAGTCCAGGTGGACGGTGAGGGAGACACAAGGACAGTCTACCGCGGTCCCACGACACCCGTCAGTTGTGTAGCTGTTGGTGGTCCCGGAAACAAGACCGTCTTTGCCGGTGCCTGGGACAAGAACATCTGGTCCTGGGACATTGACACCAAGGCTCCGGGCCGCAAGTATGCTGGTCACTCCGACTTCGTCAAAGCCATCGTTTGCGCAAAGCTCGGTGGAAAAGACGTTCTGGTCAGCGGTGGTGCCGACAAGAAGATCATCGTTTGGGATGTTGCAACCGGCTCCAAGCTACATGTGCTGCAGGACAGCGTGGTGAACATGCTCAGCATCCAGGACCTGGTTGTTGACCCTGCTTCCTCGTCAGAGGATGAGTTGTGTATCATCAGCGCCAGCAGCGACCCGCACATCCGCCGTTGGAAGATTCGTCTAGATGGATGGGAGCAGTTCGCGGAGCCTGACCCTGCTACCCCGGCGGCAGAGCGACATACCATCCTCGAGCACGAGACAACTGTCTATAAGCTTGTCATTGATCACGACGGCGACGAGGTCGACCTGTGGTCCGCGAGTGGTGATGGATCCGCCAAATGTCTCTCCAGAATCAAGGGCTTCACTACTGACGACACTTTTGAGCACGGCGACCACGTCCGTGCTGTGGCGGTTACAGATCAATGGGTCATCACCGCTGGACGTGATGAAGACCTCAAGGTCTGGGACCGGACTTCAGGCAAACTTTACTGCTCCCTGGAGGGCCACTATGACGAAGTGACCGAGCTGGTCATTCTCAGGGGCTCCGCCGGATCAAGCGAGCGCGTTTGCAGCGTGAGCATTGATGGCACCGTCAGGACGTGGCCTTTGGACAAGGCTAGCCTAGATGCTGCCGTTGAGGAGCAAAAGAAGCCTATCAAGCCCGCAGAGGAGGAGAAGCCCGATGGTGAAGGGCTATTGACGGCTGATGAAGAGGCCGAGCTTGCCGCCCTGATGGAGGATGACGATTAAAGTGGACCACGACCTATGCAGCATCCCATCGAGGGCTCCTGCATGAAAAATGATGAGGCAGCCGTTTCGATGCTTTCCCGTATCTCGATGCCTGACCCTTGGCCGAGTCGGTCACGCTCCTGTCTGGATTGGGGAGATTCTTTCTCGTGAACGGGTACACTGCGTCAGTGGCTGTCAGGACCAGACCTCCAAGGACCCTTTCGCGCTCCGTGAGTCCATCAATTTGCGGCAACCATATGCGGTTATCCGTTCAGCTTTACGGATGCGCGCACTGGCTGGGGCTGTGGTTGGTTCCAAGGAACATGAACAGGCTCTCGTTTGCGCCGCACGGCATCCAGAAGTTTCGAAACGAACAGGGCAGACTATGATCTTTGATAGCCGCTTTGTCCTCCATTGTTTGGTTGTCATCAGTTTTTCAGGCACACTCAACAAGCTTCAAACTCCCGCCTGGGTGCAGGAAAACACACATCTATGCGGGCAACCGCCACGAGGGAGAAAGAACATCGGATGTCGCCACGTTTACACGCTTAGGAGGAGGTGAGAAAACGTGGAAAAGGAGTCACATAAACAATCGGAGGGAGAAGCTGAGCTGCCTGGTGCAACCAACAACATGACATACCCACCCATACACCGGACCCTTGTGAAGTTAACCCATGAACATAAGAGTGGACAATGCAACGAGAAACAGCAACGATTTGCAATTTTTATACTTGCGAATTTCGGGGACTTGGTCTCTGGCTCCCATCACGTTTATTAGCCAGTGAGATGAGAGTAGTAAGCAGGCATATTGCACAGTGAAAGGCATCACCAACAGAGAAAAACTTCTGAGAGCAGACGGCTAGACTCACGTCGCTCGCCTCGCTAATTCCCCCGTCAATCACCCCAGGCGATCATTCTGAACACAGTACGGGGTACCTACAGCTTGAAGCACCCCCCGGCTTATTACCTTCTTGGTGCTCCCCGAGCCTCGCTGCGATCTGGCCACTGACAGAGCTTCGCTTCACGGAGCTACACCCCACCCTAGCTTGGATTCTTGATGACGATGTTGTTGACTTTCTGTCAGTTTTCTTTTTTGTCTGTTTTCACCTTATAACGTCGATCAACTCGACAAAAAGACCAACGAAACATGGACCGCCCATCCCCCACAATTCCCTTGAGCCAACTTGGCAGTCACCAACAACCATGGTTGACACAAAGGAACTGTGGTCTATTCTTGTCCTGGGTCCTGGGACCACCTTTGCTACACGGACCGCATGCGTCTGGTCCGACCTTATCCCATGACTCCAATATAAGGGTAATCATCAAGATGCACGTTCCACCCTCAAAAGCTGTGAGCATCCCCCGGATCTGCCGATATCATGATCTTGGTGACCCGGGGTTCTCATGCCGCCATCCATGGGGACACCCGAAGAGGCCCTCTCTCCGGCAAGCGGCGATGCCCCTCCAGTCAGTGCTGCAAGGGGTTGGGAGTCGGAAATCTTCCTCTTTGGATGAAACTTGCTTCTTTCCGGCTTCCGTACTTCCTTTTTTCTCCTCTAACCTTCCTTCCTCGAACGCCATGTCTCTGGTGGGCTTCTCTAATTTGGCTTCATAACTCTCTGCCGTGTCCGTGGAAGTCCATGCAAGCCACACTTTCTCTACTCTCTCATCCCGTTCGTCCACGCCAACTGTTGATGCAACCCAACGGTCTCATACTTTTCGTTTCACTCCTCACCAAGCCACCGGGAATGTTTATCGACCGGAACTTGTGAACCGAAAAGCTAAACGGCATTGCCAGACGAGCTCGATGTTTATATGTCTTGCTGTTCAAAACAAAGCTAAAGCCAGCCATCCTGCTGTACGCCCACTACTACCGTGTCTTGTCTCGGACCTTCTCAACAACACGAATTAACTTCCAGTTGCACACTCGAAAGTCAAGTGTAGTAACGGGATAGTCACTGACTGGACCGATCCGCAGACGCAACCCATACCGCCAGGTCACACGTCCCGTGTTGCTGTTTCATATTCAATCCAGGAATTATCTACTTTTCACATTCAATATGGCCGGCCATAACCCACCAACAGCGCCCTCTCAGTCCAAGGAACGACATGGCGGCAGTGTCATAGCACTGGAAGGTCCAGAAGAGGTTGTCGCTACGCAGTTATACCTCCTCCCTCCTTCATCCCAGATTATGGTCCTTCCAAAAATCCAGCATTATATATCAACATCTCCGATATCACACCACCAGAAACAGTTACGGCACAGATCCGACCCCCGAAATATCATATCGACCATTCACCACGCAGCCAAGCGAAGGCATTCGGTGGCTATGGAGTTCCTTCAACACTCAACGGCCGAGAGGAAGCGGGCCGTTTTTCTAGAAGGGGGGACATGCGGTGCTAAGCTCATGTGTCTGGATGCAATCGGAAAGGCATACACGGCAGGGAATCTGGAAAAAGCGGCAGCCATCCTTGACCGACTTATGAGCCAGGGTCTCAAGAGTCTTGATGACAATGGATTTGATGTTGACTCAATCATCGACCCGAAATCGAGTGACCCATGGGTCGGGAACCCCGATGTCGACAAGGATGTTTGGGCAAACAAGGGTATCGAAACCAACGGAAGGGAGGACGACGACGAGATGGAAGATCCAATCACGAAAGCCATGCGGGCTGCTGATGCGCTTGATAAGGAAACAGAAAACCTTCAGCCGCCGAACCATGACGTTGACCTCAGCGTGCCATTGGACTTCGGATTGATGAAGCCACGTGCTAGAAGTTTGAGCATGTCGGCCGTTGAAAATATGGTTGCCGCTCCCGACGGAGTGATCCGTGAGAGGGAAGTCGATCTGGACATGTCTGCGGCCGCAAACACAAACGCATTCCAGCTGCTCCCATCACCGCTTCTCTTCTCGTCAAACCCTGCAACCAAAACATCTTTCTTGGCAGTCTCTCCTACCAAGAACACTCAGGGGCAGCTTAGGAAAGCGAGGTCTTATGAGCCTCCCCAGAACCTGAGGGAGACCAAATTCAATCTCAAGGTGGATGATTTCGACAATGCGCAGATGGCTTCCATTGCTGCCCAACATTGGCATGCAAGGGAGTTGACAGATGGCGCAGGTATTGGCGTCGCGACCACGTTGCCGGGATCAGGTACCGGTACCGAAGGCAAAGACCGAGAATGGGACGGCACAGCGAGCATATCCAATTACTCAACCGCCACCCCTACAACCCACGATGCAACCCACGTGGGAAGCCACGCGACGGTATCTCCTAAACCGCCACGATTCCACGTCCCGCTTCGAAATTTCTTCGAGAAGAAGCCAAGGGCCTTTGAAGGGCTGAACCTGGAGGACGGCGTTATCGGAACCGAAGGTCGAACATCATCAGATGAAACAAAACCCTTTGAGCCCCTCCTACCCTTCAATGAGCATTACGTGATCCACTTCTCAAACGGAAAACCTGATGACCAGTTCAGCTTCGTGTCCAGTCGCTACAAAGACTGCTTCGGCTCCAAACACCGACCATCCACCTCGTATTCGCCAAAAACCGATGCGACAGCCGTAAGTCCTCACACCAAGGAGCTATCGAGGGACATGACTCCCAGCGAACACAACATGTATTCCGCTTCCGAATATGACCCTTATCGGTACGAAGAACAGCTCAAGCCGCAGTCAACCACGCCTACACCTGGCTACGTCTTCCCCGCTTCTTTTCCGATCACACCGTCAGCAAGCAGGTTCCATGATCTGTCTACCCACAATAAGACTGCCGTCTGGGTACAAAACACCCTTCGATCAGTCCTCGACAACCATACTCCTGTCGAGGAGATCGACTACCTGTCGTCAGACGCAGACTCCCCGGATCCGCAATTGCGCAGTCTCTGGGAGCCCTTATTGTGCGCCGAAATGGACCGGCAAAAGGAGGAGAGGAAGGTCGACCTTATCTTGGCCATTGGCGCCGAGGGCGGTGTCAAAAAGGACTTCAAACAAGGAGTCATGGCCAAGATTGAGCAGCATGGGTTTCCTTCCAATGGTGATGGGATGTCGCGGAGCGGGCGCCTGGGTTTGCGGTAAGCTTGGTTCCATGATAAACGTTTTGTGTGAGGAGAAACTGACCCGACTATCTACAGATATCTGATAGGAAACGCTATGCAAACCTTTACCTCCCAGCCGCTGGCCCAACAGTCCAAGGAGAACCCCTTCTCCAACCCTACGCTGTTGGCGAGCCTTATCATCCCCCATATCGACACTTATTTGCGCGGAAACGACAACGTTCACTTTCTCCTCATCGAGTACCCGGTTGAGCACTTGTCCACCATGTTGGCTATGCAGAAGCTTATGGGGAGCCAAGTCATGAAGGTGGCTGGCATTTCCAAGGAGACAGACACGACGATATTCTCGATGGCCGACTATCGACTCTCGGCTATGGCATCCGAAGCCGAGATCTCGGAATGTGTCGCAGCCATCCGTGATACTTTGGCCTCGATTTCGGACTTCTACAAGCCCCAGACGAGTGATGTGCTAGCGCCTACAGCCAATGATGCTGCCCAGGGGGAGAAGGAGGTCACAGCGAAGCCCTTGAGCACCAAGAGCAGCAACCTAACGAATGCCAGCATTGCGCCCCTGCTCCCACCACAACAACACTCACCACACCACAAGCCATCACCTGTTGCTATACCAACCTTCACAGCCATTTCAACCCCTCCACCACCTCTTCTCCCTGCTTCTCCGGCGGATACCTACAACCACACTCACACCTATGTCCATAGCAATGGCCAGAACCATGGCCACGGGCTCCATACCTACATGCCCACAGCAGCCATTCACCTACCAACCCGCTCCATCTCCCCACCTCCCTGCTCTCACTGCTCGTCGACTCTCAGCACGTCGATAACTAGAAGCAACACCCTCATAAGCCACGGCACAGTTCCCGTAGCAACCCCGGCCGTCGTCCCACCACAATCTCCCCATTCCATAACCAGAGCGACTTCCCAACGCCCCAGCATCAGCGGCGGTAGCAGACCAACACCGTCATCGCCCTCCGGATCCAGCACCATCAGCCCGCGGACCAAGATCCCATCCACCATCAGCACAGCTACTACCTGTGTAGTACAGCAAAACCCACCACCGACCCTCGTCCCCACCATCACCACCACCAACACCACCTCTACCACGACACCCGGCGCAGCAGCAACAACGATAACCAGACTCCAATCCCCCCTCTCCCTCTCCTCCGGCCCTTTGTCGTCAGGCGCATCCACCTCCTCGCTCATCTCGACCGGAACCGACTTCAACACCGACGTAGACGATTCCGATTCCGAAGCCGAAGCCGAAGACGACGACCAAGTCGAATCCGACGAAGACCCCTTCGACTTCTTCGAGATCGACTTTGAAGAGCGTCGGCTGATGCCCATGTTTTTGAAATCACAAATCGAAGCCCATGTCGCTGCTTCCGCTGCTTCCGCTGCCGCTATCCAGGGGCATCGGAGCCCCGTAGGGAATAGGGAGGTGGTGGATTTGGAGACGTTGTTGGGTGGGGGGAGGAAGGATTTTGGGGAGAGGTTTGCTAGGTATGTATACCTTGTCTGTGGCATGTCTTTGGTGAAGTGAAAGGTTATTTGCTAACGTGAGAGAAATAGTGGCCAAGGCCTTCAATGTCCCCTGCCTCCGGATGAAGTTCTTGGTGGTCGTGGCAGCGGGGAGCAGGGTGAGAAGAAAAAAACCAGTAGTGAGAAACAACGTGGTGGGATTGGAAAGAAGCAGCACAAGAAAGGGAGCAAGAAGACGAAGAAGGGCAGGAACAGCACCGAGACACTAGCTCCAGCGGTGGTAGGGCTAGGCGCAGTGGCATCAGCGCTGGAGGAAGCAAATGAAGGTCACCACCACAAACCCAACAACAACAGCCTCAAAAAGAAGAAGAAAAAGAACAACACCAAGACCAACGCAGCAGCGCCCAACAGACCCCTGAGCCCGTGCAACCCAAACCAGCCGGACCGGGACCCAGGTAATGGTGGTGGAAACAACACGTACACCCGCCCGGCATCAAGGAAAACTACTACGACGATGAAAGACCAACAGGCCTCAACACATTATTCTCCGGGAGGCGTGGGGGTGGCGGTGGCGCACATGGGGGGAGGAGAGCAAAGGAAGGCTTTGAGGTGGTTGGGGTTGGCGTGATTTGGGGAGGTGAAGGTGAATTCTCAGGGGGGGGACACAAATCTTCACTCAAAAGCTTATTTCATTTCGTTCGATTCGAATTCGAATATGTGTTACTAGTATCTCCAAGAACCGATTTATAGATCACGTTTTGGGGGCAGGATGAAAAGGAAAAAGGGAAAGGGTCGATAGAACTAGTTGGGGGTGGGGGGGGGGGGGGGGGACGGGGGACGGGAGTTAGGGTCGACTATTTTGATTTTTAGATTAGAAAGGAAGGCCCTTCCGACACACACACACAGGACACAGGACACCAGAGTTGGTCTCGGTATAAGTGATTGAGAACGAACAGCAGGACAGGACAGGACAGACTGGGAGGGAAAGGGAAGGGGGTCATGGTCAGCTAGTCAGTCAGTCAAGCGCGGTTAGGGACGTTTCGGACCTTTTAGTTTACTTTTTTAATGGTAATCTTACTCTCGATGAATTTCCAAACACAAGTTTGCCATGGTGTTAGGTTCGCTTTTGGGTGTTACCTATTTGCACGCGTTTTGAAGTGAGAGAGGTAGGTAGCGTACCTTGGTTTTTTTTGGTTTTTTTTTAGCACCTGAGCACTCAGCGAACGGACTGACGGATATGTTCGGGACCAATGGAACATGACGTTTTTCTTTTATTTGGCATTGTCTTATCATATTCCGCCTAGGTACCTACCTACTTGCTGTAGAGGTGTCTGTTTCCATCCATCTCATTTTATTCCTTCTTTCCTTTCGTGCTCCATTCTTCCGTTTCCTACCTTTCTTGCCCCTTTCCCTTTCAAGTAGTAGGTAGACCTACTTCGCTCTATTTTAGTGAACTTAAGTCACAGCTATTTCTCTTCCTTCATCAGACCTACCTAGGTACCTAACTCCAGGTATTATGCCTTGGCCCACTCCATGTCCTCATCCCGCTTCTACCCACCTCTTGTTTTGTCTACACTACCTCTACCTTGCGTTACTTCTTCTTGTCCTTCTTCTTCGAAGGATCATAAGACGATGACTTCCGACAAGTGGATGAGCCGCAGTCCTTCTTCACGTACTTGGTCACGGCGTGTTTCTTGCCGTTGGTTTCTTTGATTTCGCGGACTTCTTCTGTGGTGCACCTAGGTTTAGGGTGTGGGTTAGCTACCAACCCGGGTTGATAGGGAACTTGATGGCGGGCCAAATTGGTTGGAAGGCAGGCTGGATGCTCACATTTTGTTCGTTTTCCTTGTTGTTGGCTAGGTAGCTGTGTTATTATGGTTTTGGTAGGTGTGGTTTCCAGATGCTTGTGAATGCTGGTGATGACTGAGGATGTTCTTCTGCTTTTTTTGGGGTTTATCGGTAGACTTTATACCCATAACTTACTCCTTGAAGGCAATCTCACCACTCGCTCGTATACCGTCGCCCTTTCTGGTGCCGAGTGACCAAACATTTGTCTACGTGAGCAATGAGGCACCAGGCCTTCGTGAATGAACATGTTCGAAGACAAACCGTTATATTCGTGCGAGGCGGCTGACTTCATGTCGTGATAGAGGTGCTACGAGGATGAGTTTGATGCCGGCCTAGACTGGTCATCCCATCGTCGATGAGGCCGAGAGTTTCTGGAAAAGTATAACTGCGCCATTTGGGTGAGGAGGAAAGATCCATGCTATGCGGCATGTCGATATCCCGGAGTGCTCGAGGCATCATCATGAGCTACGGATTGAAAGTGTCGCCTCCTTCTAGCCCAATTCCTCGGCATCTTGGCCAAAACCTGGAAAGATAGGTAGATTTCCCAAACGCGAACCCCGGTTTGTTCCAAGCCACCTTTCCTCCCTAGCTGTATCGAATCTGCGTTCCGTCGGGCCGGGTGTACTTTAGACTTTCGAAGGTCAGTGTGTCGGCGTCAGTCACGACCACCACCACCAAGGTGATCAATCGGCGTGATTCCAGCTGTCACGCATTGTGATTTCGAGATACATAAAGCAAAGTGCGACAATGTTCAAGTACATACGACCATACCCACTGGAAAACTCGGGATCCCGTCCGCTCTCCCATAGATAAGCCAGTGAGGGGAAGATTATCTATAGGAGTAGTTTTTTGTAGTTTTTAACAGGGGTTTTGATGGCTCAGCTACACCTCTGCCGGGATATGAATGTTAGGGCGAGTACGTCAATCCTACAGAAAGTAGGAGAACAGAGGTTAGCGGCTGGGCACTTTTCTGTACATGCTACGCTGTGGCAAAAGTCAAAAATTAACCTTTCATACGCCAGCAGAGGTGTAGAAACGTTGGCGTTTCCAGAAGCGTTTTCATCCCATCACTCATGCCAAGCTCACCAAATTCACCGTTTCCACCTACTCACGCCAAGCGCGGCTAAGGCTATGAGGCGGGCTAGCACATTGAAGGTTAATTCTAAATTAGGCTTCGATACCATGGTTCTATGGGAGCACACGGTGACCTTTATCCTCCAGCGGCGGGGGCGTAAAGTTGTAGAACTCGCTGTCCTATTCTGGGTTATTACAACCAAGTTCAAAGCCGCAGGCGGAATTCTGAACCAGAGATGTCGGAGTGGCAGTAACGACCATTCACAAGACTGAGCTTCTTCCTATCAGTCAGCATGGTTAATCCAGAAAGAGGGATAGCATTTCGTCACCCATACGAGCCGAATTACTACCTAGTGTGAAGTCAGTCTTGGAGTACTTTCAACACCCAGTCGGTGGTATAAAGCCGCATGTTAAACCGCGATCCCCCGCATCTAGACTAGGGAAGACCATGTAGCTGTGGCGACGCTACTACAAGTGTGTTGGCTCTCCCAAACACCACCAAGGAAGAGACCACTTATCCGATCGAGAAGAGTTGAGGCTTCTACCATTGCACTACCCTTAGCCATGACTGGGCAGTCACGAGTTAATCCCGTGGCATATGGACCGCACAGGCACCTGCAAAAGGAGAGTCAAGGGATGGAATAGTCTTGCTTCTTCGTAATGGAATACGTCATCTTGACAATGGTAGAAGGTTACCAGAATTTACAAAATTCCTATAAATTTGCCTATCCTCCCAAACCCTTTTGGTGGCACGCTAGAAAAATGAAATAGAGACAAAGGAATTGAGAAAGACATGGAATACATTATATGTCTTGCGAGAAGCCAATAAACCAAACCCGTCCCGATATGCTGCCGATGGATATCATCCGTCCCTGGAGGTCATAACTAGACGATCGGTAATTCGGTGGCAGCCAGAGTACGTTCTGGCCGTTGCAAGTAATCCAAGACCCATCCTGTCCCAAGCCATAGCCATGGCTCTCTGGATTATCGAGTACAACTTGGCTTTCGGTAGTTTCCGTATCTATTTTAATACGTCCAACGTTGGTACGTAGGTAGCGATTAGTATGGTCAAACGATATATCGGTTATCATAGTACTAGTAATAATCGTTTGGAGGCAGCTCCCCGACGCCGGATCCCAGATCTTGATCGTGTTATCATTCGAACCGGACGCAAGCCGCTGGCCATCCGGCGAGAATGCCACTGAGACAACGGCGTGGCTATGGCCTTCTAGGGTCTGGAGGCAGCTCCCCGACGCCGGATCCCAGATCTTGATCGTTTTGTCCCCCGAACCGGACGCAAGCCGCTGGCCATCAGGCGAGAATGCCACTGAGGCAACGGAGTAGCTATGGCCTTCTAGGGTCTGGAGGCAGCTCCCCGACGCCAGATCCCAGATCTTGATCGTATTGTCCCACGAACCGGACGCAAGCCGCTGGCCATCCGGCGAGAATGCCACTGAGTAAACGAAGCCGCTATGGCCTTCTAGGGTCTGGAGGCAGCTCCCCGACGCCGGATCCCAGATCTTGATCGTATTGTCCCACGAACCGGACGCAAGCCGCTGGCCATCCGGCGAGAATGCCACTGAGTAAACGAAGCCGCTATGGCCTTCTAGGGTCTGGAGGCAGCTCCCCGACGCCGGATCCCAGATCTTGATCGTGTTATCATCCGAACCGGACGCAAGCCGCTGGCCATCCGGCGAGAATGCCACTGAGGCAACGGCGTAGCTATGGCCTTCTAGGGTCTGGAGGCAGCTCCCCGACGCCGGATCCCAGATCTTGATCGTATTGTCCCCCGAACCGGACGCAAGCCGCTGGCCATCCGGCGAGAATGCCACTGAGCCAACGGAGCCGCTATGGCCTTCTAAGGTCTGTAGGCATGCATTCCAATCCAATTCTACAGCCGGCTTAGTTCGAATCCATTCAGGTTCTTCTGTCCTGAAATTGCTCTTTATCAAGCTACCGCTTGGAGCAAATACAAGCGCTGATATGTATGCTTGAAGTGGAGCTTGCTCTATTATTGACTTATAAGACAGAGCAAACCGGTAAGCATCCCAAACAAGCTTTGATAACTGCGATGAATTATTACCTCCCTATATCTTTAGTTAGACTAAGTTCCTAGTGCGGAGTTAGACTTATACTTACTAGCAGGCCCTCGAGCTTTCTAATAGCAACAACGCCCGCAGGCATAGCTTGGAGTAGACTTAGAGCTTCTAGCCAGTAAAGGTACTTCGTCTTGAGGAATTTATAGACAACCTCGTTATCCTGTAAACGATCATGCCGTTTTATGTTCGTGCCAGAAACCGAGTCACGCAAGTGATCAACCCAGTAGACGCACGAGTACCGCACCGTCGCTAGCGGATCCGGATTCGGTACTTGGACCTTGTCACTCGAAAATCCCGGTGCCCTTAAGCCGTATATGTCGCGTTGCAGTGTTGTAGACATGGCATCAAGTGACCTCGAGAAGATGGTATAGTTCACATCTTCTTTTCCAGAAGGAAAAATCCACCTGAACGTCTCCTGAGAAGCTTGGTTACCAGCTTTATCAGAGGCCTTGCCAAGTAGAAAGTCCTTGGCTGATTGATGGACAAAATAAATAGTTCGTTCTCGTAGCGTTAGAAATGAACCGCAACGCCCTATGATCGCTTCCAGGAATTTAGGATTGTTGCGAATCATATTGGGTAGCTTGACGAGAGTGGCTAATTCATGAAGACTGATTGGTCGGTGAACAATTGCGGTAATGGCAAGAATTTCTTTGCAAATATCGGAATCCCGGGATAGGCTTATATCTTGTTTCATCCGCGCGTATAGAGCATCCAGCCCGGGTGGAAACGTGTGTAGGATCTCTTCGATATGCCATTCCTCGACCTCTAGGTCTGTAAGCGCTTGGTATACCAACGCCACCCAAAGGAACGTATCTTGCGCATTGGAGCACAGATAGTCCTGAACGGTCTCTTTTGTCCTTGGATCATACTTCTTCAGCCCTGCTAGGTCATCCACCTTGTGCAGGATAAATGCATTGACAGCCACTGCGACGGATTCTGCATTTAGCTCCAGGGAGACCTTCACTTTATCTGCGGCTTTCTCCAACCGTTCCTCAATTTGCGGCCAATTACGGCTTGAGACGATCCACTTGACTCGAGATCCAGATGATGATTGCTGAGTAATGAAGTCGAGAAGCTGCGGTAGGTCTGTTTTAACGCACTCGTCAAGCGCGTCAATGACTAGGTAGGTCGTTCGGAGGCTTGGGTCTCGTAGAATGTTGGTGAAGATTCTCGACAGGACGTCCCACGTATTTGCATCTTTGAAGAGGCCTTCGCCTGCACGGTCGTACTCACTCCGCACGTGTGAGAGGATAGATGGCTGCTGGTCGATAAGTAGATAGATTAGGCCGCGCAGTATGGCGGTTGCATTGTTGATGCGAGAGTCGGTAGCTTGGCAGAAGAAGTAGGCCACATTGCAGTGGTGTGCGTTGGCAGTATCGCCTTGATCCAGCTCATTGATGACGCTGTACAGCTCATCGACAATACCGCACAGCAACATAGTCTTCCCTTTGCCGGGGTCGCCCTTGATCCAGAGCAGTCGGTGCTGTGGGTCGTCACGCCATTGTTGAAAGTCAGCGTTATTGAGGACCCAACGATATGAGTCCTGCAAAAGGCCGCCTTTGGTCCGTTCGATGCGGACTTTATCATCGCGAGGATCGGTAAGGCGCAAATGCTGCAGGCATTGCTGGTCCTTCTCTGACATGTGCTGTATAACGAGCTGGTTAAGATGAGACGTCACTTGCTGAGTAGTGTATGTCTGGGTGTCGTCTCGGAAGCACTTTTCGGCGTCTTGGATAGCCCCCAAGTCAGCATTCCAATCGTCAAGCTTGACTATATCCCGGAGAAGGGCTAGGCCGCGGTTGCGATAGCAAGCACAGACACTCTTAATCTGATAGGAGAGGAGCACTTTATAGAGGTCAATAATTTGGATCTCCAATTCGCCTCTCACTCCAGAAAGTTCGCCGATATGGGCGGTAGGATCCTTGAGAAGGATATTCGACAGGTTCCAGTACCAGTTCATTCTCTTAACAACGTAGTCGATCCCTTTGCGGTTGGCTTCGGTCGCGGTTACAGGATTGATAAACATCTATAGAAGTTAGTATGTGAAGTATCGCGCTCTAAATAGACGTACCTCTAAAGCAATACAAATGCCAGTCCAGGCAAGCGCGGCTTGGGGCACGGCCTGGATTGCCGCACTTATAATGTTCTTTGCGGATAGAACAATGTCCATGGCTACACCAAGGCTTTCTTTCACCTTAGCTTCCTTCTCAGTCTTAGCTAGGCCAGCATTGATAAGCTGATTCATTTGACGGCGCCTGTCCGAGTTGTTTTGGGCAATGATGTTCGGCTGGGATTCGGGCACTGTTAAGTCGGGGCTAGCCTGCAGTTGTCGGGACAGTATCTTCTCGTATGCGTCCACCAATTTGGCCTCTTCTTGTTTGAGGTCATTGTAGGCACGGTCCCAGAGTCGTACGGGTAAGCTGGTAGTAATGTCATCTGCATTGGTGGGCGTCTCTATGTTGGCGGAACTAGTAGCTGGAGCGGCTTGGAGGCGGGTAGTGGTATTATCCGCGCCGGCGGACGTCTCTATGTCAGCGGAGCCAGTAGCCGAAGCGGCTGGGAGCCGGGACGCGGATGTAGAGGTGGCGGCGAAGATTTGTTGCAGAGGTGCAGGGCGAGATTGCTCTTGGTCCGTAGAACCTTCCCGATCCTGCGCATTTCCGTGTCGCTTGAGACGCGTCTGGAACCGCGAGCGCAGTCGTCGAAGCATTGTAGCGTTGGGGAAGGAACGTCTTAACTGAGGTAGATGAGGCACTCGAGGATGATCGTGTTGTCTTGGAGGTGGCGGATGCTATGGTTGATGATCAATGGATTGAGTTTATGGAAGTGCCGAGAATTTCTCTATCCTGCCACTAAGGACACAATAAGGAAAACAAACTAGAGCCCTATGTTTTCTCGAGGCTATGATGGAGCATGAGACTCTCTGTGTTGTCACCAAGTGCGAGATGGCTGGCGGCTTCCTCCCAATTACAGGCCAATCACCCAAAGGACATTTCTTTTCTAGAGGCCGGGCATTCTGGACCTAGAGACTTCAGGGCGCCAATCAATAACTCGACTTGGGCAAGGGTCGTGGCTTTCTGTCACGGGATCTACAGGATTGGCAATAGTGTACCAGTAGCGGCCTAGTAGCTTGCACCATTTATGGGGCCGTGGCGCGGGTAGGGCTTAGCTTTTTAGCTTTTCTTAAATGTTACGAGCGACGTGGTTACGAGAGACAAAGCTGAACACGTTGATTCTATGTCTATAGTAGAATCACAAGATAAAGAAGAAAAAGAGGGAAACGTGCAAAGGCGCGCCTGGCGCCCAGGGTTTCAACCCAGGGCCCAAATGGCCGGTGCACGCGGCACGACATCACGTGCACGTCCCGCCGTGCCGGGACCCATCCGTCAGTGCCGTGACACCGAACATCGTTCGTTATGCGGCGTTATGGTTTCCAATCCTCCTCTGATCTTAACCCTCCAAGGTCCGGTCACCTTCTTTCATGTCGGAGGCAAGGTCGAGATCATCATTCTCCTCCTCGCTGCTCATCCGATCAAGTTCATTTTGCAACAATTCCATGAGCTTCTGAGTGTTCTCGAGCACCTTTGCCACGATCTAGTGATAGTAAGTTTCCAGTTCCTCATCTAACTTTTTGCTGCTCGTTTGCTTACCTTGTGTCACAGGATTACCTGTGACTGCGACCGCAATACCCGTGACCGTGGTGATGGTGAGGCTTGTAGCTCCCGTGCCCGTGGTCTCTGTGACAATCTGGGATTGCTGGGCTGGCGCTTCAGGTGTAACCGTGACAGTGGAAGGGGCAGTTGCAGGAATGGGAGACTTTGTCCGCATCCATGTCCGCTAAGGAGAGCCTGGCGTAGTATTGAGCCAGAAAGTCCTTTTCGGATTGCGGATGAGACAGGTGAACGGGGTTAGTATGATCCATTGATGCTGGTGCTGAATTCAGGTCTCTTGGATGTCGTGTATATGGCTTCGTTTCCAAAATGTCAAAGAATCTGTCGACTATAGGTACGTGATCGGGATTGAATTCGGGTCCAAAAGTCGGAAGAGGAGAACGAATGTGCGTGGAGTGGTGTGATGTCCGTTCCTATGAGGGTCTTGAAGAGTTAACAACTGACATATCCAAGTCTGATGATACAAGGATAGGATGTGAATGCGAGAATAAGGCAACCAAAAATCGGGGGATGTCCTGAACTTTTATCTTGAAACACAATCCATAAAGAAACTCTCTTCACCTATCACTCCATGTTAGATGAAGTACGACGTCTTCGACCATGGTAGATTGGCATCTGAAAAGCCCTTTCGGTTATCCATACCGTGCCACTGCTATCATCTGCGGTGGTTGTCATGCAGACGCTCGCAGATATTGGATGGTTGCGCTGTCGGGAGAGACATGAAGTCGGCTGAACAAGTTGCATTGGCGTCAACACAACTTGGGATAGGGATCTGATGACAAGCATCCTGCTGCCTTGTCTGGGTGATCTGGGTTTCTCTCTCCTTTCTTTTTCATTTGGAAGACACCTTCTCTGGCGACTTACCATCCTCGACAATCACCCGTAACCATCTTGGGGAAGGCTCCGAAATTTCCCTACTTCGCTAAGCACACGTTCGCATCACCACCGGTGGCTGTTACAGTTACGGATGTCCCACTCTCCAGAGGTATGGCTCAATAGCGCAGTCGCGAATCGTGGGAGAGGTTGATCAAGCCGTCGGCTGCGATAGACTCCGGTAAATATCTCCCCTAGTTTGTGTTCTCGGTCTTTTGAAGATTTACATGATGCCATTGCGTTGGTTCGGGGATTCTTCCCGGATACTGGGGGCTCGTCAATGTTGGATTTTACCGAGCGACGAATAGTTGGACCAATGAAGTAGGGCAAGGCAGGCAGATGAAGGACGTAGGCCGATATAGGCAGACGAAAGAGGTAGGTCAAGGCAGACGAGTGAAAAGTCGGGCTTGTGCATACTTTAAATAGAGTTGGCATCAGATCCCAGAGCTGTGGTTGGCACGTCGAACGCCGCCAAGATGTAGGCGTTTTCCTCGTCATCTGCCCAATTGTATTAATCTCTTTAGCGCCGCCTCCACACTCACCGTAATGCCTCCGTAACGAACGATTGGATACGGGAGGTGATTGTTCAGTTTTTTGACCCTACCACGTGATTAAAAGACCCGATTGATATCCTTCTCACTCCCATACACAAGCTTAGTGAGGGGCAGCTTATGTATGGGAGTTAGAAGGATATCAATCGGGTCTTTTAATCACGTGGTAGGGTCAAAAAATTGAACAACCTCCTCCCATATCTATATCGTTCGGACGGAGGCATTACAGTGAGTGGGGAGCCGGCGCTAAAATGATTGATATAATTGGGCGGATTATGAGCAAAGTAGACCGTCCTGACACTGCGGCTAGATCTTTTACACGGGTAACACCAAGATTGCACTCGGTCAGAAGACCATTCCTGATTGGTTCTTCGTACTCCTCGGCCCAGTTATGTGTATGCAGATGAGAGCGTGGCAAGGGAATCTCTCGCTCTTATCTTGTTGGATCACGGTTTAGTAATCCACTACGACAAACTAATCACAATAACCTCCTTCATATACCTGCCTTAACCTACCTTCTTCATCTGCCTGCATTAGCCCACCTTTTCCCTTCCATCCTACCATATCATAACCATGGTGGTTGGCTTGCAATACACTGCCGGCGCAGCCGCCAACACCTTTGTAGACGAATCGATTGGCTGAGAGAGCTGCATGCCAGGGCTGCGAAACAAGGTGACAGCGGCGTTGAGAACGACAAGGCAACCACAGCTCTAGCTCAGAATACTGTACCCGAAGCTCAAAGGCCAACTCGCGTATCACAACTTCAAACTATGATATTTTCTCGGACGGTTTCAGATGAATGTCACCTCGATATATTGAATACCGGCAGCGTTTATTATTGTCGGTAGGGCTGACATTGCCGGTTTGCCAAGCCCCTGACATCTGACCCAAACCAGTTCGATTTTAACACCAAGCATTTGAATCTGAAGTTTGGCAACAAAATTGCCCTCCAGACAGGATAAGATACACTAACTCCACACTGAGTTGCGTTCTGGGACAGCAGCGAACTCCCTTCGACATATCTCGGGTCTTCCTCTCCTCGATCCCACCGTCCAGCACGTTCTATCTGGACCTTGAGGGCAAAAGTCTCAGCCGCAATGGAACCCTCTCCCTCTTGACGGTACTCGTCCTTCCCACGCAAGCAACAAGCAATGTCGATGTCCAAACCCTCGGCGACTCTGCTTTCACCACTCCCGGCATAGGCGGAAATACCCTCAAAGCCATCCTCGAGGATCCCCACACTTCTAAATGCTTCTGGGACGTACGCAATGACGCGGACGCGGCAGAAACGTGGGCGGTCTGGAAGTGCCCAGGCGGTGGTGGTCCACCTGCAACACACCCATAGACTGCCTAGTCTGAAGCCATGGCCAACCTCCCCTCCGAATACTAAGTACAAGTTCCATGGTGTTGGCCTTCCTCTGTTGTTCCTTGCGTCTGATTCTCTTCGTTGAGGCGTCATCTCCAGGGGTTGGTGGTGGAGTGAGACGGTTGCGGGGACGCGGCGGGCCGCTGCGGGGCGCCACGCGGACTTAAGCCCACCCCGGGCCCGCTCCTTTTTTGGTGAGTTTCCCTCGTGACTCTCGGCGCTTACAGTAAAATCGCGTTTCAGTCGGTCTCCGAGATACTTGGGGACGCTCAATCTTTTAGCAATAGATGGCGAGGACCAAATGCGATGGAGAGCCTCTTTTGGGAATTCTAGCCACGGCTATAATCGATATTATCTCAACAGAATGACGCGCCGCCCGGCAGTTCTACGTTCCTGGGCAAAATTTCCTCTCGGTGCTCGCCGGTAACCCTAACCCGCTGTGTTAATCTTGGGATTTCGTTTTGAGGCTTCACATTCGGAAAGTTCGTCTACGCTCACACCTTCCTTTCCTCACCTCACCGTTCCTGAATGTACCTTCTTCCCTGAAGCTCACCGTGAGTTTCAACCACGTGATGTGGAGGGCATCAGAGCGAGCAAGCATCCAATCAAGACCATCTTCCCAATGCATGGCCATAGCAGCCCCGTTGACTCAGTGGCATTCTCGCCTAATGGCCAGCGGCTTGCGTCTGGTTCAGGGGACCAAATGATCAAGATCTGGGATCCGGCGTCGGGGAGCTGCCTCCAGACGATTCCTACTAGTACTATAATGACCGATATCTCGTTTGACCCTACCAATCGCTACCTATATACCAACGTTGGACGTATTAACATAGTTACAGAAACTACCGAAAGCCAAGTTGTACTAGATAATCAAGATAGCTATAGCTATGGCTTGGAACAGGAGGGGTCTTGGATTACTTGCAACGGCCAGAATGTACTCTGGCTACCACCGAATTACCGACCGTTTCATTTTGATGTTCAGAAACGGATGATATCCATCGGTACCGTATCAGGACTGGTTTGGTTTATTGGCTTCTCGCAAGACATATAATGTATTCCATGTCATCCTCAATTCCTTTCTCTTTATTTCATTTTTCTAGCGTGCCACTAGAAGGGTCTGGGAGGACAAGCAAATTTATAGGAATTTTGTAAATTCTGGTACCTTCTACTGTTGTCAAGATGACGTATTAATTTGGGGCATTTTTTCCAAGTTTTTGTTGTAGAAAAGGGGTTATTAGAAGCAGGGTGGTCCAGTTAGACAGGGGCAGATCGGCCGGACTTGTCTCCGGGATCCGATGAAGGTGGCCAGGACAAGGACATTCGGAGGATAAAAGGAAGGCACTTCTTCCTCGTTGGAGAGGAAGGAGGGCAGGCAACTTAGACCAGACATTCTTTGCTAGCTGGAACACACTTGAGCTTCGCCCCAGAAAGAAATCGTTAAGTTCCCCTCGTGAATCCCTTGTCTTGTGAACTAACCAGCAGATCTGCTCCTCGCTGTGAGGAAAACTAACTTAGAGGGCGAAGCTTCGCTTCCCCTTTCCCTTGGTGGTTGAATGGCTGTTGTTTGGTGACGAAGTCTCTCCTTCATTGGAAGTCTTAACGAACTACCACGAACAGTTCTGCTCCTCACTACAAGTTTTGTGGTGGGCTGCACTGATCTGTTTTTGTGGTGTTGTTTTGTTCCATTTCATCGGCTTCCGAAGCGAACGTCCGAGTTGTTGGAGTTGGATTTGTTCTACTAGAAGGCGACCACAACCAAGCACATCCTGGGCATCTTTTTCATTACGCGATCCCATAGATCAATTGCGTTCACAATGGTGTTTATGGCACCTATCGTACAAGATTCGCAGTGCTGATTTGCGTGTTCGGGATCCGAGTCCCGCTATCCGTACCACGGGAGACTTGATTAAGAACAAAAACCGGCAGAAAATAATAATAATACAGCTACGGTTAATACTGCTTATTTTGAACGCAATGTCCAGCCTTATGAGACTACCCTATATACCATCCCCGGGCTGAATGAGTGTCAGAAAGTTAATGAAGTCTTCCGTTGGGCAGGCTTTGCAGTTAGCCAAGCTGTCTCCTTTGGAACAATCTTTGAATGAACTCTCCTTCACTCCAAACAGAGAGTAAAAACTGATTGCCCACCTCACCCACCCTGTTTCTGTGACAAGGGCAGAGTCCTGGGCTTGGAACAAAGAGTTCAATTCAGCCAATAATCTTTTTTGGTTTCAAAGGCCTTGTTGATCTTCTCAACCTCCAGGAGAAGTTTGGGCTTCAAGGCCTTCTTATGCCAAAGTGAATCGGTACGTACTTGAGGTACGTATCAAGCCTTGTCACCTGAGTCTTCAAGGCATCTATCTAGCTGTCTGTATACGTGTAGATCCTGACCTGGAGAGTTAAACAAGAGAGCAACTCGGAAGAATGAAGCCGTTCAAATAACCTTTTAGAAACTTAATGTACTTCCACTTACTGTGTCGTGTTGATAGTACGTAGTCGGGTTGGATCGTGAAAGAGCGTGCGTGCTACGGTAGTTCCATTCTAGCGGTTGCACTAACAATTTTCGTTCACGCGGAGGCAGGCTGAATGCGGGGGGACGTCGAACCTTAAGTGCACCTGTCACTCTGTCAGGGCTTGCGATTGAGCAGAACATCCCATTGGCCGAACGAATGCAAAAAGGAAAGTTACCGGTGTCACGATGCCTGCCGGGTGCTGATTGCTTACACAGTAGCTAATTCGTCCCCCCCGTCACGTCCATTGTATGCTGTTCCCCTGTCCGCGCGTTTGCCGTGTCCAGACGGATCTCAACAACAACAACCATTAACAACGATGCTGCCGACGGCTGACCCCGGGAGCCCTAATCGTGCTCGATGATGAAATTATGCCACATCTACCGCACCAAGTTCGAAACCATCAATTGATTAGCGCCCAAGACGGCCAGATATCAGCGGGACGCCTGAAATGCAACATATCCACAATGCCAAGACTTGGTGATAGCTTCATCTTTGGCCACTTGCGCACAACCACCGCTGACCTACAAGAGCGACAGAACTTCGACCAGAACGCTCGTTCCGCGCCTCCTCAACGCCGAAGAGTATTCTTGGCGGGATCATCCCGCGTACGGTAGAGCATATTTGTTTCTCACAGCAAAACGGCATGTGAACGGGCTTGGTGTTTCCGATCTCCCGACGGCCAGCCTCGCAGGCCGAGAAGCAAACGATGGACTGTCAACGGCCTCTGCGATTCGTGCGCCTTACTCGCGGCTCGTCAACCCCAAAAGCCACAGAGTTCCAAGCATCACGGTGGATGACAGCAGGCTTGCTCACGGAATCTGACAAAAACAAGTATTAAAATGAAGGCGAGGAGCCGCCTTCAAACGCCATCCATTGCCAGATAACTCCCATTGGTGATGTAAAAGGGCAACCACTCGGCAAGACGGCGGCATGCGTTTTCTACGAGGGTTTCACGGATAGCAGCGTCGAATTCCCGGAAAATCCTTGCTGTTTGGCAACTTGCGACCGAGTATCCAAGCTCATGGGTAACTTGCCGTGGCTCTTTGAAGCCGCACTCACATAAATTTCGTCCGTTTCGTGCGTTTAGACAAGGCTGAACGTCAATCTTTAACCGATCAAGTCTGTGCCTCACCTTACCCGTTTCGACTTTCACGGCAGCGACGGCTTTCTCATCCAACTGCCCAATAAAGCCGATCCGATGTCTGGCTGCGCCGACACCGACGCCGACATGCTCGACGCGTCCAACGCTGTGGTGGAAGGTTCGGGCGACGCCCAATTTTTCCATGTCGCACATCGAGTCAATGGCAACATTGAACCCTTCCGCCCACCCCGATACTCCTCCCCTCCATCCAACGCTTACCAGGATAGGGACGAGTTGATGCTTGATGAGCACCAGGATTGGCCGTGGTCCAGCGGAATCGATGACCGCATTGCAAGCTTCAACGGTCTACACGATATGATGGGCATGACCGAAGAGATGTATACGACGACTTCATCTTCATCGCAGTCTTCGATCTCCTCGCGGATTCCACGGGCAGGGCCCTCATCTGGCAGTCTGAGGAGCCCCACGGCTTCTCAGCCTAGGCCCGCCAATGTGCTCGGCACATCATCGCCAGAAACACACCAGCCCCTGGAGATGCCTGCCCTCACTGAAGGGGACCCCAGGTGGATGAAAGTCCGAAAGCTCATCCTCAAGGGAATGCATCTGGGCAAGCATGCGAAGAAGGCAAAGGGAGTGGTTCGAGAGAGGGTTCGCGTGGAACTGGATCGCGCCAAGTTGACACCGCAAAACTTTTCCAAGATGTTGAAAAAGATAAAGGAGAAGCTTGCCCCCGAGGTGAATAAGATCCCAGCCCCTGACACTTGATTATGAGCTTCGAATAATCTGACACGCTTGTTATGTCTTAGAGAGTGCAAAGCGCCGTCGCGGCCTCGCAGCGCATTCTCGACGAGCACCTCGAGGAGTCCGGATTTGGTGCTGCGGAATCGCAGAACCAGCAGGTGGCTCAGGTCAGAGAAGCTGTGCAGCGAGTATGGGACAGAGGAATCACCACTAACGTTCAAGAAGTTGAGTTCATCCTGGAATGCTTTCGAGAGGCTCAAACGAATTGAACCTGGAGTCTGGACGACTGCGGCTCTCTTGTTCGTTCCGATGTGTGTCGGGGCTCGGGGTGTTTGATGTTGGACGGGAAGAGAAGAGAGAACGCTCCTACCCAAAGATTTCCTTCTCGTGTCAGTTAAAGTAATATCGTGCAAGGAATGGGCCGGAAAACGGGATTTGTCAGGTACTTACAGATACCCAGGTAATCTAATGACGGTTATCCATGCACAGAAAAACCGAATGATCAGGCCCCTGGAGCGTGAAGTGACAGCGGGGGTCAACCTCGGTTCTGGACAAAAGACCCCATGGTCTTGATGTTTGATCAACATGGTAACTTAAGGATCAAGAAGAAGGGGTGCAGTTGAGAAGATACCTTCGTGACGCGAAGTTGAAGATAGATCAAGATCGGAAGAGAATTGGGGTAGAAACTGTGTGCTCAGACACCGACCTTTGCTGAGGGGAAATGATCCTTATGTATCATTCTGGAGACGTGAAGGAACCCTGCCTGAGGCCACCAGCCCCCACACCAGCTCTCGCTCATTCAGTTTGCTTGCCTCTAGGGAGTCCGATTACCTAAGGTGGGTTCAAAATGGAGGTGGATGTAACAGGATTCACAGGAACGAGACCACGTTGTGAGCATCAACATGGGGACCGGCAAACACTGTAAACACATTGGTGTTAGGGCTACAGATCCAAGGTACACATGTGCTGGTTGATTGCTTCATTGCTTAAGTTGACTTCCCCCCTTATGCCACCAATTCCATTAGTCTACTTCATCTGCAACATGGGTCTGGGCGCAAACTATATCATATATCATCGCTCAGTACCGCACGGAATTGCCTCCCGCGAATCTGAGTGGGTAACCTTGCTCCAGCTATACCTAAAGCCCCAACATCACATGCACCAGCACCTTCGAACGCGGTGCTTCCGCGAGAAAGACATGGATTGAAGTACAACCACGTCACGTGTCTCTTATGCTTTTAGTTATATTACTGTTTGAAGTAAACATGTAGTGTGCGCTATTATTAAGTTAAAAATAGTAAGCCTTTAAAGGTTATTTAAGAGTGTCTTGGAACGCTCTAGCAAAATGTCTCTTTCGTTTAAGCCTGGTTAGGCAATTAAAGAACACTATTTACTGAACACTGATCAACCGAATAAGACCGCTGATTTCATTGATACACCTATTAAGAAGCTGTGTTAAGTATGGCAATAGGACCTTTTACGCTGTCGATCTTGGTCTTGGTACGATGATTAATCCCATTACTATCGCTTCTTTCTCACTGTATACGATACGATCAACCATAGTAGATATGATTCTAGCAACTGCGACCCCTCGAGTCACTGTTACAAGTCTGCTGGGATGCTTTTCTACCACTTTTAGTCTTTAGATCCTTGCCTAACAAGTGGTTGTCAGTGCTCCTCATCGACTGCTCAAAATGTTCCAGGAATGAGAGGCAAATCTGCATTTAGTATCTCGGGCCAAGCCACAAGCGTAGAGGTACCTTGGGGTTGCTTTCTTAGAATCTGCCACTTCCCATCCCTTATGCTACGTTGCGAGGGATGAAACAACCTACCCTGCTACCGTAGAAGCTTGGGAAATACCTCATCATCAAATCATCCTGGCTTAGAACAGGCCATACTATAGAGGTCGTGAGCCAGCATACTCTTGTAAGGCTATGTGACGACCCACTCGTCGAAATTTTGCTGACATTGACCACCGGTCTCCTTTCCGTACGTTCTAATGTACCTGAAGATTTGGGCTCGACGTTTACTCCTCACTGATCCTAAGTCTCTATCAAAATAGTTTTTCTTGAGCGGAGCCGGCTGGATCCCGAGGCGCCCAACGAAGACAGTGAAACGCCCTTTATAATTAAAAGAAAATTAAATTTTTTTTTTAATACAACGAGGAATCGAACACGAACCTGAAGAGAAAGAACCCCTTCAATAACCACTTGGCCACTAAGCTAATAGCTATTTTTGAAGGGAAGGGCTGTATTATAAAGAAGAAGTAAAGTAGAGTAAGACCAGGTAAATACTTCCAAGGCCTCATTACTCTCAATATCTCCCCATTACTCCCAAAGCCTCCCTATTGCTCCCCATTACTCTCATTGCCTCCTCATTACTCCTATTGCTCCTAAAGTTTCGAAGTTATTATTCCTATTGCTCCCTAGGCCTTGCGACGGTCATATTTCAATGAAAATAACGTTCTAATTCAATTTTCTCAACTACTAAACCCCGTAATAATGTATACAGGGATTCAAAATAACCGTAAAAATGAAACAAATATTTTGCGACTGGCATAATTCTTTTTACTTCCCTCGTCGTAGAGTAATTCAATTGCAAACGTTAAAAGTGGTTTTTTCGAGTTTTGTTTAAGTCGCGAATTGCCTGATTGGGAAAAGAGTGGGGATATAGGCTCCGCAATTAATTGTATTTGGCCCAGTATAGGTAGAACCGCCGCTCCTTCCAGTTTCGGAGCTTCGGCGGGCCCACGGACCGCGACCTTTGGTGCTGATCTTCCGTGTCACCTTTGGTGGTCCCGCCTCAACGCCTCCAGGTGGAAGGATGGGCGTTTCAATAAACATTGCCCTTTCGCAGGCATCGCCACTCTGGTGATGTACAGTGTCCTACAAGTTCCCGAGAAGAAATTGGACGGCAAACAACGAGACGATCGTCGTGGCCCGGGGCTTTATGTCCCCGAAGGGGCGACGGCTGCAAAAGGCTAGGACCGCTAAAAATCGAAACATGTGTGGGTACGAAGCGCCTTTCAAGCCCGTTTCGCAGGTAAGATGGATCGTGTCTTGCCCGGACAGATACTAAAATGCCCTTGTATGCCCGATACTGAGAAACGAAGCTGGTGGTGGTATATGTGCCGAGTCTCTACGGTGTATAACAGAAAGCAGAGTTTGGCAGGTGTTCAACAGATAGAAGTCATCACGATCATGGGCCACGGCTGGCACAGAAGAAGCCTAAAACTGTTCAAAATGGGAGTCGCGGGCAGACGCAATGATATTCGAACCAGCCGCCTGATTGGGAGTCCAACCGCCGTGTGAAGTAGGTAGAGGTACCTAGGTATAAGGAGCAAGAACATCTTTCCACATTTTGACCATCGTGCCATGTCGCCACCAAGAGAATGTGTATAGGTAGCCTCTGACTTTCCTCCCAGTACATGTACCGGTGTTTACAATGTAATCAGTGCCCTGCTCTTGCGTGCGTTACAGAGGCACTGGTGCCACGTTACTGGAGGTTACGCTCTCCCATTTGCCCTTCGCCTTTCATCGTTCTCTTCGTCGTTTGCTGCTTGCTTGTAGTCTTCTTTATTACCATTCGTTGCAATGTTGTAATCTTCTCCTCAATCACCGGATTGGCATCGTATCTATGCATCAGGCTCCAAACTACCGCATAAGATAGTCTGGTACCAAGCGTTTTTGACGCTTGTCAGCCGCGGTCGTTTGCCAGTCTCTTACCCGGTCCAGGGGCACCATACCTCATTCGGTGAAGGTTCATGAGGGAGAAACTACAAAGGTCTGGGATTCCATTTTCAGTTACTTATTGATCCCGTTTTGGATTCCTTGTGGACAAAAGAAACCCCAAGACTAAGCCCTATCCGCATGAACATTCAAAATTCTCGGGCACACAACATTTCCCCCCTGATTCATTCACCAACGAACTTACCTACCACCGGCCACCTCCCACTCTTCGAAGTTCCCATCACGGGTGGTACGAGCTTCTTTTCTTTTTTACCCCCACGGGTCGACAGTGTTCAAATACCTAACAAGATCAGACAGCTTGCAGAAACCAGGAATCCAAAATTACCGCCCTTCCTTCTTGTCGCTCTCGCCCACCACAAAGCTTTGAACAACCACAACTTGGGCTCAGCAAAGAAAAGGACAATCAGCCACCATGCCCACTTTGACCGGAAGCTGCAAAGATCCTGCACAATGTCAGCTGTCCCCAGAAATCTCAAACGCCTTACAGAGGTTTTCGATCCCCCACACCTGCAGGTTTGCTGAAGCTAAGCGCCAGCTGGTCGATAAGGTATGATACATCTTTCCCTCCTTTCGAGGCCGCTTCTGGTTCAAAAGAGGCTTGTCATACGAGAGCCACAGCTAACACCCTGTTTCTAAAACTAGATAATTGACGACGTTTTGGATAAAAGAGCTTCGAGCATCGCGGCGGTACTGCAGCAGGAGTTTCTGAAATGGGAAGACGAGACCAAGGAAAATGGAAAGAGATCGGGTTAAAGATGGGATGAAGTGTCGTCGTCTCAATCCAAACACCACACGTGCGATATCCAGTGCCGAAGATCTCCAAGGGTGTCATCAGAATTTTTTTTCTTTTTTTGGCGGAGACGCGCGAGTTTGACAGACTACAGAGTTGGCGCATTTCAAGCGCGAATCATTGAGGATTTTTGGTGCTTTGCGAACAGAAGAAAATAACACGTCACATGCATGCGCTTTCGGGGACTCCATAACGTGTGCTTACCGGCAAAAACATGGTAGATGGGTTGATGATGTGATGAAGTCTCGAATGCCGCTCAGCTCGCCCCAAGCACCTTCCTGTAGAGGTAGATCCCAGACCTATCGGTTCGGCAATTGGTCTATTGTTCTTGATTCGACCGTAATACACACTTTACAATCAATACCCGAAGCCTTTGTTAACGTCCTCTCCGGGCCTCTTATGCCGCTCTTAATCTCCTTGTAGTTGCTCAAGACTGGAAGATCGATATGCAGCCACCTATACGCTAAAATCAAATGCGACTTTCCGTATTCATCAGAAGAGGCTTATTCAGTAGGTACGAAGCTCACATTACATTCTGTGGCTGAACAAAAAGGTAAAGGGCGTGAGGTCCGTAATGGTGCAGATGGAGATGCTGATGTAAGCACAAACACACAGAGGTTTTGCTTATTAGGTTGGCATAAAAGTGAGTCGCTTGCGAAATGCTCATTTAGTGGCCGTGCGTTAAGTATCAGATAGTGTAGGCGCAATTCTGTATGGGCTCCGCCCGCAAAAAGCACTAACGCACTAACCGCAGTTATCAGTACCACTGCACTGTAGTCCAAGGACATAGAGAACTGGAAGCTAACAGCCGGCATCCAATGCTGCCGAGGGCCAAAATGCACATCAACACCAAAAGAAGAAAGAACTCGGCAAAGCCACTCCGTGAAAAGGCGAACTCAACCTCGACTGATCCATATGCAAGTTTGTCTCTATAGAGTTCATTTGCATGAAAAGAGCATCATAAATTTCTTTTTCTAATAGCCCCTCCTAGTGGTGCGGGATAGTCTGGAGAGGAAAAATGATAAAATCCCGATTTCTAAGAGCGCTGCTATGCCCTGTAAAGGCGCTGTAACTTTGATTGGTTCACATTTCGGGACTTGGGGCCGGCATTGACCGGTCAAGCAAGTCTACCAATAGGTGACGCTTTCTTCCTTCTAGACTACCGAACTAGACCCTAGTCTCTGTTTGTCAGTCGACACCATGTCGGGAGCATGTTAGTTATGACAGCGGTCAAAACGCCACAAAGGAGGCTCATTAGCCTTATTAACGTCAACGATCGATCTTGGAACCTCCGGCCTAGGGCAAAATGTTGTTAATGACTGGCTGCCGTCCTACTTGAGACAAAATTTGGGCGTTGTCCGTAGCAGCGGGGTAGGCCATACGAGGGCTGGTTCGTGAGGAGAGGCTGAATACCAATGACAATGGAAGCAACGACGTCGACCAGAGGGTACCTGAATCAATGTAGAGAGTTTGGAAAGGGCTGTGTCCACTCGGATTTGTCCCCCACGGGAGTCTTCGTTTTTAGGGTATTCGGCTTGAGGACCAGGCACCTCCTTGGGATTTTCCCTTTCCCAAGGGACCAATACCATCAACTTTCCCAGTTGGTCTTCGCCCTGATCTCAGGGCCGAGATTGGACCATAAATCCCGATACACGGTTCCAGCTGGATGCTGGCTCTAGTAGAGACATGAAGGGAGGCGCCTCCACTCTCGGATCTTCCATTGCATCTGCCAATCTTCAAAGCGGCCACCCGCTGTACGCACATATCTTTATGGATAAGTGCAATCATGCGTGACAGAGCTGAGTGTCAAGTCCAGCTCGACCATTCACTCCTGCATGGAATCTGCAGTGGTCCGTGTGAAAGTCTCCGGCAGTTTGCCGCACAGGGTCATTCCAGCAGCTACGTGGTCATGAAGGGCAATCTTCGCCAGCAACCGAAACAGGAAGCCGACGACCCCAAGTTCTTGATAATTGGGGGACGGGCGTGACGGTTACGCTCATACAAACGACCACTATTGATGGGGATGACAGACATGGACGGAGTACGGAGTCATCATCATCCAAGCCGGCGCCCATATTTGCCTCCCGGGCAAGTAACACAAACGGAGGTGATGCTTTCCTAGGTACCGCTGCAGAACATGCCTTTCCCTCTGTGCCTTCCCTGGTAAAGACGCCTGCTGGATTTGACTTATGAAGCATGTCTTCACGCGGGGAGCCGATCAAGGAGCCGATCAGGTAGCCGCAGTTAGATGATTGGGTGTATGGTGCGTCCACAAATCTCAACACAACACAGCCTCACGGTTACATGCGGTAAATGTAGCCTGAGTGCCTGAGATTTAGAGCTCGGACTTGGATGACCCTTCCTTGTCCTTTTCGTACGACCGGAACACAGCTTTTTCGACAGTCAAACGAGTGCTCGGGTTGCCCTTCTTCTTCTGCCTGCTTCTGTCCTGTTCCGCCAAAGTGGAAGGACCACTGTGTCAAACAGACCGGGCAGTCTCTCGGACCACCCCGGTGCCCCCGGTCACCAGCCCCAAGTCTCGTCGTATAGCTTCTGATCCCGACCTGGTCCTAGCCATATGTCTCACCAACAACAGGCTTCTCCGCCTCCCCCCTCGTGAACCCAAGCCATTTCTCCTCTACCTCCACTCCATCCCTCACAACAACTTGCTTGATTACTCCCCACGACAACGGGCCTGCCGCGATATCCGTATCTCCCTCCTCTTCCATCTCATCCCCATCTCCATCCCCATCATCACTCTCTTCCACTCTTCTCTCTCTCACTCTCCCTGTCTCTGTCAATGGACGATGACAAGCAGCAGCCACAACAGCGGAACACCCGCCCATAATCGGCATCCCAGCCGGATACCTGCCGAAAACCGCCAACCCCAAAATCGTGAGCCACGAAAGCGTCCCGAGCACGATCACCCAGAAGATAGCCCAGGTCGAGTACCCCAGCGTCAACGTGGTCGGGTTGGACTTGTCAAGGGTCACTCCATCCAGATCGATGAAGTCCACCTCGGTGAAGTACAGACACTGGCTCATGAGCCAGTGCATGACGCTGGAGACGACGACAAAGGGGAGGCCGTAGCGGTAGGGCAGGCTGAGGAAGAAGGTGGAGCGTTGGGAGCCGCGGGGCTGGGAGGTACGCAGCGTTTTGATCCTTGTCTTGGTTTTGGGGGTTGGGGATGGCTCACACTCGGTTTCGTTTTCTTTTTCTCTTGTCCTTATTCTTCCTGCAATTAGTCGATGCATCCATGTCTTCTTTCCGCTTTTGCTGTTGCTTTCGCTTTCGACTTTGGTTCCGGTTCCAACATGGAAGGAGTGCCATTCACGCTCGGCAACCATCTTGGTCAAGATGTTGTTGAGGAAGAGGTACGTCAGCGAGAGAAAGACTTGGGGCGTGTTGGCGATCAGGACGAGACGCCAGCGGTGGGACAACATATTCGTTGTGCTGCCGTCGCCTTCGTAAACAAGGTGGTCGTAGTCCATCCCGAGGTTGAAGGTGACCAGCGACTTACTGATGCGCTCATTTGGTGAGGCGTACTGGCGTTCAACTTCCAGGGCTTTACTGAACTGGAGGCCGCACAGGGCAAGTACGCAGAGGACCCAGGCCGTGGTTAGAGACCACCGCATCAAAGAAACCGATTTCCACATCGGCCTTGCTTTGGGGTTGTAAGCCTGCAGCGGGAGCGGTGGCCTGAAGATGTTTGTGAACGAGGTGTAGTGGTAAGTGCAGCTTGATCTCGGGATTGTCCTTGAGTCTGGAGACGGTGGCTCAGTTAAAAACGAGTCTATCGCATCTCCAATGGTAACCAGTGGTGTCGATTTGTAAAACCAAGCCATGAAGCTGAGACAGGCCGCAATGACGATGTTGCAAAAGGTGGTCAACCACCAAAATATTGGTTCTGCGAGCAATCGACATCTCGAGGGGACCTGTCTGACAAAAATGTTGCCTTGAATCCTGAACACGGTGTCAAATCCCGGTGTTGATGGATCCAATTCGTATCCTCCTTGCGGGTTATCGAAGGGGCAGACCCCTTTCGGGCATAAATGGCCCCAGAAGGGGTCCTGATCCTCAACCTCATCCCAGTTATCATACCCCAGAGGGTCAATCCGGTCAGGTGTTACCTGATGAGGGTACTCGGAAGAGTCCTCTACAGTCCTATTGGTCGTGACCATGACGGTGATAGCCCTTATCCAGTCTGGGTGCAAATCAGACCCCAGTGTCGCTTTCTCAATGATGTGATATGGGATCCCAGACACAGGCTCCGACATGTTATTTCTGGTGGCCCATATAGCCTTTTGCTCGGCTACCAAGACAACACCACCGTAATATGACCCCTTCGCTTCAAGATCTATCAAAACAGACTTGACATTGACTCTTCTCCATTCTCGTGTATCCTGGAGGTCAAAGAGCAGACCGTTGGCTAGCTGACCGTCCGCCTGCTGGCCAGCAACTGTAGGGATGACCGAGTCTCGAAGGACGGTGAATGGGCGCGTCAGATACTCTGGAGAGATAGCCAGCACGTGATATGTCCGCGTGGAAGTGGTTGATGATATGGCCGAATTAAATACCAAATGGAGAGGCAACACCGTAACCAGCATGGTTGTCCACATAATGAGTCGTTTTGGGCGGATATGGAACATGTTTCTCAAAGAGAGAATGCCGATGTCAGCAGTTTCTCCACTTTGGTGAATCCTGTCAATATCCGCACGTGTTGGGGCTGCCCATGCTTGCATGGCAAAGTTCTGTTGTGGAAAGTTCAGTTACTTGGGGTTTCGAAGATCTGCTGCTCAGCTCGAATGAATGTGGGTTGATCACTTACCGTGGCTCCAAGAAGACAAGCGGTAACCTGCACACCACTGAAGCACGACGAAAACATATCAGATCCCACGACCGTCCGTTTCGTTGCCTGCATGAAGGCTGTCCGTTTTCGACTGTTGGGTATAGCTCCACTGTTCACCCCACAACGTGGACAAGCATACCAAGTCTCAGAGTGCCCTATTCGACACTCTCATCTTGGCGTGTGCACGCGGTGATGAGTCTACAATACGCAAAACGCTCGCGGATTGTGAAACAGAACGAATGAGAAAGAGGATGATCAACAAGATGGAGAATTCAACGGGAAATGCACTTATCCATTTTGCCGCCAAAAACGGACACGCCCAGGCGTGTAGAGTTCTTTTGGCTTTTGGAGCAGATGCGGGTTTAAAAAGCACAGACGGGGAGACAGCGCTCCTCATGGCTGTAGGCGTTCAAGAGGAGCAGGCGTCTTTCGACACTTGTTCTGCTCTGATCGGGAGTCCTGACAGGTTTACTCTTGAGGCAGAGAACACGGATGGCCATACAGCTTTGGGACTTTCGATTATCCGCGGGCATCTAGCCACAACTCAAATGCTTCTCGATCAGCGCTATTGGTCCATGCCTCGATCGTCGCTTGACAAAGCGCTTCTCTTGGCTGCATCCACCCTAGAGGAACAGAAGTCTTGTGGCATCTGTTCAGCTCTGATCAAATATGGAGCGAAGCTTGATGAAATGAACGTGGAGGGTGATACAGCACTCCACGTCGCTGCTTACCGCGGACATGTTGCGACAGTCAAGCTGCTTCTTGATAAACATCCGAAGCGTGGTAGAGAACCTCACGTAGAAAACAAAAAGGGAGCAACCCCAAGCTCTCTTGCTTGTCATTACGGTCATTTGACGACATTGGTAGCTCTTGACGAACATCATAGTCATTACCATGCTCCGTTTGCCCTGAAAGAATGTCACAAGTTAATGGAAATTGCCTCCTTCAATCATCATGATGAGATCGTCAAATATCTCTTCAAGAAGTACCCTTATCTTCACCTCAGTCGCATACTTCTTGATAGGATTCCCCAGGCAGAGTCAAAATCAGAGACAAGGTCCGAAGAGTTCTTGAAAGTTCTATCGTCCACAGAGAATCTGCGAATAGGAGCGGAAATCTTGGAATTGGTTATCAGATCACGGGAGTTCCGGCATCTTTTCAAGGAGCTGTTGAAGTCTCCCAAGTTGCAGACTTCTACATTTGACTGGTATTGCCTGGTCTCGAAGATCAAGGGCGATGCGCTACTACTGGCAGACCTTGATGAAGAGACCAAGGATGCCATTGAAGGATTCAAGCAAACCAGGTATGTTCAGTGGGAAACTTACCCAGATCCACGCTACTTACAACCTGACACGCACATATCTTGTCTAACCAAAACCATCTCAACTTGTATTAGCCATCTGTTTTCTATCGGAGACTTGGGTCTACTGGGAAACGAGCCATCGACACCCTCTAGTCCCTCATGGTCCGACACTTTGCCGGCACCTCGTCCCTAGTGATCTAGCTTCTTATTCGCATTCACGGCGCTGGGTCATTTCATTTCTCTCACAACACCAATCTGCAAGAGCGGTACTACGCCCCTCGGAAGGGAAGCTTCCAACCAAAGCCTCCGTTATCAAAGCCAGCTTGGAAAGCTGTAAGAGACTTACGGTTGTTTACGGTACAAAGACTTAACAACACGATTGACGCTACATGTACGTGCAGGGAAGAAATATGTGTGTGGATGGATTTTCTCATAATTTTTTAGTCCAGGAACAGAACAGAGGGCAGTCATAGCACTCCAATGGAGCATATCACAACAGCGGGAAATTTTGCCCGTGGAAAGAACACAAGCTTCTCAGACCAAACATCTGGGATAATACCTAGGTACTTGCCCTTGCCCGTCAGTAGCTATACCCCTCCTATTACCGAAATCCAACAGGACATTCATGGTCTGAGTTCAACGGGCAAGGCGGAGAGGTAACGCTGAATCCAGCGATATGTCTTCACAAAAGGTCAGGTCACAAGACAGGCAGCGGGAGGGACAACGTGACGAGTAAGAAAAAGCCTCGAGAAAGTCAAAACAAACTGCGAAGGATGGACGGGGTAACCCTGCTAGCACATGGGACATTGACAGTCCCATATCCACTATGCGAAGAAACGCCAAGAATTGGTAATAGCTTCATCGGTCAACCGCTTTTTTTGTTGTTGTTGATGTTGTTATTTTTAACGTCTACTTCCGCCTCCCGTAGGGCATGAGACGTGCCACATCGGTGAGTCTAGCGTACAAAATTATGAGCAGTGCCCTAACTGTCCACCGAGACCATTAACCCGAGGGCAACCCGAGGCCTATTGCCAGTGTAAATCACGTGTTGCCCATAGCGTAAACGCGGCCCAACACTTCCAGTCTAATCGCCCAATGAGCGAGCCGCCAGTCTATGGCGAGACCTGTATAACAAAGGAAAAGACATATGAAAGGGCAAAATCACTCCTCCCCGTTCTCTCTCTCACTCTCCTCCTCCCGCAAAGCCTCCCCCCGTCTCCTTTCACGGTGAACTAGCTTGTCCAAGTCCACCGTAAACCTCTCAATATTGTGGCCGTGGCCAACTTCCACCTCATAGGCCAGCGGCCCTCTTGGAGGGCGTTTTGTGGCGACTAGAGCGGCGGACTGCGTCGTCGGAGGACGTGTGCTCGCTCAACTGGACCACTATCATATCCTCATCAGCTGGGGGCTGGCTCCGGTTAGAGCTGTCGGAGTTCTCGGGGCCGGAGGGAGCGGAACTATGGCTGGGCAGCTCGTCGGAAGACATGGTAGTATTTTCCTGGCTATCGGAGGGGGTACGCGGTCGTATTTTCTAGTGACAAGAATACCGCCATCACGGCGAATCTTCTTCCGTTGTTGAGGGGTCGGGCGGGTGACGGTGTCTCCTTGGCGTTTTGGGCGCATAGGACACTCGGCATGGGTAGACTTAAAAGGGCCACGGCAGTTGGCGCATTGAATGTGGCGGTCGCACTCACCGTGGGCAGCATGTCCACATTGTGGGCATTTAGCAGCGCGAGCGCACCCTCTGCGGCCGTGCCATTCAAAGCATTCTGCACACTGGTCTAGTGGGCGGCGTTTCTGGACGAGGCGGCTAATGTTGCTAACGTCAAAAAGACGGAAAGGAGAGACAGGCCTATCAAAGGAGATGAGCCAGGTTGCATAGGCCCCGCCAGGATGGAAGTACTGGGAGGGACGGAGGGCGACAGGCTCTTGGCCGGTTTGGACGAGGACCTCGTCCTTAATGGCAGTGGTAGTGTCGACAGGGACGGTACCGATCCGCATCGTCATGGGCACATTCTGGACGGCGTAGGTGACGCCTCGCGGGCGTGGGCAGGTGAGATGACGGAGAAGCGGGCGAGCTCAGAGTCGAGGAGAGTGGCAAAGGAGCGGTAGACTTCCGCTTTTGCGAGAGCTTCGGAGATGAAGGTCTCTGCGATGGACGAGATGGGTCCAGTGGTCATGGCTGTGGTGGTGGTGTGGGCATGACGGGCTTCCTCGTCCGCAGTCCGGGCTCTTTTGGCCGACTGCGCCGTCGTGGAGGGCGGAGGCGGGACGCAAAAGATGTCCGGCAAAGGAGTAACCGGTATTATGGCCGGCGGCGGTGGTTTGGGGGCCCCAGAGGGCGAAGGCGTAGACATTCCGTCGCTGCGGTTGTTGAGATATCGACCGTAAAAACGGCGATTTGGGTGGTGTTAAGGATTCTGCGGGCAACCAAGCGTTAAGACTAACACTTGGCGCCAAGACTTTTTGTTGTAGGAGGAAGATGGACGAGGAAGTCCGTCACGCCCACACTACTAACACTGCCTGACGGATTCCCACCACTGCCTCACCGATGTGGCACGTCTCATGCCCTACGGGAGGCGGAAGTAGACGTTAAAAATAACAACAACAACAACAACAACAACAACAAGCAAGGTGTTGTGGTGGGGTCTGTCCCACTCCCCTTCACTGGCATTACCGCATGAGCCCAGCCAGCCCACACCACCATGTATTTTCGCCCTTCACATTTCTTTTCCCTTTCTTCTCTAGCTTAAGACAATCAACAGACTTCTTGTGCCCACAAGTCCAAGACAAGGTGGTCCAAGAATGTTATAGCGAACATCCGTTTCTCGTGAAGACGGGACAAAGATCACGGCGATAGTTCAGCGGCTTGTACAGGAACTTACAGTGGCAAAGCCGCTGTAACTTGTTCTGGACCCACATCCACCGAGGATTTGCCCCACTTTCAGGGTGACATTCCGCATCGCATGTAGGTGTTAGTGCTTTCTCCAAAAGAGGCCGCTTATAGGGACTGTGTGCTAACAGTCTCTGTGATGCCACCTCAATCCGTCATCAGTTTCTCTTGCCCGCGAACCAGCAACGCTGCGAGCTTCGACACATTACGATACTGGTAGCATCCGAGACGGTGTAGAGCGCCCTTAGATATAGTGTATAACAATTTGTTATTGTCCTACGAAGCTAGCTCTAGCTGTGTGTGGGATAGGAATGAGCAGGGTCGTGAAGAGCCCTACTTGCCTGCTGGCCAGCGACGGCTGCCTGCCGCTATCTCACCAGCAGCGGCCTAGCAGCTTGCACCAGTCATTGGTTGAACTTGGCCATGATTGGACAACCTGGGGCACTCACGGGCTAATCTGATGGCATAAGTAGAAAACCCGTTTTGAACTATATAGGTATTCTAATAAAATTCCGAAGGAGAAGGGCTTCCGCGGCTTCTTCAACCTCGGGTTTCTTCGGTTTAGGAAAATCAGAAATGAGTTTGAGTGTTGAAGGCTGAAAGTCGAAGGCTTGAAGTAGCCCAAGTGTGAGATCGTTCCGAATTGTACTTGGAAAGAGGTTGGGCGGAAGACCGGGCTCGAGTTAAGCGTGGTTTCTTCAAACACGATGGAAAAGGGAATGAAGAATGCTGGATTCACCAACATTACGCCGAGGATTACTATGTCAGACTTTCCTTGTCCGTGAGCCCTTGAGACGAGCTGAAGCTGACCCCGAGATCTAAGTTCCTCTCTCTCCCTAGTCTGATGACCCGAGGATGAAGCAGCTGGGTCTCTGCCAGTCTGTCGCGCTGACACATGACATTGAGGGCTTCCTTGTCTATTTCATGCCTTACTACCTGGGGTGGACCCCGAAGGAAATCACGAACAACGCCGCTACTGGTCGCCGAGAGTTTTCGGGGAAGCCAACGCTCTTTGATTTTGCCGCTAAATGTGATGACTTGGAGGGACGTCGTGAGTGGAGACTAAATGCTCCGGACGTCGAAAAAGGACATACCCGAGCTGAGCCGAGGAAGACGCACCGGTGGGGAGCTTTGCCCTAACAGAAACTGGCAAATCCTTTGCGATCATTGATGTAAGAGTGTTAGTGCACATTTGGATGCAGGTGGAGGCCGGGTAAGGCTGAAGGCACATGCCCAGTCTGGGGTCAACCCTGTAAAACAAGTGTGACGGTCATCTGAGGTTTTTAACTAGCATGTTGTTTTTAGATTATTCACAGAAAAAGAGATATGAAGTTTGTTCTAAGGTAAAGGGATCCAACCGCTCATCGTGGGAGATTAGGTAAGTAACCAGCCCCGGTCGGTGTTGTTGCCCAGCCGGACATTAAGCATCCAATGGCTTCTGGGCATACACCATGCGGTAGATGAAGTACGGATGAAGGGTAGTGTCCTTCAACTCCTTCTGCAAATGTTTGATGTAGATGTTGATCTCCTCCGTGGTCCATCCCATTACTTTACCAAACATAAACTGAAGAATACCATCAAGGTCCTGGCCCATAGCGACATATAAGTACAGACCAAGTTCGTTCATCTTCTTGTCCTTGGACCATGGGGAGAGAGGGACCTGCAAGTATCCCGTGGTTAGAGTCTCCGGAAGAAACAGAAGCTGTGGGAAGCGGAGAATTTACCTTGTAATCCTTCGTTACTATGTTTACGAAGCCGGCCTCCTTCATCGCGTTCTCCATTAGGTTGGTGCTGTGCAGATCAACTTCATACCCAATCCTCCTTCCACCCTCCTGCCACATGGGGCCCCATTGGGCTACGGCATGAATTTTGTTATCCACGGAACCATCGTCGGACAAGACAGTACCGGAGGCATCCATATGCTCAATGTAACCGCCCGGCTTGCAGCATTGGTAAGCCTTCTTATACAAAGCAGGCCAATCCTTGACGGTGCCGCTAAGCCACCGGAGGTGTATGAAGTCGAAGAAATTAGAGTTATAGGTCCATTCCTTATTGTAGTCGTCGATTTCAAAACGGACATTGGAGGGTACCCAACCGGGCTGGATGGGCGAGATGTCAGTACCTATGACGTTGCACTTAGGGAATTTATCGGCAAAATCGATTGCCCACAGCCCTAAATGTCGAGTTAGTATTTAAGGAACAACCACCAAGATAGTGTAGAAAGTCGGCGTACCTGTGCCTGTGCCAAGATCAATTGCATTCTCAGGATTTTTGGGAAGAGGGGCATCATAAAGCCTGCCATCCAGGCAAATGGTCATCACATGATGGCTAGAGGTAGGCAATATTTGGTTAGCTATAAGAACTCGAAGTCTCGCGAACATGGGGATGCCACGACAGGGTGCTAACGCTCCCGTGAAAAAGGAGAGCTACTGCAGCTTGTACGTCCCAAATCCAGACGGTCGAAGGGAAGTCTTTGATCTTGGATGATATGAGATTCGACGATAGGTTGATGACAATGGTAGCGCAACCTGACAGCTGTTCAGCCGCCTCATGGGGCCTTGGAGGCGGCGAGACAGATTGAGTGGCTCGGATAAAGGTATGCAAGATAGGCCCTTGGGAGATCAAACCGATGGTGGGAAGCATGTTTTACTTACAAAATATCCAGCATTTCATTCTGCTTAGCGTCGTTGGGGCCCCTGCATGAAAGTTTAAATTACTTGTTAGCGTTGGGTGTTTCCTCTTACATGCGCAGAGCTTCTCTTCATCCATACTCGTCTGGACTCTGGGCTAGAAACGACACCTCACAGACCCAATGTGGAGGCCAGACTGGGCGCTTCGAGCCCTGACGAGTAATCCCAAACAGACTTACCAATACTCTCCATCCGTTACGCTATCGCTATGGTAGGTTCGGCCGTTCATGGTACGGTATTTGAGGATACTCGAACTAATCGAAGCAGTCGAGCTCTCAATATCACTTCCAATGGTAGAATCCCCATCATTTTCCTCCTCCTCCGGAAGTCCCTATAGTGCGTAAGTAAGGTAGAAGAAGTATGCCAGTGATCAATTCCAATTATTATTGGGCTTGTGACCGGGTGACGAGGAACGTGAGAGGACCGTACCTGTTCGGCCCAGTGAGATCCAGGAAGAGGGCCAGTCGTTTCAACAGCGGGGGGTGCAGGACCGGGCGTGGGTTCTCTCGCAGCAGCGGGAGACTGGGATGCAGGGCCGGGCGTGGGTGATTGGGGTGCTGGCGACTGAGCTTTTTTCGCCGGAGAACTCATGGTCGAATCTTGGATATCTTATCTTCTACCTGAAATTCAAGGTCGGGTGAAGAAGATAGAATGACCAAGAAGTGGTTCGGGTGCCAGAACCGTCCGATTTATAAAATTCTGCCAGTGCCAAAATGACAGGCACCCGGTTCGGTTCATTACAGTGTTCAAATGTGACAGTGTTCAAATGTGACAGTGTTCAAATATGACAGCGGATATCAACTGCCCTTCACCGCTCAAAAATTAATATTAGGCTATGTGACATAACTACAGTGTCTGGCCAAAAAGGCACTGGGGAATATGTGGGAGCTGCTAGCTGACGCGGTGGCTGGGCCGGATAAATCGATTGCATACCATTGTGAATCGACTGTGTGGATTGGATATAGCCAATGATAGAGTCATGTTCGCGCCTGCCAAAGTTTGCCGTAATGAACATCATACAATTATCCTCACCCGAGCATTCAACCACCACGCATGTTGTCATGTGTCAGATCACATGCACGTTCATTCTTCCATCGCATCTGTTATTGCATACAATGATGTTATCCCTCTCATCCGATGTAAACTAGCTTCCTCTTTCTTCTTCATCTTTAGCTATTGGTCAAGAACGTCAAATTATTTATGTGCCAGAGCCGCTAGACCCACGTGCGTGACACATGTTAGACTATATAAAGAAATAGGTATGAGGCTTGTCCAAATCCAACCGCCTACTGTGATAGAACAACCAGCTCCGACCGGTGATCTTGCCCAGCGTACCTCAATCCTCAGCATCCAACGGCTTTTGCGCGTAAACTACACGGAAGTCGATGAGCCCGTGAAGGCTCATATTTGTGAAGAACCGTTACAAGCACAGGAGTATTATCGCTGGGAATATAAGAATAAATGTAGCAGTAGCCAAAAGGTACTGATAGATCGTGATAGCTATTGCTTGCTAAGGAGCCAGAATAACGAAGGCCGAGAAGCGGCCTTCTTATATACTGGCCTTCGAATCCGTCCCGTGCTTAGGATCGCCAAGTCCCTTCGTCGAGCTCATGAATCTGCCTCCAATCTTTATTCCGCCATCTTCCACGCCTGGAGAGGTGAATGTCACGAAGGACATGAGACCAGGCTATTTCTGGAGGACCGAATTCCGGACAGCAAGAGCTGCAGATCGGTTAATATGTCCCTAGCTTTTCCACTGGTATTTTCGACAATCCCCTCGGAAAAGAAGAGAGTCTGGCACGAAACAGTCGTTAAGGTACTCTACGATGAAGAGGATGGTTTAAACACTTCCCACAGCGTGACATTCATCATCACCAGGGCTGAGCCTCCCAGGCCCCGGATCGTCCCGGTGGACAATATTTGTGCTGTGATCAACCCAGCCAGCCATATGGCTTTTGTTCTCACCAAACAACACAAAATCGGAATGATGATAGCGGGTGGCTCTGGGCTAGCCACCTCCGCCCCGTCCGCAAAGAGATCCCTGAAGGAGCTTTTCTCCATCCAAGCGGACAGGCGACGCGGAGTTACCACTATACCTCTAAAGTTCCGGATGCTCCTCGCACTCCGACTTGCATCAAACCTCCTCCAACTATTGCAAACACACTGGCTTCCCAACGCGTGATCACACGGAATGGTTTTCTTCCCCGTCACGACAGCAGCACATCAAGGAAGCAACCCCGATATTGACTTCAGCCGGCCATTTATATCTGTTAACGTGTGGCTAGTACTGTGCCTTGTAACTGCCTTGTACTACCTTGTAGTATAGAAGGCTGATTGAACTATTCCTTCTACGGAATCAGTCAACTCAGCCCCCACAGAACGTGCTAGAATACAGAGGTTTTGCCACTGTATTCTGGGATTCTCTTACTCGTTCAGCATTCCTTCTAGACTAATTTGTCATCATGGAATGCACCAGAAGCTCATAGATTCAGTTCATTCCTTTCATAGTATAGTGCTCCTACAAGCACTCCTATTAACTTACATAAGCTTCTACACTCTGGAAGCTTCTAGATACTTAACGTTCGTGTATATAAAGACCTCTTCTCTCCTTTAGTTAGTCACTCCTTAAGCAAGCAAGCACAATACAAGCAATACAATATAGTCTTTTCTCACAGTGCAGAGTCCACTGTACTCTTCTGTCTTGAGAGCAGAGTTCTCTCCAAGACCTCTTTTACAACATCCTGCTATTGTATTTGCAACTACGCTGCTTCCTTCAGCACTGCTGTCGTACTTTCTACCGCTTCCGCTCCGCTCTGCTACAAGTGCATAGTTCACTGTAGCACCCTTATACTGGTGCTATTATTATAGGCCAGTTAGGGCATTGCAGCAAACAATATCTACGCCATTCACTAAATGCATCGCCCAGCTACAACTCCAACCGAAATCGGAACCCCAGGAAGCTCTCCTAGAGCTAGGCATTCTGCTCCTCGAGATTTGGCATGAAGAGACCCTAGAGACTCATTTCTCATTAGAAAAGACTCCCACCGGATACTACGAACGTCTACCGCGAGCGGTAAAGTGGCTGTATGAGATGAGCAACCCGCCACCGAATTTATACAGAAAGGCCGCCTCTCATTGCATCAAGGGTATAATCGGGGATGAGTGGCAGCTTGGGTGCTGGGATGATAATAACTTCTGGAACGCTGTTTGTGTGGATATCATCGAGCCATTACGTGAAAATTGTAAGATGTGGCAATGATCGTGCTACTGTGTTGGAGATAACTGGACGGACTGCAGCATGTATGGAGCTAGGTCGAAGAACGAGTTGTTGGAGCATTTATAAACAATCCATACAACTGTGAATATAGTATATTTCTCTTACTTTTATGGTCATTTCTCTAGAAACCGTAATTTTCGTGCCACCAACTGTTAGATATATTAGCCAAACCACAAAATGTGCTGGTAGAGCAACTTAATAATTACTCAGGCTATACATGTAAATATAACCCTTGCGGAGAAGACCCCGTTCGCACAAAGAGGGTTATTACCAGGCCGCACTCGTGGTGGCCACTGTCGAGAATATAGTATGTGGCCTGCTCAACCTGATACTTTGGGTCGAAGGGATGGCGCGAAAGACGGAACACAATCCAAGGCATCATGACTGGGATGGTGCGGAATATGACGGGCCGAAGCCATTCGTCTGGCCGGCAGAGACCCACGTCGTCTGAGGATGGTTTGTCTGCCATGTCCCCGAGGTCGTGCAGTGCGTTGAAGGAAGCGTGCACTTGGGCTGAAAAGTGGCCGTTGACCGTCTCAAACTCGGCGGGCGGCTCCCTACACGGGAGGGGCGCGCCAGGCCGGTTGAGAAGCACCGGCATTGAAACCTCGAGTTCGCATGCGCCAAAGACCATCTTGTCGCATCCGGGCGGTAGGCGCGCATTGCAGGCCCGGACGTTTTCGACGAGGGATTCGAGAATGGCGTCTTTGGACGGCGGCGTGGCTATCCTTGACAATCATCCGTAACCATCTCAGGGAAGGCTCTCGATTTGGAACGCTGATTGGCCTCAAACTGGTCCCTTGCATCCCCTGTCTTCAACCCCCTCTCTTCTTCCTGCCTCTTCCTCTTCCTCCTCCCTCTTCCTCCCTCTTTCTCTAACTTGCTCTTGCTCTTCCTCTCTCTATCTTCCCTCATCTATTATCATGGCACTTCGTCAGCTGGCCTGTATGTACAAACTGTGGGATCGAATCGATCAACAGGGTTCAATCCCAACCAGGTACCGCAGCCTATTGGAGCATCGTCTGGTTATTGCGTGCAGGCGCCAGGACACGAGAGACTGACAGCCTCGTAAAGTCATTCGGCGTTGGTCCCTACTACTCCTTCTCCTCATTTTAACTGCCAATGCTCGCCAAAGGGTGTTCAAATCACTAACAGGAATGGGTGCGATTTTCACCAAAATCTGCTATGGTTTTGCATACGCCATTAACACCACTGCAGTGGTCCAAAACGAGGTGATTGGTACCGATAATCTTGATAGAGGATGGCCAGAAGTGCCAGACTCCACCTTTGAAATCTGACAGGTTGCGGGGACAGCCGAGGTAACCTCCGGATTAGGCAGCTGCAGGGCCCAGCAAGGCCAAAGAATCATTGGAACCAATCAGCGGTAGTCTCCCGAAAAAGACCCGAGTGCCTTGCAATTCCATGCTGGTTTGTTTGTTTGTGGTTTGGTGCTTCGGCGTCTTTCTTGTTCCGCAGCCCCTGCCCCGTATGCATCTCTCTCAGCCAATCGACTCTTCTACAAAGGTGTTGGTTGGTGTGTTGCAAACCAACCATGGTTATGACATGCCAATCTTCCCCTCAGGAAGGGAAGAGGTAGGCTAATGCAGGCGGATGAAGAAGGTAGGTTAAGACAGGTACATGAAGGAGGTCGATCGTGATCAGTTTATCGTAGTGGATCACCAAACTGTAGGAACCAATTCTTCAAGAATGGGCTTCTGACCAAGGGCAATCTTGGTATTAGCTGTGTAAAAGATCTAGAAGCAGTGTCAGGACGGGCAACTTTTCTCGTAATCCGCCCAATTATATTCATCTTTTTAGCGCCGCCTCCCCACTCACCGTAATGCCTCCGTCCGAACGATATGGATATGGGAGCTAGTGGTTCAGTTTTTTGACCCTACCACGTGATTAAAAGATCCGTTTCCTGTCCTTCCCGCTCCCATAGATAAGAACACTGAGGGCCTGACTAGTAGTTGGGTCGGTGACGACCAGCGAATCCCAGGTGTTGTATGTTTTTTTGCAGGGGTTTTTTTTACTTCACCCCTTTTTCCTCGACGGGTTTCTCCGTTCAGTTGGTTGTTGTCGTTGGTTATGCTCTTTTCTTTTTTTGCTACAAGAAAGGTGGTTATCGAGGGGTTGTGAAATTACTTGAGGGGATGTAAATGCGGGAACCACGCGTGGAAGTTGAGCCGGGGCCCGGGCGTTGGGGCGGTGGTGTTATTTGCTTGAATTTTGCATTTGGGAAGAAACACATGGTCGAAGCTTCTATGCATACAAACTCAACGCCATGGGTAAAATAAAAAAAGACAATGACGATTACAGGATCGATGATGGAAGGAGCAAAGCGCAATGGAGGGATGAAGTGGAAGGAAGAAGCCGAGAGGATCCCAGTCTTCGATCAACATCTCTCGTCACCAACACAACGCCACAAAGGTCAATCACCACGAGCACCGCCATACTTCAACCAGATTTTGTCTTCAGCTCAGCTGCCAGCTTTCGTTCTCTTCCAAGTCAGGTCTGGATGTCCTGGGCCAAACAGACACAGATCGACGGGTGGCATCATGTCCTGGCTCCGTGACCGTTCAAGGTTTACAGGGTTTCCCGACACTCCGCCATGGAGAACCATACTTTTGTTCAACCCTTCTCCTTGTTTTCGACGGTTACGTTGGGATGCCTTCCGATTCAACAGGCACATCTCAACATCGGCTTCCTTGATATGGGTCGATGATACCAGCTGCCATATGTTTTCAGTTGTAACAAGTTGGTGTTGATACTGGACGGTTTCCATTGTCCTCACTTTGCGGTCCCCAGCTAGGTCATCACCAGAGTTTCAGCAAACCCTCTCACTTCGAACTGTCAAAACAGGCAAGGATCCCCGAAGGAATGACCCCGACCACCACGCCATATCTCAGAGCCATCATCGCCAGTACGCCCAACAATCGGTGTACCCGACATGGAGATATACGGAGATGTAATGACCACTTTCTCGTGGGAACATCCACCTGGCCACCTCGAGAACGATTATGGGACTCGCGGCAGAGGGTTGGAGCAGGAGTCGGAGTAGGAAGGGAAGGGGTAGGATGATGGAACCGACTATTCAGTACGGGGTGCTGGACAGTACGGGACGCCTGGGGTTTGCGGTTGCGGATGCGGAAGGTGTTATACGTGCCAGGTGTCCGCGTAGGGGGGGGGGATGTTATAATTCGGTTCGCGTTTTGTTCTTCTGCATACATGTGCAATCAGGGCCATTTGTTCGCTGGGCTGAACTTGACGACTGAGGCTGTTCCCCACGATCTTTTACTCACACAAGCTTTAGCCCTCATCCTTCGTAATCCCCAACCCAACCAACACCACCGTCGCCACATCCATCACCACAACCAACAACCACAACATCCACGCCACGCCCGCCGTCACCACATTATTCTTCATATCCACCGTCCCCGTAGTCGTCCCATCCTCCGCCGGCACCTGCATATACTTCGCACGACACGTATACCACACAATCGGAAACGTGATCGGAATCAGCGCAATAGCCAACAGATAATTACACGCCACCAGCGCCTTCGACAGCCCCTCCTTGCCCACCGCCAACGCAATCACCAGCGCCGGAACGATAGCCACACACCGGGTGATCAGTCTCCGCAAAAAGGGGTTCAGCCGGATATCCAACGCCCCTTCCATGATGATCTGCCCGGACATGGTGGAGACGATTCCCGCGCTGATGCCCGAGAATAAAAGGGAGACGGCGAACATGATGCCTGCTGCCGGGGCGATGGAGTTCCTGAAAAGGGAGTAGAGGGCGTATAGGTCTTCGGAGACTTCGTTTTCGGAGGAGCGGGTTTCTTCGGGCGGCACGTAAAAAGCTGAGCCGGCGATTACGAGGAGGGCGGAGTTGACGAAGATGGCGACGGTGAAGAGGGTGAATGTTAGTTCGGCTATGGAGTAGCCTAGGCAGGATTTGATGGCGCGGAGGGAGGGGCGGTAGGCGGTGATGGTTTCCGAGCTGGAATTGGGGGACTGTTGTCGGGGAGAGGAGGAGGGGAGGTCGTGCTTGGTATCATAATCGTACAACCTGGCGCGGGAAAGGGAGGTACCGACGTAAAGCGCATGCGGCATGAGCGTGCCGCCCAGAATAGCGCACGAGGCGTACAAACCCGTATCAACAAAGATTTCGCGCGAGGGGACGTACCCCCGCAGGATCTCGCGAGTGGTGCCGGTGCTGTGGTCCACCATGGAGAGGGCGATGCAGATGGTAACGAAGACGACGACGACGAGGATGGAGACGAAGGCTTCGAAGATGCGGACTCGCCGGAGCTCGCCCGTGTCGGTGTAGAAGAGGAGGACGAGCAGGGTTTCGACCACGGAGATGACGCATGCGGCGGGAAGCGGGAGCTTGGGGATCAGGATGTTCAGGGCGATGGCGGTGCCGATTACTTGGCCTAGGTCGGTGGCTATGATGCTTGCTTCGGCGACGACGTAGATGGAGAGGTCTAGCCAGCGCGGGAGCCAGCGGCGGTTCATTTGGGCTAGGTCCATGCCAGTGACGGTTCCTAGTTTGACGCAGAGTGACTGGGGTCGAGTTAGCAAGAGGAAGGGGGGATTCCGGGGTTGCTGGTGAGGCTTACCTGGATATAGATGGCTATTAGGTTCGAGACCAACACCATGAAGAGCAGCTTATACTGGAACTCGCTGCCAGCCGAGATGGCTGTTTGGTAGTTATCCGGATCGACATAAGCAACGCTGATGACAGCACCTGGACCTAGGAATTTGAAGAACTTCCAGATCTTGGAGCCTATCGAGGCCGGCTCCGAAGATGGTGGTGGTCGAGGTTGGTATACCGGTGGGGGAGAATGGCGATTCGGCCTCAGTCCAAACCATGTCCGCAGCCCAGCAACCCATGGTCTTTGAATCTGTTCGCTGTAGACGGACGGAGAGGCTTGGGCGGTTGTAACTTTCTTCTCGTCCTGCTCATAGTTGTTGACCGTTATTGGAAGGGGTCGGACCTCGGTGTTACCAGGTTCTGTCGTGGTAGCCATTGTGGTACCTGCCCTAGGCAATGATGGAAAGAAATGGGCGGATGAATATCAACACTTGTTGACATATTGTTGAGTGGGAGGAAGACCATGGGATATTATACACCACCCACTCTCGTGAGAATGCACGATGGCGGGCTCCCGTCCGCTCATTGCAACCACATCATGCACCGCAAAGCGCGGGAGGCGGGAGGCCAGAAACCGCATACTGCTAGAGGCCGACAGAGGAGAGGGGTCTGTCTAGGGCTGAAGATAGGAGTTGTTCTTCTGAGAGAAAGTTTAGCATTTTGTGGTGGTGAATGGCGTTGTTGCTGGTAGCTGATGGGTGGAAAGGTACAAGGGTGTTTAAGCCACTTTGAGATAGCGGTGCAGACTGGCTGGCTGGAATGAAGGGGACCTCAGTCTGGCCTTCCAGTCCGTTTGGTTTATTGTGAAGAGCCAAGGAGTGATAAGCAAAGCAAAAAGGCCGATGGTTTGGTCTAGAAGATGGGCCAAGAGGAAAATATTGATGAGTGTTGGGGTTCTTGCGTGCCGTGAGATGGCCTTCTTCTCGAAAGGGAGAGATTCCAAGAGCCGAGTCTGCTGTTTTTGCCTCCTGAAGTTCGAAAGAATCTCGCAGTTATCGGACCCGGTTATCGTCCATCACATCGTCTTGAAGACAAACAGAGGCCTTGGCTGGCCACCGTGACAGATGTCTCTGTCGTCCATGGAGACGAAAATGAACATACGGATGTCTTCCTCGGATCATGCAGCAACAAGAGAACGGGACTTGCGAGGTAAAAGTGCCGAGGTGAATTTCGTTCGGGTCGATCAAGCCAATCCTGATGTGAAGCATCTCATGTTCTGGAAGGAAAGGTGTGAGAGAAGTGAGAATGGTGAAGACTGAAGTGGTGAAGTGGTGAAGGTGTGTGTGGTGACAAGACGAGGTTCCTGCAGGGGTGACAGCCGTGACAGCTCTATGCGGTTAGTAACCGCGTGCATTCAGCCCGCCACAGATTGGCCAGCCACTCAATGTTTGCCAGCGGCAAGCAACTTTGGCGTTGGCTGGCGTTGCTCCAGAGTCGTACCACGGGAAGAAAAGCTCACGATGCGACACCAAAGTCCGAGGTCGGCAGATGAAGAGGAGGGGAGTTGATGATCAACACCAGAAGCTCTCTGTGGAAGAAGCTCGCGTGGAATCAAAGTCCGAAATCGTGGGAGACTGGAAGTCGAGTGCTGCAGAGCATCTCGTACCTGAGAGCAATCACCATGGTGGCGCAAAAGGGGGCGATAAACACCGTTCGCAGTGGAATTAGTTCGGGAAAGGCGACGACGCAATTGGCCCCGCGGCATTCAGCTCTTCACAGCTGAGTGATCATTGACGGAGGAATGTTTCCCTTTGTTTTACCGTCGGACTTTAAAGACGGCGGTGCCTCCTTCTCCCCCATACTACAATCCCACCTCGACTGGCCCACGATGATGCAGTGAGACACCGACCATTAACTGATCATGTCCAGTTGAATTGTTGGACCATTCCCCCCCTTTCTTCCAGTCCCGGATTAACTCCAGTCTTTCTTTTCTCTCAACTACCAACCGCCCACCATGGCGACCGTTGACTCTCTCCTCTTCAACATATCCTCCTTCATCGCCGGTCTATTCCTTCTCGAATATGGCGCCGACAAGTTCATCGATCACACGGCCATTGTCGCCAAGAGACTCAATGTCTCGCCCACCCTCGTCGGGCTCTTGACCTGCGGCGCCGAATGGGAAGAGCTCGTCGTTATCATCGTCGCTCTGAGCCAAAAGAACTCGAATATGGCCCTGGGCAACTTGATCGGTTCATCCGTCGCCAACATCCTGGCATCCTTCTCGCTGGGATTGCTGTTCATGAAGAAGGCCGAATTCGATCGCAGTTCCAAGATCTACTCGGCTGCTCTTCTCGGCCTGACGACAGTATTCTTGCTTCTTTTGATCGCTCTCAAGGGGTCGTCTTTCCAATGGTTTGGCGGTATCCTCCTTATCGCGGCCTTCGTGATCTACGTTATCTCTGTGGCGTCTCTCATCTATCGAGGCACGCTCACGGCTCCAGAAGACTCGGACAGCGGCAGTGACAGCGACAGCAGTGACGATGACAGCGATAGTGACAGCGACGACGACCGAACTATCAATGCTGGCGATAGCGGCAGGGGGCGCCCTAGCGACGAAGAGCAAGGGTGGACTTCTGACAAGGGCCATCAACTCAACCTGCTCAAGCCCTCGCCAAACAAGATGGCCAAGGCCAAGAAGAAGTCCAAGGCCGTCAAGGTCATAAACAAGCGCCCAAAGACAATGCGCCATCATGTCTTCCAACTCGCCCTCGGTCTCGCTGCCCTGCTCGTCTCTAGTTACATCATAGCACACAGCGCATCGACTATCGGCCACGAGCTGGCTCTGTCCGGTACCGTCGTCGGCACCACGATTCTTTCCCTGGCCACCACCCTCCCAGAGAAGTTTGTCGCCATTCTCGGGGGTGCCCGACACCAACCAGGCATTATGGTGGCCAATACTGTCGGCTCCAATATCTTCCTGGTCACCCTCTGTGGCGGAGTGCTGTTTATCTGGGGAGATGCCAGTCAGCTGCAGCTCGGGTTCACGCTCTTTGAAGCCACTGTGATGTGGCTATCGGCTGTGGTTATCTTTGGGATTGTGCTGATGGGCGGGAGAAGGTGGATGGGCGTCGTCATGCTCGTTGGATATGTCGCGTTTTTGGTCGTGGAGATTATGAATGGCCGCGAGCTTGACGATGACTGAGCATCCGCGGAAATGTCTTTTTCCGTTCTTATCATTCACTATCATATTGGCGTTTGGGGTGTGCTTATAGAGGATGATTAGACACAATGTGGGAGTAATCCGGGCTTTTCCTGTGAGCTCTGTATTTTTATTGAGGACGTTCAAGGAGATATGTTCCTCTTTGCTTTCACGCTCACCCGACCTCCTTGTTATATTTACCCGCGCAGATGTAAGACTTGTGTCTCCTCCCCTTCGACGGTTTGCTTCTGGCGTCCAAGCCACCCGTCGCACATCACTTTTGCGCTTGATGCGAACTTACCGCCAGTAAAGTTACCTAGGCACAAAGTGTAGTGGACATGCATTGACTCCTTTCAGCTCATTGCGACTGTGACCTTCCAAGTCCAGAAACGATCCTGGAAGACGCCGTGGTCCAACCCATCACGGGAAGGCGTCCTGTAGGTCGAGGTCGGTCATGTAAGCCAAGCCTCTTGGCTCGAGAATTAAGACTCGTCGATGGAGTTTACCCCAGATTCCTACATTTCTTGGCATCACCAGTCGCAACGTCTAGACTCTGGAAGCTGGACGACCTTCCTCCCCCCTTCCTTTGTGTTACGTAGCAGTTCGCTAGTTCCCTTCCTAGTTCCAACCCAACTTTCTCCATCCCGGCGGATGCTTTTCCTTTTCCTTGGAGCGATCACGGCAACACGTGTCGGAGATACACAGCAGTCAGAAGAATTACGCTCATCCTCGACGATGGTCTCCCTTTCTTTCACCTCGGCACCGTATCTCCCACTTACAAATTCTTGGAATATCAACAGCAGCACAGCATCTGATATCCAGTCCTTCACGTCGTCCATCTTTTCCCTAGTCTTATCACGCCACACCCGCCCGACAAAATCCTGGCCAGCGTATGTCCAACGTGAAGTCAATTTAAGCGTAGAATACCACCTGCCGAGCAACCCATAGCGTGGTCCAGTCCAACCTATCAGGCGTGCGTGCGGGGTTGGGTAGGTAATCACGCAGTGTCGCTAACCATCCAAGCCATCCTTGGCTCTCATATGTCTCTTCCTCTAGGCCGGCCAGGGGAGAAGTCTGGTCTGTCCGAGCCTGGAACGTGTGGCTGGCCTAGACTCATCCGTCCCGCCTTTACTTATTCTTCCCCAGGCCTCGCTGCCTGCCTGTCAGACTCGCCAATCTGTACTACGTCCATTTCTGGTTTTATTGTTTCCTAGATGGTATGTAGTGTTCATTTCCCCCGGGTTGCTTGTCTTTGCTTCCTTCTTGTCAATTATATTCAACCGTTGTCACTCGTTAACAGAAACTTGGTAAGGAACACCAAGAACATTCTTAATTCTTAACCAAGGCGATAAGCAGTACAAGGAGCAAAATCCCTTACCTTGCAAAAGTTGAGTGTCTGACGGGACCGAGACCCCCTGAGAGTGGTGCCACCATCTTTTCCCCTCCTCCTCTTCATTCCTCACCTCTTCTCTGTACTATATAAACCGCCAAGCCCATCCATCGTTTCGTTTGAATCCTTCATGCCGTACCAGCTGAGATGTTGGCGCAGGACTAACTTGAGCCCAATGGACTCGGTTGAACGGATGATTGAGAGCATGTGGTTGAGACTCAATCTTGGCGCATACACTTGCGAGGCATCCATGGTGTGAAGACTCAGGTATTAATGGGGGATGAGGTGCCTCCCGGAGTTCTCTCCCGTGGTGGTTCTCTTTCACTGATCATTTCTTGCTTTCACTCTTAGAGTACGAATCTCAAATTTTTACAGCTACGTAGGAACATCAAAAGCCATTGCCGGTGGCTGTTGCACATACAGACGGTTTTATAGTCACACAGACCCCCAAGCCAAGTCATCGATCAGTCATAACACCAGACGAGGTGGAATCACTCGAAGAAACTGTTATCAAGAACCTACAACAACACCCAACGATACATCTATCAATTATCACCCATCCATCGTCCATCCATCCCTCGCCCGCCCCGCCAGTTTACCAGACCAGACCGGACCTACCTAATCAAGCAACGCTTGCCAGCAACCGAACCACCTCTACCATCACCATCACCACCACCATCATCATCATAATCGTTCGTTCAAATCAAAACAAAGGAAAAGTCAAAATGTCCTGTCCCTGCTCCCGCTGCTTCAGCAACCCCAACCCCTCCACTCCCCACTCAGAACCATCATCGCCTCCTCCTCCCTATTCGCCATCAGCCGCCGCTTCTCCAGCACTAGAAACATCGTCGAGCAAGAAAAGTACTGTTGGGTTTCCGTGGTTTAAGAAGAGCAGTTGCAGCGCAAATCCTCCGCGATATAGTGTGGAGAGCACGGCGTCGGACTTGGTGGGGCTTTTGGGTCGGGATCGGGATCGGGATCGTAGGACGACAACAACACAACAACGAGGAAATGGAGTAGGGTCGGGGGTTGGAGGATGGACTTGGAGTGGGGAGGGTGTTGGGAGGTAGTGTGGGGGTGATATGTACTGACGGGAGTGAGGGAAACGGGAGGAGGATTGGAGTATGGGAGGGGAGGGGATGGAAGTGATGGAGGGAAGGGAAGAGAAGAGAAGGAAAAGGGGCGGGAAGAGAAGGATACCTAGGTACCTGAGGAGTGAGGACCGGTTGCATGAGTGAATTTGGAAGAAAGGATGAAAGGATAAAGAGCGTTGAGAGGCGCAAAGAAAGCTCGACAGGAAACGACACAAAACGTTTGGGTCTACTACATGTTAGAGTTAGGATTTTTTGGCATGGATAAATTTCACCTCGACCTTCCACTTTTTAAGACTTTTCCAGATTCAGTCAAAACACCTTGAAGTCATTTCGGCTGTGTTCGGATCCGCGGTAGCCCAGTATCGATAAGAAGCCCAATAGACTGCTGATGGACTGAGAGGTTGGTGAGAGGATGTGGCTTCCTCAACTTCAAGCCCGGCGGCTTTTTTGTGCTTTTCCGTCCGGTAGTGGTCGTTCAAATGACATTGTTCTTTGAAGGCACTAGTGCAATCTTTGCAGAAGAACCGCTTCGTTCTTAGGTTCGCTTCTTTTCTTTTCTTTGTCGTTTCTGCTTTTCTTGCAAGCATCGCTTCTTTTCTCTCTGGTGCTTCCTCTGCCTCATCACCACAATGATTCTTCCTCTTAAGTCCCGCAATTGGCCAGGTCAGAGGGTTCATGCTATTGATGCCACTGTATTCGTAGTTCTCCTTTGGCCAAGGACAAAGCTCTTCGCCATCTGCATTGGGAAGCCCCAAGCTTGTTCTTGTGGCTGTGACTTTGAAGTGCGAGGAGATCACAGCCATTCTGTTGAGTTTTTGATCCGGGATGAGTCCCGGTCAAATCCACGACCAGTTCCTTCTTCAAACTAAACCAATCTATATAGCTTGGTTTACTCCTCCGGAGAGGCGTTGGAGGGAGCGGCCTTGTCCTTAGCAGAGGCCCTCTCCTCCAGAATCTGGGCCATCTTCTCCTCCTTCTCGTCATCGATCTCAGAATAATCCCAGACATCGTAGGAGAGCTCGTCGACTTCCGGGCCCAGCTCAGAAGGGCCTAGATTGGTCCTAGATTAGTCCTGAACAAGTTAAGGATAGGTTAAGGAATCTTACAGGTGTCAGACCCGAAGGCAATACAGCCCTCGCATTTCCACTGCTTGGTCTCCTTGTTGAAACTCTTGCCCAACATGTTCTTGATGTAAGTTTGCTTCATCTGGTGGTGGGAAACCTAAAAAATGAGGTTCTTGTGGCTGTAGGAAGGGAAGTGCAAGGAGTGCAATGCCGCCGAGGCTGCTGGCCGTCCACCCCCTCCCAAGCCCGAAGAGGAGAAGTGGTGTTGCCCGTTCTGCCCTTTGACTTACTTGAGCAAGGGAACCATGCAACGCCACGTAAAAGACTATCACCCCGATGCCCTTGCCGTTGCCAATGCGCAAACCTTTGTTTGCGATGTTTGCCCGGGGTTGACTTGGGCCAAGCAAGCCGGGCGGGATGCGCACTGTCAAAAATCCCACCTGCACCACGAACGTGAGATAGACTGAATAGAAACCCCACAACCACCACTCAGTAAGTAACTTGAGCCCTGATATGCTTAATTTGAGACTAATAGTAATATTAGAAATGCCTGCCAACAATAAGAAGACTATCGTTGCCCCCAATGCCCGCTCTCTTGAGAGCTTTCTTGTCCCCCGGGCTCCGGTTTAGACTTAGGCCTAGGCTCAGGCTCAAGCTTCGGCTCGGGCTCCGGTTGCGGCGCCGGCTCCGGCTCCCATCCCGGCAGTCAAATACGTGGCCGGCGGACCTTCTTTCGCGGAGGTCGCGGTGTCCCCGCCTCGCCGGGTCGCCACCACCGCCGCCGCTCCACGCGCTGCCGAGCAGCAACTTCTCACCGGTTTCGGATTCACCGGCGCCCCCCGTGCTCTACCCACCGGTCCGTTCCGTGCCCTAAGGGCCCAGAAGAAGAAGCCCTGCCCCTCCCGTCCCCTTGAGGACTTCTTCAAGCCCGCCCCCCAACTGGTCGCGCCCCAGGCTGCCGCGGCCGGACTTCCGCCGCCGCCTACTCCCCAATTCTTTTGTGGTGTTTGTGGCTTCGTGTACAAAAACGAGGCCACTCTCGGAAGGCATCGACGGAAAGAACAACATCAGATTTAGGATATCTTTGTTTTTTTTTTTTTTTTTTTTTTTTTTTTTTGGCTGCTGTTTTGTTCACTCTTCGGCCTCTTTCTTTTTTTTCTTTTTTTTTTCTTTCGCCTTTTGGTTACCTCCTGGTCATCTTACCTCCTGGTCATGGCATGTCCTCTTATCCAGTGTTGCTCCAGAGCAACATCAAAGCCTGGAATGTTTCCCACCTTATGGGACAGTTGTTCCGCATGGCGGCTGAACAATCTGGCACGACCATATCCTTGCGGGCGACAACGCCTTCGTTGTCGTGGAACCACACATATTCGCGGCCCGGTTGTCTGCACACCGCTTGACCTGGGTACGCCGCATCTTCATCAACCGGATCGTCATAGTTTGCCATCGTTGCGTTTGGCTTGGTTCGTTCTGGTTCGTTCTGGTGCGTTTGGGTTCGTTGTGAGTGGATAGTGAAATGACAAACTGACAAAGTGTTATAAAGAATAGAATACGAAATAATGCTGTTGCTCGCTGGGGTTCCGAATAGTTGCTGCTTTACACAAGTCCTAGCAGAAATCATTCTCTGGAAAAGAACATTTGTCAAAGGCCATAGGTTAAATGTCTAGAATAGATATTATTTTATCCATATAGACAGGATGGAATGACTTGGAAATTCGGAAAACTGGTGGTTTGGATATGGGATGGAAGTGGCGTGTAGCATGTCCCTTTGAGTTGGCCAGAATCAAATCAACGGGAAGTCTGAGCGTGGACGCATGAGCATAAAGAAGCGAGAAGGGCAGTAAGCTCCTCCGCCGGAAACGAGTTCGACCGCAGCCTGCTCTACGAGGAGCCTTCAAGCGCAATCGACGACGAACTCGCCTTCCCAGAAGAAGAGGACTCAGAGCGCCTCCTTGAAACTCGGCCCATTGACCTCGAAGGCGGCAACATCATATGTTGATCTGTGTAGAATATACCGTAGGTTGGACACATGGGCCACTCGCAATAGAGACTCCGCATTGGGTGTTGCCGTTGACGATGATCGGACAGACAGCACTGTTATGTTTCGAGAAGGTATGCCGCAGCGGATTCGGGGCTTGGTAGCTGTCCTCTTCCTAATCTCCAGTTCGGCTGCTTGGCGCTCAAGATTTGTTGGATGCCATGATCATCGTCTCTGGATAACACCGATCCGTTGGATGTAAATGACATACCACAAGAAAAATCAGGCCGCGTAGCGGGGTTTCGGGGTGGTGTGGGAGCGGATCGTATAGAGAGCGGATAACGCAAAAGTCTTCGCAGACGGAGCTCAACGCCGTCGTCCAGGCTCTGGGAAACAATGAGTCGAGTGGGCATGTGGACCGGTAAAGGGCCGCCGGGAGACTTCCACGAAGTTTTCCAGGTCTTGCGCTGATGAACTGAGAACTCGAAGCTGCGCCAATCGGTGAGCTGGTCCAGCACCATCCCAGCGGAGAGCAGGACACCGGGAGCCTGTTCAGCCGCGGGAAGACAGCCGGCAGTCGCAGTCATGGCATCAACATACCAGGAAGGACGGAGTTGACACCTGGGTTCAGGCCGAGATGGACGGAACGACGTTGAAGAGCTCATCGGACACGTAGGCGATCCCCGGGAGGTCGTCGAGCCGAGGTACACACCCGGGAGCACAGCGGTCGGCCTTGCGTTTGGCCGGGGAAGGTGCCTCTGGCTGAGGGGAAGCGATGCGCTCGTTGAAGGCCCTCGAAAAAGGGTACACCATTGTCCATACTGGACAAATTGCGAAGGTACCAATGCCAACCCAACAGACGGCTGAAATCCGTGCTCTGCTTTGCCCATCTAGAGGTGACTGTCGTATGGGCTGCAATAACGACAACCTGTGCTGTTTCCGACGAGTGTCGGTTGCGAATACAGTCGTCCATTAGGGCGTCGAATGTCGCTTGTGTCAGTGTCCTTTCACGCCGCGGGTCACTTGTAGACACCCCGCCAGCGGTATCGTACCACACGTAGAACCTAAGATCGTGAAACGTGTTGTGCAACTCGGCAAAGGTCTGGGCGACAAGGCTCGAAGGCATGACAATGATGCTCGGATACGCTTTGACCGGCTGCTTGTTTGCCTCGAGTGCCTTGAGACGATAGTACTCCATCAGGAGGACGGTACCGTAAATCAACGTCTTACCAGTGCCGACCTCACTTGCGAGCAACACTCCTCTGAGGGGTGACCGCAACATGTTGTAGCCATTGAGGCCACCATGCATTGCATTTTGTGGTCGATGAAGTCTAAAATGCTATTTGGGGTTTCCGCGATTCGAAAGGCCGGGACCTCTGCCCTTGGCCTAAGGCCAATTGCCAGTATGCTGGCATCAATTGTACGAACCCTTTACACTGGAGAATCTCAGGACTTAAGAGGAAGCAATATGCTATTGGTGGGGAGGAAGCCACTGAGAGAAAGGCAGCAATGGTCGCAGAAAACAAAGAAGCGACTAGGCAATGGCAGCAAAAGAATAAAGCAACGAATCGTTATTTTTGCAAAGATTGCAACCAACCTTTCGAAATGCAATCCAATCTGGACAGACACTACGAAACCCAGACACACAAGAACAAAGTAGCTGGCGTCCGACACCACCAGTGGTTCGCTGTAGGTCTTTCAAGATCCCAACTGCAGTCCGCCAAAACTGCACAGAAGGCACGGAGGAATCCACAGAAGGGGGCGGAGGAATAGCCTCGTCAAGTTCGGCCTGGGTCATGTCATGGATGCCCTTCGGTATTTCCCAAAAGGGGGTATGGGTACCCAAAGGTCCCCACGGGACATCGGTACGCGGCCAGGGGATCATTTCATACCATAATTGATCCATTACGTTGGGACGGATGGCCGAGAGAATGAAGCTGAATGTTGCTATTGGGTTTGGGTCCAACCTTCGCGGGCACACTTGGCGGGCAATTGTGGCCATTCTCCCCTGTCGTAGTCGAAAAACCTGCGCTGAACTCCATATTTAGGGCGTGTCCCCGAACCGATGTATATCGTTTTGTGGTCTTCCTGTGCGCGGGTGCCATTGTGCTGGTGTTGTTGGCGTTGTTGGTGTTGTTGCTGTGGTCGCCAACTCCCCACGCACTGCCTCCAGTTCGTTGGTGAACTCGCCCATCCTCTGCAGGCAAGTGAGCATGAAGTTTCCGCTGCCCTGTTGCTTGGCCTCGAGACAATCGAGGCGGTTGCCGTGCTTCTCAACCGGTCCCACGTATCGGCCGATCTGGTCCTGGACAACATTGCCCTGATGTCCTGGTCGACTGACTCGAATTTCTTGTCGAAACGACGCAGGACGGCTATCTGTTTCTTGATAGTGACAGCCTGGTTTGGTTCTAGATCGAAGATTGTTTCCCACAATGACATAGTGGTTGGCAGATGTTGGATGATTTGTGGTTTTCGGTTCCCACAACGAGTACTATATGCATCGTACGCTTTGGTTATGAATGCTACTTCGCTGTCCTGCCCTGGTCGTTAACTTTGGCCGCCCATGGACTCGAATCGCTGTGCTGATGCAGGAGTCGAACCTGCTCCTCGAGGCTGCGGAAAAGGACGGTGCTCATGGCGGCGGCGCCCGGAGCCGGGGCAGGAGTACCTGGGGCGTCAGGGGCATCGGGGGAGTTGGGGATGTCGGAGACGTCGGGGGAGCTGGGAATATCGAGGACGAGAGTAACATCTTTCCTAGGCCGGGAGCGACTGTGAGAGGCGAGGCTGTTGCCTTTGACAGTCGTCGGCACAATAACCCCCCCAGTTGGTGCCAGTGGTGGAAGTCTTCAGGTACGTGAGGCACATGGCCAGGAAGGTCGCCGTTAGGTGAATTTTGTCGCGGTTTTCGGTGAGGCCCTGGTCTTTCGTAGGGTTTTTCAGATCACCTATCCGGATGGCAAAGGGCGTATGAGGTAGCTCTTGTGCTTGAGCTATAGCGGTGAGGATATGGCCGTATTGGGGATGGCTGAAAGAGTTGGGGAATTCCTTTAACATTTGCTTCCAAGAGTCAGGTTGTGTTCGTTCCCGGCTGTACCACGGTAGAGGAGGCCTTGCATTACCGTACATAACCCGCAGCTGCACTCCCTGTACGGTAATGCAACGGTAATGCAAGCTAAAGATTCTTACTGAAGCTCCTTACTGCTCTGTGTTCGTTGGTACTGGGCTGTAAAAAGGCTGTTAAGTATGGGAGCACTGTATTTATAGGGGGTTTCGGGGCGGTAGTGCGCTGAGGAGTAGGTTTTTTACCGCTTTATATATGGGGTCTGGGACTGTTAAAAATGTTAAAAATCCGGACATTTCAGTAAGGAATCTGGGCCTCTGATTGGTCACATGCATGCCTTGCATGGATTTGGGGTAATGCAGCGACTTGCATATTTTTACTGAAATCCAGCCGAACACAAAAAGTGCAGCTGTAAGACTGCACCTTAGGGCGTGATCCGTTTGCTTTTTTTGGACTTGCTCACCCGGGTGAGCAGTCTGGTGAACATCGTGATCCGGAAACTCCAAAACACCTTTGTACCCTTTTTCACCCGGTGAGCACGATGTGCATCCGGTGCGCAAACTTACTCCACTTTTTAAACTTTGAGCCAACCAAATTGCTCGCATCCATCTTCATCATTCTCACCCGGGTTGTTCAACGAAGAGGTTGTTCAACACTCGATATTTCTATTCACCCGCTATAACCCCTATAGCCTACAACTTTCAACACCTCGAACGCCAAAACAACGGGATCCACATTCTCACCAGAGCCCATTCCTGTGCATCCGGTGAGAAAGGGTCCGTGCAACTTGTTCACCCGAAGTACCTTTTTTCCCGGTGAGCAAGTCCAAAAAAGCCAACGGATCACGCCCTTACAGCCACCAAAACTGGGTTTCCCTACCGTACTACAGCCGTGAACGAACACAACCTCAAAGTTTGCGCCGTGCCATGGATTGGCACCATACTTGTAGGCGGTCTTCAGGTGGGTGAAGGGGCCAAAAATTTCGGCCACTACGGAAGACACAATAAGTTAGTACGGTAAGGCTGGCATTGTTTCTCCATCCAGCTCAGGACACCACGGGGGAGAGGGTTGTCCGAGAGGTCGGGGCAGTCCGAAGCAACGCCCGCGCCAGAAACATGGTTTGGCCAAGTGAAACATGCAAAAGAAGGGCCAAACACACATGAAATACAAACTGACGAGTACAAAGCCGACCAGTAACGTTCGCATTCGTTGTGATGTAGAGATATCCGGCCCATTGTCTCCCACCATAGTCGTCCAGATTTTCGAGTGTGATGCGAGGCGATGGGTAGCAGAGAGGTCGAGAGCCATGGTTGATAGAAACTGACAGGTTGTAGCTCCCTTGAGTGGAGAAAGTGTTCGGATGATGGACTGGGCGGGTTGTTGCCTGGTGAGGAAGTTAGGAGTGAGTGACAAGTTTTGCGCTGCGCCACGCCTCACGGCAAGAACCCACATCAAAGGTAGTAGTAGGTACCTTCCGAAGAAGAAGTGCGCCCCGTCACACCATATCTCTACCTCATGTCTCGCCAAATTCTCATCTAGACGTGACGCGTCCTCGTCTGATCTCCACTTGAAGAAAGCGATAGCTCAATAACGCCGCAACTTCTTCCATCCCTTTTCCTGATTCCAAACCAGTACAAGGAGTACAGCCCTCGTTCCATCTGGTCGTCAACCACGCATCTCAGCAACCTTCCCTCGGCCACAACCCCATAAGCCGGCAACTCTGGGGCATTTACGCGCTAGTCCTTTTGTCTGGTTGGCGTCGTTGATTATGACCTGCCAAATGGCCACTTTGCCCATCTTGATCTGGTCGGCAACTATACCTACTTCGATCTGCAACCGATTCGTTTCAGCTCAGGCTTGGTTACTACCTTGAAAGCCAAACAACCACCAACAATGAGCGCCCTGAAGTCACTAGTCGAATAGAATTCGGCGGATGACAATATGTGGGCTGTGTATTTGTTGATTTTAGAGAAGGCGGATGAATTACCGCTGGACTCGGAAGAGTTTCCAGTACAATGGCTTCAATACCCACAACCCCCTCCACGAAGGCATTCACGATGACAACGACATTGAGGAGTTATGGGAACCTTTCAAGAAGAAGTATCTCGAACATAGCTCGAGGATCCTCTCATTCCTCGGCCGACTAGATCTTTGACACCTTCCATCCATGCTCATATCGGGGCTCGAACACCAAACGAGGGTTGCTCGGAACCAGGAGGTATGTTGAAGTACTTGGTTTCCATCCGTGAACACCTTCACCGTGGCCGCTTTGGTCACGTTGGAGGCCATGTGTGCAGCCCGCAGCTTTCGCCAGCTACCTGGACAGCCTGGTGCTCCCTTCAGGCCATTCCAGATCTGTGTCTTTCCAGCATTCGGGCTTGGAGTGGGCTACTTGTCCTCCACGTCGGTGCTGCTGTCAGAGCCGAAGGTCGACTCGACGTACTGGGGCAGGGTTTAGGACTGGGAATTTTCCTGATCACGCAACTTCTCGTCCGCAATACTAATTGCCTGAGCAATTGCCAGACCGTTCGCAGCTTGTGAGTCTGTGACAAAAGGCTGGTTCCAATGGTCGGGGTACCTCGTCAACGGTGGCTGAAAGCCATATTAGTGAAAAGAGGTAGTACACCAGGACAATGACAAACGGCATCCATGCCTTGAATGTCATGGTGCTGACGAGGTGCAGGAGTGCTTCTGCCCACGTCGTCTCATCTGCGGCGACGGGTTCCGAGCCCATCACGTATTGATGCATTGTTCGAGCTAGAAACCGTGCCGCTGGCCGATCCATATTCCGTACCAAGCTGCTGCAGTTGTCTAGTGTCGTCCGAGGTATGTCATGCACCCCGCCAGCCCACCTTGTACTTGTATCCTGTCCTGGTACTTCCCTCTACTGGCATCTCTTCCAACAAGTCCTGCCTCTATCCAAGAACCCTCTCTTCTTTGTTTCCAAATCGCAAACTCGACTGACTGTAAACCTCCAATTCCAGTCCACAAACCCTCGACCGACGCCAACTTCTCTTCGCAAATATATGAAGTTCGTTTGCTGCGATTGCGACCCCAACCATTTCTTCGGGACTAAGGAGCACCTAATCCAGCACCAGGGCTCGGACAGGCATAAGAAGAGAGTTCAACAGCTCGAGGAGCAAGCCCAGCTCGAGGACCAAACCGTGTAGTCGCCTACACGGTACCTACGCTTTCGACACAAACACCATCGTATCGTCGGCCAGGAGGTGGTGATGATCGAGGAGAGTTTGGTCCTCGGGTGAGGCCACCCGCTCAAGCTCATCTCAAGCCCCAAACTCAACGGAGATCTCTCCAACTTTAGACAATGAGCTGGAGCCATGCCGTGACATTCCTTCCATCTACGCCACCACGGGATTGTCAGGGGCAGATTCTTGTCTGCACCCACAACAGCCTTCGCACGCACACCAATCATCCACAGCGCGTACTCGACGGAGACGGCCTCAATCCCTTCCTCCGGAATTGCTGCCGTGGACATGACCCCAAACGTTACCCATTACGGGTTCCTTCCATCCCCTGATCGTTGAATTCGGCCACCGGGGACCACATCCATCCCTTGCCGTGCGCCTCGAGCTTCTTCCTCACTTCGCCCTTTTTCCACAATGTAAAGATAGCGTAAAACTGGACGGCCGTCCACGACAACTTGTCCATCCGCGGTGGTTTGGCGTTGATTGCTGGGTCAATATTGACTCTATACGGCTTCTGGTTTGCCCCGTTTGACAACATGTCTGCTCCTTTGATCCAAGTCCGCACCTCCTCCTGAACCATGAGCGGCCAGTCTGGATTGATCAAGGCCAGCATCAACCGTCTCAGTTCTCTGTGCGCTGCCGGTTCCAGCTTCTTCCTCCATGGCCGGCACTGCCCTCAACGCGTTCCATGGTCCCCACCCCAACAAACAAGCCCATCATGTTCAACGAAGAGGTCTGCGATGACTGCTCGTTGGACGTTCGCATAAGTTACGAAGCAGGCTCAGGGTTGATAATAGGCGGATCATCCAACAAATTAATCGCAGAACTCCAGTAGTTGAAGTTGAAGGAGGTGGTCAGAAGGATCTTTTTTCTCGGCATGTTCAACCTTGAGCTGTGGGTCCTTCATCTTTTCGTACATTTGCTCCGAATCCCTGCCGGCAAAGACGAATCCATCCATCCATCGATCAAAGGTAAAGGCAGTTCACAAAAGAGCTTGTATTGGCTCTGGTACTGTCTCTGATAGACGGCCTTTCTCTTTGGCGCTTTATTCTCATTCCCATTCCCATGCGCATTCTATACCTGCGTCCCAACCGGGGGTTGCTGGAAGGGGTGTTTGAAAGACTTGGGCAATTCCCGAAAATTGACGATGAGAAGCTTGTCTGGTTAGTGAAGGCCCGCAGATGCGGTGTATGAGCCTTTGGGCTATCTTGTGATAGCTTCATGCATTGCTACAAACAATGAGCCTGCCGCTATGGCGCTTCTACACAAAAAGCAGGAATAATCTCAAGTAGCCCAAACCCGAACCGTACCTTGGTAAATCGGAGCGGACCCGTGTGATTGGGTTGGGTAGAACACCTGCGCAGAGCGATATAAACGTTGACGTAAACGGTCTCCTTCACCATGATCTTGTTAAGTTCTTCCTCATCACTTGTCCCCGGGGAGGCCAGATCGCCGCGTCTGACGGCTACCGCATACAACGGGAGGTTGGCTATGTCCGCGTCACATACTGTACGCATAAGGTGCGCATGCTGCGATTGGCCGTCAAAGGAATTGATGCCCCTCTTGTATAGGTTGATCATCGAATCGAATGTCACACCTTTCCATCCCTTCGGGTCGTAAGGGTCCTGGGCCGGGACGGGGTAACCAGGAGGGGCGTAGCCGGGGAAGCTAGCGAAGCCGTACTGGGGATACGTGGGCTGGGCGCCGGGAGCCGGAAAAGAGTGGGCAGCCGGAGCCGCGAAAGGTTGGGCGACCGGAGTCGCGAGTTGTTGAGGCTGGGCAACGGCAGCGGGCGCGGGAGCTGGAGTCGCCGGCGCGGCGGGCTGCGGCTGCGAGGCCGGGGCCTGCTGCTGCTGCTGCTGAGCCTGCTGCCAGGCACGGAACTGCTCGTAGTCTTAGGGAGTCATGGGGTTCATTGCGAAAGTCTGTCTTTGCGGTTAGATGAGCAGCGCGAAGGAAGGGTGTGGTGGACTCAGTCTGGTGCTTGGAAGTCACGAGAGGCAGTCCATATGCAGCCTCCCACGAACTATTCCACTATAGTATCAGAAAGTTCAGACGACAGGAACTAGATTCTCTTGTTGCCATAGCAGCCATAGCAAACATCTCCTGCCAAGAAGACTTTCTCGAAATCCTCGAAACAGACCCCTGATTATCTTTCCTATTCGACCTATAGAAGAGTGTCTTGATGATTCCGACGATGGGAGATATCCATCAAGGTGTGCCGTCGCCGGGTCAACTGATTCTGTCTGCGACTGACTGCCTATCAAGAGATCAGACGGTTTCTGCAATCTATTTTTCGTGACTTGCCTTGCTCTCGTTCTATTGTGTGTGTGCCTCACTCTGCTGCCTCGAGGTGAAAGTGATTACTCTTGAAATCTTTCTTCCATCTTTCTCTCCTCTTCTTCTCAAACCGACAACCGAACATATCAAGTGTCTTCGAGAACGACGTGACCAAGATCTCATCATACCCGTAAGGAACCTGTTGCTCAAGTTGTTGTGATCTTTCGCTGACGTTTTTGGCTAGTACCCGCGTAAAGCAAAGAGCCTGCCTTTTTGTTTTTTTTTCCTTCTCTCTCGCTTCGAAATTCTTGTAAGCACCTGTCTCGTTCCCGGGCACTCATCATCACATCACGTCTTCCTCACAAGTTCTTGTCACTGACATCTCATCTCACAGTACCGCGCAAAGCAAGAAGAGCCTGCCTGCCTTTTTTTTTTCTTCTCCCTCTCTCACCCCAAGATTCTCGTAAGAAACCCTGTCTCCTCGCTGGCACCTCATCATCAGATCAGACCTTCCTGGACACGGGTCACGTTGTCGTCACCATCGTGAGCTCTGAAGAGCGGATCAAGAAGCCCCGAGGCAATCAAAAGCTGGTACTCTTCGAGATCCCACATTTCGAACTCCTCCTCGAGGTCTTCTAGAGTCATGATGAATGGTCGTGACGCGATGATCGTGTTGTCACAAGCTCTTCTAAATCGGACACCACTCACTGACACTTTCGAGATCACAGAACCGCAGAAATGGCTCCCGGGAAGAACCAGAGCACCAAGGCCGTCGTGTCCTCCAACGGCAACGGCAACGGCAACGGCAACGACAACGGCACTGGCAACCCCAACGCCAGAGCCTGCGCCCGCGCCCGCGCCCGCGGTGACGACGCCCCCGTGTCCTCTGTTTCCTCCGCCTCCTCCGCCGAGGTCCCCTTGCCCTCCGCTTCCGCCCCCGCCTCTTCTTCCTCCTCCTCGGCGTCGGCGTCTTCCTCCGCGTCCTCTCCGGTCCCCGCGCCCGTCCCCTCCTACTCCGCCGCCGCCAGCACGGGCAGCAACCGTGCTGGTGGTGGTGGTGTCAGGTGGACGAGCGCCCCGGAGCAGGCGCGGTTGAAGTACGTGCACGTGCGCGCCGCGGCCTCGTACATCGGCGTGCTCAGGTCGCCGTTCTTCCCCCAGGACGGAGCGGCGTACCTGGCTCACCTGGCGAGCGTCAAGGCGCGCGAGCTGGAGAAGATGCGGGCCAGGCTGGAGGCCAAGTTGTCGAAAGATGCCAAGGCAAAGTCGAAGTCGAAGTCGAAGTCGAAGTCGTCCGGGGGGAGTTCGTCTCGCTGGGCTCTGTTGCCTGTTGTTGGGGTCTCTGGAGGTCTGGCATCGTGCTGGGTCCCGCTTTACCATGGCGGTGGTGGTGCCTCCGGGCTACTGCTGCCGTCGTCGGTAGAGCATGGATACCATGACAATGACAATGACAATGTCGAAGGGGGTGCGAAGATGGAGGGTGGTAAGGCCAAGGGGAAGGCTGCGTCTGCTGCTTCTTCTTCGGAGGAGGCGGCGGCGGCGGCTGGAACCGAGCCGTCATCTTCTTCTTCTTCTTCTTCCACCTCCGGAGACGGCCGTTCCGGGGGTAACGAGGGGGCACCCAGAGACAACCCCAGCAACAGGGTCAACACCAGCGTTGACACTCTTCGTCCTTCTTCTTCTTCTTCTAAAGCTTTCGCCGCGGCTGCCGGTCCCTTCGACACCAACACCACCACCTCCGACACCCCCGACACCACCTCTGCCGCCAACCGTGGATTCCCCATTCGTGGAGGATTCACGCCTCCTTCATCTCCCTGCCCTCCCGCGCCTCGTCTAGCTCCCCTGCTGAAGGGCAAGACGAACTTGACGGAGGACTTCCTCTCGGTCGTCCTCGCCAAGCCGAATCCGTTCAACGGGTTCCGGACCGTCAAGTCTCCGGATTCGGACGACACCACCTCGCCTGGGCCCGAGGCAGCCGTCCCGTTTCCAAGCGCCGCCGAGTACACGTACGAAGCCAACCGCCGCGTCGTCAGCAACATCCGCGGCAGCCAGGTTTCCCCGGGACAACCCAGCCTGGTGCGCTTGCGCGATGATGCTGCTGCCGCTGGTTCTGGTTCCGGCCACGTTCGTTTCGACAAGAGGAAGGACAAGAAGATGAAGAAGCAGAAGCAGAAGTGGAAGAAGGAGCAAGGCAAAGGTAGCAAGCTGCGTGCGCCCGAGTCCGTTGTCGTGCCGCCTGTGCCTGTGCCTGCTGTGGTCTGGGGTGGTCCGCCCAGCCGTGCCTGGCCTTTGCCTCGCTGGCAAGGGCACATCAGGAACGGTGATGCTGGACACCACCAGAACCAGAACCAGCAGCACAAGCACGGCATGTACATGGACGAAGGCTACGTGCGCCACCTTTGGTCGGAGAAGCTGGAGCCGCATCAGCAGTTCGCGCGCCTGAGGAAGGCCGAACTTGCTTTGCAGAAGCGAGAGCTGGTCGAGTCCGGGATCGAGGGACTGATCACCCCTCCTACCGGCAGGACTCACCGTGAGCTCGAGCTGATGGTCGGTGCAGCAGCCCAGTTTGATTTCAGCAGCAGCAGCAGACAGGTGGCTTCGGCTCCTGATCTTGTTTATCACAGCGGTCTCGCCTCTTCGGTGGTTGCAGAACCAGCTCACACACACACAGGTCTCTCCGCGACGGCGGTTGATGAACCTCGCACTTCCACGACGGTGGTTGATGCCATTATTGCTCCCGCTACGGCGGTTGAAGCCCAGCGCGCCCCCGCTTCGGCGGTTGAGGCTGCACCCATTACCTCCTCTTCCTCTTCCTCATCCTTCTCCGCAACAGCCATACCGTTTGTGCCGCGGTCCCTGGCTCCCGACGCTCCCGAGTTCGTGCCCTCCTCCGGTGGATGTAGTGAAAGGGATTCGCTCTCTGCTACTGCCGAGGAGTTCGTTCCGCCTTCAGTTGCCGTCGTCTCTGCCGCTGTCGTCCCCCAGCAGCAACAGTCATCAGCAGCAACCGAGCAGTTGTCGTCGTTGCCGTCTTCGGACCCCCCGTCTTTGGTGCAGCAGCAGCAGCAGCAGCAGCAACAACAGCTCAGCGGAGAAGAGTCGTTGTCGTCTTTGGACCCCGGCCGCGTCAATTCTTGGACGGATTACCGTCGTGACCACCCTCGTGCGCCCCGGCACTTGAGGCCATCCCAGCTTGGTCACCAGCGGAATCGTCACCAGCCAGAGCTCGCGCCTTGCCACCCTTCTGCCCCCGCCAGTCCTCCCAGTGTCTCTCTTGGCTCTTGGACGTTTCCCTCGCGCGGCTCCCCACCCCGTTGCGAGCCCCAAGCTACCGCCCCCAACGAGAAGAAGACGCCGCTGCCTTCGTTCGACCCCAGCTGCCCCGATTTCGAGGAGGAGTTCCCGCCTCTTGGTCAGCCCCCTACCCACGCCCACGCCAAAGCCAAGTCATCCAAACCTTCGAAGCAGCAACCCAAAGCGTCCAGTTCTGCTGGCTCTCCCTCCTAGTTGGAGGAGACCAGCAACTTGGACGCTGGCAACCACCACGTCGTTGCTGAAGATGATGACGCCCAGGACATCTACGCGGCCAGCCCCGTTCTTCAGTCTGCGTCGGCTGCAGATGTCGCCAGCATCACCACTGGCAACAACACAACCGGCGAAACGATCGAAGGCACCATCAGCAGCGACGGCAAGACTGGTGGCGACAAAACCACGGACGAAGCCCAAGCCCACCCCCCTGAGCCTCCTGCCCAGCTTCCCCCCTACGCGGCCGCCCACTACTACAGCGACACGACCCCGTCAATTTACTCGGCGGAGGAGCAGCGCCTTCTGCTGCAGGCCTACTACTACCCCGGCCGTCGTGATCCTGTCTCTGGCCTGCCTGTCTCTGTTCCTGGCCCTGTCTCTGGCTCTGGCTCTTCTGCTCGCCGCCTTCCTGGCACCCCCTACTGCCCTCCTGGCGCACTTCTTCCTGCGGGCACCGGCGCCCCTTTTTACTACCCAGCCGACACTCCTCACCCCGGTTTTGGTCTCCTTGTCCCTGGTTTCGATCCCGATTCCCGCCGGGCCCCAGTCGCCGACATGGGAGAGGGAATGGGAATGGGCATGACGATGCTCCATCCCGGACCTGGCCCGCTTCCTTTCCTGCCAGTCCCAGTCCCGCCGCCTGCTCCTTACCCCCACGGCTACGATCAACCGCCTCCCGGCCCTCCTCACGCCCTCACCCACGGCTACGGCTACGGCAACGCCCACGGCTACCATCATCAACCGCCGCCGCCTCACCAACCTCTCCAACCTCTCCACCCCCAGCGCCGCGTCCACTTCGCCGACTACAACACGGTGATCCACCTCCCTCCTTCGCCTTGGGGGAACGGGGGTGGCGTGTTGGAGTTCGTGCCTCAGCAGCGTCCGGATGGGGCGGCTGATGGTGACGTTGTTGATGGCGGTGATGGTGTTAATGGTGTTGGCGAGGGCAGTGGTCAATTGCCTGGTTTTGCTTCTGGTCCTGGCTCTGTCTGGCAGGGCTTGGATAATTGGGTTGCTGCCGGTGGTGGTCCTGGTCCTGGGGTCGTGTCTTTCGCTGGCACTTCTGGTTTGGAGGACGAAGAAGCTCCGCGCCAATTTCCTGCTGGCACGCCCTTTCCTCATGTCGATGGCGGTGCTGGATCTTGGTCCGGTTCTGGGTTCGAGTCCCTCGCTGCTGCTGCTTCTGGGTTCGATTCCCACGACGGCACTCCTGCCTTCCACCACGACGCGTCGGGCCCAAGCTTTTTCCCTCCCCCCGGCCCAGCCTCGCCAGTTTTGGAGCTCCTCCCCCTTCCAGCTCCCTACAACTACTTCTCCGGGTTCTCCCTCCAGTTCGTCTCTGCTGCGCCTGCTGTCCCTGCCGCCCCTGCCGCCCATGCTGCTCAAGTCAACCCCCAGCAGCCCCCTCCCACCTTCAACTCCGGCTACTACCTCGGCCACCACCCCATCCCCCCTCCACCTGGTCCTCCCGCCGCTCCAAGTCCTGGTTCGGTCCCGCCTCGTCCTTGCGCCCCGCCTCTTTTCTGGGAGATCCTGGAGATGGTGGATATCCTGGACTTGGTGGAGGACTTGAGGATGGCGGGGGTGGTGGAGAGGGAGGCGGAGGCGTGGCAGTTAAGGGCGCCGGTTGGTGAGAGAACGTGGGATTTGAGTTTTGGTGATGGAAGTGGTGATGTGGAAGGGGAAGGGGAACTGGAGGAGATTGAGCTGGAGGAGGTGTCGGTTGTGGTGAGGGAGTTGGTGGCGGAGATTGATGAGTTTGATGACTAGGTTTTGGGGGGAGGAGGGAAGTTTGGAAGGGATTTGCGATTTGGAATTTGGGTGATGAAGGAAGTGATATCTGGAAGGAATTTGGAACTGGAAGGAAATTTTAGGTGTACTCGTGGTCTTTTATGTTTGCTCTTTGTTTGAGTATGATCATTCAATTGTGCTCTTGTTTGAGTAAGATCATTTGCTGATTGCTGGATTCGAGAAGGTTTGCTGTGTGGGGAAAGAAAGGAAGTTTGGGTGACACTAGAAAGTTCAGACCAAATCAGGGGCAAGCACCTCTGCACCTGAGCTGATATCGAAATAAGATTGTTGCCGCCCAGTATTAAAATCTTCGTGAACATGAATCATCTTGAAGTCTGTCCTGCCGCTCAATCATCTTGAAATGAGGAGTCCTGCCGCATTTTCCATCCAGTGAACACGTCGAATTCGCAATCCCTCTTCATTCCGCACGTGCTAATCGCAGAAACTTCGGACCGGAAAGACAAAAATTTTCGCTCGGCTTCGAAATCAGAGGTGATTTGCTGCACCCGGCTGGATAAATCTTGGACTTGACGAAGCGAACTTGGCGGCGTGGCATCTGCTTCGTAAACTGGCAGTGGTGACCATCTCGGCAGCATGACGATGGACGAACTGGACAAACCCGCATCCACCTCGAACTCAAAGTTGTCGAAGGACTCAAAAAAGTCGGTTTCAAGGTCAACAATAACATCGCGGTCGCGGACGTCATCCATGACGCTCCTGGCAGTGAAGACGAGCTTGAGGTCATACACGGAGAAGGGTGTACTATTTGCTGGCTGGGCGTTCTGGGACTGTTGCGACGAGCACCCATATTGGAGCGTCGTGGCTCGACGGGAATAGAATATCGTGTACCCGTGCTGGCCGGCCGGCTTGGTGGTAACGGTCTGTTTAGGACTAGCTGCACCCCCTCCTCGTCTTCGCTACTGATGTCGATATCATTGCGAGACGATGGTTGGGCCGCTTGGGTGGCTGTGATGGGCGTTGAGCCAGAAGAATCCACGGTGCGAGCGGTAGCGGTAGTGTACTTGCCGGGAGGGATCTTGAACGTCATTTTTCCTAACTTGGCGGCCTGGCATATGCTTGGTGAACTGGCGGTGGTAAGAAGGACTGTCGTACCCTCTCTTTGTGTGGTATGAATCGTCATTTGAAGCGCCGGCATACTTGGCTGGTGAAGCTCCTTGAGCTCGTCGATGGTGTAGCGGCGAGCAGACATGTTCAGGTTCGTGGATTCTTTTCTGGTTCCGAAAAAAGGCTGGGGCGCGGTTTCGGTTAAACGAAACTTGCCTCACAACCAAACGTTGATGTTGGTTTGAGTGGTTCAAGATGACGGATCGATTCAAGCTTCACCGATGGGCCGCTCAAATTTTCGAGCAGCTGGATCTCTTGCTTCAAATGCTGATCGGTCGGGATAAAACGTTGGGAGGGGACTCCCACTGAAGGTTGGCCGCGTGGGCGGGACAGGAGCCATCATGGCGCTGGCGGCGTGGGGAGCATGAGCACCGTACTATGTACTCAGAAGCTTTGGAAGGGTCGGTAAAAGGCTTTGGAGAGATTCTTTAGCGCTGGAAACCATGCGTAATGGTGGCCTTGCTGAGCTTTCCCAGTGGGAGCTTCCTGTCATCGTATTTGAATGTGCGCATGGTGTTGTCCATTAAGTGCTGGTTGAAGATGAGTTCCATGGCCGTCGTGGCTCGACGGGAGTAGAATATCGTGTACCCGTGCTGGCCGGCTGGCTTGTTGGTAACGGTCTGTGTTGGCGTCGACCATGGGCTGCGGGAGAGCTCGAAGCTGAAGTATTGCCAAAGTAAGGGGAGCTGCAAAGATCTCTTCTAGGCCCTTCTTCGATTGCCGGGTCCCGAGCATGGTCCCCAGCACAACTATTATCCGAGTTCCAAGGGGAACTCCGAGGGAGCGGGTCGCCCATATCTTCCTTTTGAGAACATCACGGCAACAAGAGCTTGGGGTCCTGGACCAGGACCACCACACATCATGCCCCAGCGTCGTATTACCGAAAGCCTTAGCCACTGCCGAGGAATTCTTGAGCGCCTGGAAACCACATGGCATCATGGCCGTTTTTCTGTACCCGGTTGGTAGTGCCATTGTTCCTGGTCTCCCCTCTTGCTTGCTCTTGTTGTGCCGGGACACGTGAGGCAGTGTTCCTCACTGGAGTATTTTCAACAACTGGTGATGGTGGTCGTAGGATTTCAGGCCGGAATAACGGCAGGAGAAATGATGTTCAGGATCCCTCACGGCAAGGGATGCGGTTTCGTCCAGTTCGTCCATCGCCATGCCGCCGAGGTGGCCATCAACCAGATGCAGGGATACCCGATCGGCAATTCGCGCGTCCGTCTCTCCTATGGCCGCTCCCAGAACAACTCCGGCGTCGGCACATTAATCAGGAGATTCGGTCTAGCATGCTGTTCATGGCGTAGTTTTGGAGGTTGAGGCCACGTGGGGTTCCAGTCGGTTGCCGGCCGTTGGCGCTGGACCGAACGCGTGTGGAATCACGGAGTGGTAGCTGTTGGACAAGCGTTCAACCGGGTGGACTGAAATTGAGGAGATCATGGGTTCTCTGGTTGGAATAATGGCAGGAGAAGGGCTGTTCTGGTTAAGGGGTGGGTGGGTGTAGTTCAGATTCAGGTTCAGGTTCGGGTTCAGGTCTGGTGATGGAAAAGGTTTGTGGTGAAGACGGGCAGAAGAGTGAATCGTCAGAAATCTTGCAATCCGTTTGTTGTGTTGGAGTAACACAAAGTCTTGGGTCATTTGCTGCGATTTCGGCTTCCTCCAATCTCACGATATCTTGGAGTTCCAACAGCAGTTTCGTTGGAAAAGTGGAACTTATCGGGCAACAACACCAAGGTTCTGGGTAGGAAGCGGAGCAAAATCCTCACCGAGGGCTTCACCGAAGTGCCGCCAAGGTTCTCACCCAGCCAACCAGGTTCTCGATGATTACCAGCTGAGGAGCAAACACCCTGTTTCCTAGGGAACATAACGAGAGTAACACTTTTCGAGCGGTATTCTTTCATAACCATTCCTCCTTCGTGCTGCAGCTCCGCATATCCAGAGCTACTGGAATTGCAAGTAAAGGGGCTTACAACCACCTCTAGGTTTTCAAAGAAAGGACGAAAAGAAAAGATCGTGCCGTGCCTTATCTGTCTGACGAAATCGGCACTTGATCATGGGATCGCGACAGGGGATGAAAGGGAGTAAGTAGGTGGGTGAGAAGAATACTTTTATCTCGCTCACATCGCGACTCTCTTCGGACACTTGAGGGGACGTGGATAAAGACAACTGAACGACTTGGCATCAATGAAAATAAGTTCATGCCTCGCGAATAAATGCCTTTGACGTGACTGAAAATGATTAAGATGTTGAAATGGTGAATATACTTGTGGAATCAGTGATTTCCATGCTTTTGCTTGTTTTTTTGTGATATTTAGTACCCGGTTTAACTTGTGTTGAAAGAAGGCCAAAAACTTGGACCCTGCCATTTTGCTATGTCGGCAGCAGCACAACAACACTGAAAAAGAGCAATTAAAAAAACTGGAAATGGAATTCTTTCTCTAGAATTATAAGCCTGGAGCTTTTTTCAATTCCCCCAGTCGAGTGCATAACCAGATATCGAAGAGTGTCTCGCCTGGGTATGAAGCCGTGTTCCGATTGTTTACATGCCTTTTCGGACCCCAGTCTTTCAGCACTTGCAAAAAAGGGGGCGCCAAGAGTTCAACCATAGAAGAGAACAAGGGGCCGGGAACAGAACAGGGGGGTTTCTGAGCCTGAGAGAAGAGAGATTCTCTCAATTCTAGAAGGCGGCTGGTTGCACGGGGCTGCCATGGCCCATGGCGTATGGCAGACGGCAACCAGATCTCGCATCTCGGTTCTTGGCTATAGAAAGGAGGAGGGCAAGGCGAGGGCATAGGCGGATCCCGAACCTTGTTCGTTTGCGGAGTTGTGGTCAAATGGGCAATACCGTCTTGACCGTTTTCAGGTTTTTGACTTTTGATGATGAACGGAACGGACTTGGGGGGTTTGACTTGATTCATGAACCCTATGAGGCATTGGTATCGTGGGTTGGGGCAATGGGATTTCCGTCGTCGATCAAGCAGATATATCCGGGAATATCAGATGAACTATGTGTGCGTGTGTCTGGAGAAGATGGTGTCAAAGGGGGGGAGAAAGGAACGATGCATTCACCAAGACATTCCATTGCAATCGCTGATTGGTGCATTTGAGCATATCCATGCTCCTCATCCGTTTCAGAAAAACCGCTGCACATGCCATTGGAACCCCCCATGTTCCTCCCATTCTAGACTTTGTCCCGCTGTAGATGCACCATCTCGCACTTCACAGACGCCAACCAGATGTGCATCGAATCATCGCGGTCGAATGTAAGATGTTTCACTGTTTTGCCATGAACGTGTTTGCATTCTGGCGATCGGGTGGCTTGTTTTGGCTTGGAGATCAATGTTGGGCTTTGTAGCTTTGGAGAAGTCCGTTGGATGTCAAAACTCAAAAAGGAGTTACCTGGTAGGGTTAATTGCAGCTCAATGCCGTGGTATGCGGTATGTATGTTACTGTACGTAAAAGTAACAACGGAAGGGCTGCAATGCGGACAGCTGCTGTCTCCCGCCGTGCTCGCTGTATGTCTGTCATGTTGATAGTAAAGACTTTGTTCAGACTTTCTGAACTCTTCTTCCTACGTAGCTCCCGTCTCATCCTGCAATCATGGCGGCCCTGGGCATCTAGAGAACAATCCTGAGCAAGTGCGGTGAACAGGTCCGTGAATGACAAAAGTACGGTAAACAACCTGCAGTGGATGTGTGGTGGAGTAGGCGCCTGTTAGTTTGTCAGGTACCCGCGACTTTGACATCGGCCCATTTTGGACCTTCAACTGCTGCAGCCTTGGCGTACACTGTACCCCGTAATCTTTCAGGGGACGACACACTGACCGACCGGACATTTTACTTACAAGCACCTGCACTCCTCAGTCCACACACAATTCGCATCACGACCACAGCAGCGAGTCCCGACATTCCTTCTTAACAACTACCCACTGCCAGTTATTGTCTTATCTTTTGGCAACTCGAAAGCGACCCTGTTTGCAGCACTTGCCCCGTCATTGATCACCCATCGTCGGCCAGTCGAAAGCGAGTCGAGTGAGGGGTGTCTATCCCTCTGTCCCTCTCCGCCATTGAGCATCCAGCACATCAATGGCCACTCGTCCTGCCGCATAAACACCACCACTACCACCACCACCGCCGCAACCACCACAACCTGTCGCCCGCTCTCGCCCGTCCTTGTATCGCCGCCTGGTATATTGTCTAGAGCAAGAGCAGCCGTAGCTGAACGCGACCTATTTTTGGGATACCACCGAAGAAAACAATGTCGGCATCCGAAGTACAGGAAGGGGCTGCTGCCGCCCACGAGGAGGTCGCTACCAAAGAGGTCCCCAAGGAGACGGTTCAGGAGGTCACCAACGAGCACGAGAAAGAGGGAGAGGAAACAGAGACAAAGAACAAGGACGCTCAGCCCGACCACCAGCGACCAGCCTCTCTCGCTCCCACTGACTTGTCCGACACAGACGACAAGGACACCGTAAGTCTCCCTTACTTGCCCCTGGGGAGGACAAGTGCAATCCAACCTTCCAGATGCGCAAAGCAACAAGAGTACGAGCAAGTGCTGAATTATTCCCATCATGCAGGATACTTTTGAAGATGCCATCGACACAGGTTCCGTAAGGTCCCTAACAAAACGCTCTTCCTCGTTTAATCGCCCGCGCTCCCCATCAATGGACGATTCCGCCGCCGATTCCGACCACGACGCCGTCTCCCACACTACAGAAACCCCCCAAGTTCCCAAGACGACAGAGGACAAGGAGGAGGAGCAGGAAGAGGTTTTCGAGACCCCGGCACAGGCGCAGGAAAGCAAGTCGCTACACCGGATTTCGCATGCTTCCAAGGTTTCAGAGGCGTCCGCTTTCTCAGCTGCATCGCTGGACGATGTAAGCCTGAATGATAATTCTACAATTGGAGACACAGGTACGTCAAGGTTGTGCGCACAGCCAGATATAGGATATACTGACAAAGGAGTCCAGAAAAAACCGTTGATACGGCGCCTTCATCAACAAAGAAGCTGTCAATAAGCAGTATAACTAGTGCTCTGCCCGCCATGCCGTGGTCTCCCTCCGCTACCGACGAAGCTGTAAAAAGCCCACCCGTGGCCGCTACTGTGGCTGCCGCCGCTCCACCTCCGCCTGCGCCCGCCGCCCTTACTCCAGCACCACCGCCTCCCGTCACCAGGAAACTAACTAGCCCCTTTTCCTGGTTGTCCAGGAGTTCGTCAAAGGAGCAAACCAACCCTCCCCCACCACCAGCCGCCACAACTGGTACAAGACGGAATACCGCCAGCTCTGTCGCGACTCTTTCCAGTAATCCAGAGGGAACATTGGGCAAGGTTGATGAGGAGAACAAGAACACTCTGAAGGACCGCTTTAAGCAATTGCGTCTAAGGGAGGAGGGCAGTGCGCCCACGGGAGACGATGAAGTGAAGAGCTCTACCTCTGAGGAGAAGGAAGCAGTTCAACCCCCTCCATCGCCGCTTCCACCAACCCCCAACCCGGCTCTCGCACCTGGTACGGCATCCGGGGTTACTGCTGGCCCAGCGGGCTCCGATGCTCCTGTGGATTGGGATTTGTGGCAGACGGTCGTTTATGAAGGTCCCGCAGCTGTTGCTAGGACAAGCCCTGAGCAGTTGAAGGAGGCCATCGCAAAGGGTATCCCCAGCGCTATTCGCGGAGTTATCTGGCAGGTTCTGGCACAAAGCAAGAATGAGGAACTGGAAACAGTCTACCGGGACTTGGTAGCGAGGGGTACAGACAAGGAGAGGAAAAGTGACAGGCAGAGCAATGCCTCAATATCTCTAAGTAACGGCAAGGCGAGCGGCAAGGATACGCCCTCTTCCGCTTCGTCAGTTCACTCGGAAAAGTCTGGACCTAACGGCACCGGTGCTCCTTCCCCGTCAGAGAAAGACTCGGAAGCCTTCGTCAAGGCCCAGGCTCTTGCCGCGGCGGAGCGCAAGATGAAGGAGAAGGAAGACAAGGAAATGCTATCGAGGCTCGAAAAGGTCATTAGGAGGGATCTGGGTGCTCGAACGAGCTATTCCAAATTTGCCGCCGCTCAAGGGCTTCAAGAGGGCCTCTTTGGCGTGTGCAAGGCCTATGCTCTCTTTGACGAAGGCGTCGGCTATGCCCAGGGCATGAACTTCCTCGTCATGCCTCTTCTCTTCAACATGCCCGAGGAGGAGGCCTTCTGCCTGCTGGTACGACTAATGAACCAATACCACCTCCGCGAGCTCTTTATCCAGGACATGCCAGGTCTGCACAAGTGCCTCTACCAGTTTGAGCGCCTCCTCGAAGACCTCGAACCCGCTCTCTACTGCCACCTTCATCGGCGCGGCATCTCCCCTCACCTCTACGCCACCCAGTGGTTCCTCACCCTGTTCGCCTACCGCTTCCCCCTGCAGCTCGTCCTGCGCATCTACGACCTGATCTTCTCCGAGGGTCTCTCGGCCATCATCAAGTTCGGCATCGTGCTCATGCAAAAGAACGCGACCGCCCTGCTCGGCATGTCCGACATGTCGCAACTCAC